TTGTACGATGTGGACCCTTGTTTGATGATTTTCAGGTCTGCCAGGATCGCGCGAAACTCAATTTGGTCATGGGTGATTGGTGATCAGTCTGAACCTCTCAAGGTCACCGTTTCATATACCCGCTTGACACTATCCACCTCGACATGCACTGCGACCCCCCCCCCGGAGTTCGATCATGACTCGAGACTCGGTGAGATCAGGTTGGTAGGTCGCGGGGGAAGGGGGGCAAATGGCTTGACCTGGACTTGACTGGATGATTGAGACAAAAGCCAGCACAAGTCGGATGACGCATTGATAATCTAGTAAGCTTTCAAGATGTGCTTACAGCTTTACAAGACGTGTGAATGGATGGATGGGCTTTACTATCACGAAGAGATTGCAGATCTTCCCTTCACCGCATGGACTTGGGATCTATCGAGATGATCCTCCGTGTCTCGATATGGGCGGACACATAAATCTGACATCCATTTCAATCCGGCCAGGTGCAGCATATACGGGCTGATGTAGTTAGTCGTGAGTAGTTAGTAGTTACTCTACCTTATCTTGATTGGTGTCAAACTCTTATTCTATGCGAGATGTGAAAGCTGTCACACCTGTTTATCGAGGTGTTACGTACTATACTTATACAAAGCGAGTTTCCCACTGTACCTGGTCTCGAGCATGTCAGTCATAGAGATATTTCTTTACCAAAATATTTACTTGGAAACGAACCATGCGTTACTTGCCAATTTGCTACACCTGAAAAGCTCAGATCTCGGATATAGATAATGGAACGCCAAGTCAGCTGAATCAAGCAGCAAGCGTAGATAAACCAAAACCATTAGATTCGAGAGGGCCGAGCGGGTAAATCTAGGTTCCTGCTCCCTAGATTCGCGAAGTATTCACGAAAGCTATCGTACCAGCTCAGAGAGAAGTGTGTGATCTGCGGAGGCAGGCAGTGTGAGGAGTTGGAGCGCCTAGAGAGTGATACTAAGGTTCGTCCACGTCACAAACCCTCCTCTTGCTTGCATGGCTTTGGTTTCAGCCTTGGAACTTCAGCTTCAGGTCGAATACGTCCCCAGGTACACCACTGAACACAGTGAACATACAGCCATGCCATGTTCGAACTGTTGAGATGAGACCAATCTCCTTCCGCAAGAGTTTGCAAACAATGAGATACACTCATTTGAAGCGGTTCACTGAACAATCCAATCGCTACAGCTTCCAAAGGTACCAACCACTCCACTCGCACTTCAACGGTATCTATACTTGGTATCTACATTCCAGTGCGTGCATCACTGCCATGTAGAGCAGGTACCCCGTCGTACCGTCGCACAAACATTCGGAATAGTCCCGGGTTAAACGGCCTGCCTAAACGGGTCCAACCCCCGCTCGTCTCAATCGACGCTGCCGATCTCTCGGTTCAACAAATCTTGCGACTGTCATCTTTTGATAATCAATCTGGAAGGCGGGATCGGCAACTGCCCGCGGGACTTTTTCATCACTGTTGTCCCGAAACAGTTTAGTGTTGGACTGTCGCCGATCCCCTTCATTTTGATGTTGGCTGTGACCTCCACATCCACTCTATTCGAGACCGGATATGCCGATGGCAGACTTTGACTGCCGGAGGCTTACGTCTGGAAAGTGCAGATAGGTCTATTCTGGCCTAAGGTCAAGATAGCCTGGCATGTGAGAAATATCTCGGAGGTGTGCAACTTTTGTGATTGACCCTTATAACACCCGGTAAGGGACTACAAGTCTTTTCCAGCACGATGGATCGCCAAAGCTGGAAAGACTCTCTCAGAAACCGAGACAAAATATTCCGAGAGCTCATTGGCGAGACAAGATCTCCAGAAGGATCGAAAAGTCGGTTGCATCTACATCTCTCCTACCAGACGGTCATCATACCATCAATGTGGACATGCATATCCATATTCATAAGTCATGTGAGCTGGGAAATGCGTCGTCAATCGGAAATTCTCACTTAGACAGGGATCTTTTCGTATGATCTTGTTTTACTTCCAATTAGCTGGAGATCCGTATGGTAGACTCTCAGAGGACTTGATTCGAGAGATTTTGATAGCTCATCTCATTCAAGGCCAATGGCGACTACTCTGGGGGTTCTACGACCCTTCTTGCACAACAGGGCATGATGGACATACACTCTGACGGCTTGGTATTGTGCTGCTTGAATGGAATTCTTATGGTCTGTGTTTCCCTTCACCGGAGAAGAGGCATCAATCACTTCGCTCGTGGGCAATCATGGCCAGTGACTAGATATCATTCCAGTGGTGGACTGTCTCGTAGTCGAGAGCTCTCAGACCCCGAAGGGTTCATTATTGACTAGGTCTGCGCATTTTGATCTTTGGATACGTGCCTGGAAATAACAATGGGAAACCAAAAGACATTTGGGGCGCAGATGATGAGGTCTTGGCAGGAGTTATAGACATCAAGTCCCCCTCCGATATCATGTCAGGCGGAAGCCCGTTAGGTACCTACCTACTCGCCTGCAATTCCACACTGTTCTTCTTGAATAACTTTGGGAGACGGGAATGATACTACATATTTATCAAAGTTATTCATTGGTCCCTGCGTCCTCTCAAGCATAGGCACATTTCATATGAATAAGAAAATGAAACAGTTTTACCTTGAGGTAGCCATGAAAGTGCAGGATAGCAGGGAACATATGAAGGGATCAAATGAGGATCCTAAATTCTCAGACGTGCAGAATCCGACGCCCCGACTGCCCTATGAGGCATCATTCACTTAAGTCTCACATGAGAGATATAGTTGTCCCACTGTACAAGTGTACAGTGGTCTGGTAGCACGGAACCACGAACTCTGTACTCGGGTGGCGGGGGACCCTGGCCGTTGAGGAACGGAGATCTGCCCGTACTTTTCTTATTCTGACTCGATATACAATGACTGAGTAACTCCACTGTGCCTGTTCTTGTCCTTATCCAGGATGATGAAAGTTCCAAGCGGATCCAGTACCTACCCAAAGTGCAGCGTCAAGGACCATCCATTCTCGTCTCTCTGTGTTAGGGAGTCGATCAGATAGGTTTTGATGGTATTGATGGCAGGGGATACGTCATGACCAGCATACGCCCGGGGGATGATCTTGATGGTAGACCCTCGCTTAAATATGTGCTTGCGCGGCTCTCATTTACCAAGATGTGCGTTTTTCTCGCACAGCGACTCGGTGATCGGTCAATGCTCCCGAGTAGAGAACCTTGTTCAAATCTGCTTCCATCTGACTGGAAGAGCGGTGAATATTGAACAGACGAAGATGCAGACGCGGGAAACAGTTCATGAGTCCGGCATCCAGACAAGGCGGGCGGGTTGCATTACAGAATCGAGTGGTAGAAAAGCCATGGTCCTTGGCCCATGCAGCCTTGTGTCAATTGTCAACTACCAGTGGAACTCGTTATCGTAGAATTGAAGGAGAACCACCAAATGGCATTTTTTTAACATGACCACATGTAATGTACATGTGAAGGATAAACTACAGCCAATTCTTTCCATCTTTCCGTTGGCAGGGAAAGTAGAGAATCAGCAAGGTCTTCCGCCACGGGTATATCTCTAATTCCTAGGAATGATACTGTAGTACAGTAACTATACAATTGTAGAACCTGGAGACCCCAGAGAGAAAGAGCGACACCATACATCTAATTCAACACGCAGGTGAGATCAGTGTCGCTCTTTCGCTGCATCTCCACATGGATGCATCCAAAAGCATCTCTTAGAAAGACGCAAATCGATCTCGGCTCGACATGTGATCCTCCCGTCCGAGGCCGCGGCCGAAGTATTGTTGGTGGGAGAAAGTCTCTTATTCGACCACAGGTCGTGTCAGCTTACTAGGTGGGTAAGCAATATGCGCGACGGGATCAGATCATGTGGGCTTGACAGTCTGACTGGTAGTACGGCCTGTTGATGGCATGACCAAGAGACGACAAGTGTTCACTGATCGTCCGTCATACACTAGCCACGTCCGCTGCAGGTGAGCTGCAGCATGGATCGGTCACGGTATCTTTTGGAACGCACTTGGCTTGGCTGGATATCACCCCGGCCTTGTAGCTCGAGATATTGACATCTATGCAGATAAGAGAATCCCGAGAATAGAGGCTACTCTCCTTGCGAAATCTTCAAACGCGGTAGACACTTTATCTGTCTCTGTGGCATCAGAAAGGAAGCGAAAGAGGAAGCAGACCGAGCCACGGACTGTCCTCTTCCATAAGACAGGCACCCTGCCCAATTCAAGGTTGAGACCAGTAATTAGTGGTGTGCTCTTCTGTGGTTCGTGCGACTCATCAACACTGTATTATATGTGGTATTCAGGTAGATTTGCAGAAGCAGGATTTCGAAGCGCAGCTGCATCCTGCAGATTGTAACAGGATTTTCAGTCAGAGGTGGATTCGAAAAAGACTCCGCCTCTCTGACGACTTGCATGCGAAGGAAGTAAGTGCGCCATTGCAGGGGTTCGCGAAGAAGGTGAGAAGTGCGTGACTTAGCGCCAACTAGTAGTGTCCCTCGAGCCGCGTAGAGAAATTCTACGAAAATTCGGAATTGATTGGTCGCGGAAACGTCCGGCAAGCAGCCTGCATCACATCACTCACGTGTTGATCAAGATGGTGACCCCTACTGCTCAAGACGTGGAAATGACAAGCAAAGGTGCTATACTCATGGCACACAACTGTACAAGCTTGACTTTGACCTCGGGCGCCGTGCGCAAAGTGGCGGAAGCTCGAGCCATCAAGGCAGCTGTGCAGTGTACTTGCAACCTCCGAGTAAGAAGGTCCCCATCCAAAGGCACTGTCTTAAATAAAGCTTGGGGACTAGAGGTGGGCTCGTCTGATGAAATTGGTCATCGTCTGCAATTCTTCGCTTTCGCAACTAGATTGGGGTGGGTATTCGAAAAGAAAGAGATGTAAAAACCATGATGAAGAACACGATGAAAAATCGCCGTTCGGCAAGCGCTGAAGAACCAAGAAGAAACGGTAGAAAAGCCAGAATAAATCGCTTCAAGCGTACACGTCCACCCGGGAATGACCAGAACTGCCAGCAACGGCGCTCATCTTCTCGTTGATGGTCTTCATTTTGCGAATGGCTCGCCCAAAGTCGAGCTTGGCGTATTCCTCGGGCATGTGTTCGCCACTGTAGATGCAGAGCACTCGCATACCAGGTTTGTAAGACAGACCGCTGAGGAGCTTAGGGGTGATCAAAAAGTATTGGCCACCTCCGCCGCCGCCGACGGGCTGCCCATCTTTGTCAGTGATTCCCTCACTGTCGGTGTCGCAGGCAATGTCGACCAGGCGCCCGTGTACCATTCGTTCGTTGCGAGGATCCATGCCCTGGTTGATTTCGTCCACGACCCGGAAAGGCGATGCAGACAATGACTGAAGAGCCATCAGATAGAAGATTGTGCTGACGGCCCGTTCGCCACCGGATTGGCGGTGCGAGTCGAGAATTGAAAGTTGCTCATGTTCACGGAACTTCACATGAATTTGAATGGACCACTGGTCAAATTCGCTGCCACCAGATGCTCCATTTGGACCAGACTCAGCCTCGACCTTATCGAGACTTACCTGGCCAGCACAGCCAATGCGCGCGAACGAGTCGCCAAAGGCGTCACTGATCTTGGAGATCAGCGCATCTAGTCTGGGTTCCCATCGGTCGCGCACTTCCTTGATCGCTGCATCGAAATCCGCTAATTTAGAGCGGTAATCACTGAGTTTGCTTTCCAGTCTCTCGATCTGTTTCTCTCGATCCTCAAAGATCTTGATGAGATTACTGTTGCCACCCACGAACAGCTGCAGTTGCGCTTCCTGAGACTCGATATCGGCATTAAGACTGTCCAAAGTGTACGAAGCCTGATTCACCGTTTCAATGAGCGTCTCTGTACCGGGCCGCTCTTGGACCCTTTTGAGCGTCCTCTTCGCCTCGTTCAACATTTCGCGACCGCGTCTCTTGCGCTCCCGATAAAGATCACGAAGCCGGCTGACTTCTTGCGCCTTCTCAGCCAAAAGTCGAGTGATACCAGCATGTTTCTCTTCGAGCGTCTTGTGGTCGGAGCTTGCCTCCAAGTACCAAATTTCGATCTTCACAAGATCTTCGCAAGCCTGACGATAGGCATCGGCAGCATCCTAGGCCTTTTGTCAGCACAAATATAGCCAAGCTGCCAGATATCCTCATTAAACTTACAGCGTAGAGAACCGCTGCTTCGGCTTTTTGAACTGCTAGCTCATCCTGCTCATCACGGAACTTGGCGACGCTGTCTCGCATCTCGTCTAGCAACTTTTGAAGATTCTTGACTTGAGTTTCCTTTTGGCCTATTCAGTGGTTAGCATCTAAAAGCAAGCCAAATGGAGGGATTCAGACACAGCTTAAACTTACTGATGGTACCCGGAATGGCGAGCCATTCCGTATGAGCCGTTTGCCGTTGAGACTTCTCCTTCTCAATTGTGGCCTGGCGAAATGTGAGCTTCCTTTTCTGAAAAATTCTTGCTTTGCAAGTCGAAACGTACAATTGCTTCCGCGATCTCTTTGTTGGAATTCTGGAAACCCTGCATCCGTTCCCTGAATCTCCGAATTTGTTCCTCGGCTTCATTCTTTTCACGCGCCCAGTTGTCAATATTCTGCCGATGCCTTTCCTTGACGGACGTATCAATGGGTTGCGATGTCCAAATTTTAGCGGGCTGGATGGGCCTAACGCTCGTGGAGGAGGCGCTGTATTCTGCGCGGTAATTTGTTTGATACATCTGCGTCCCCGCAGTGAAGACAGTAACCTTTTTCTTGCGCAATGCATCAATCTCTGTCTGCTCACCATTGAACGAGCCAAGCATGACTGGGGTGCTGTTGAATCGATTTTCCAGGCAAAGCGAGGCAATCACAGCGTCCGGGCCCTTGATAAAATCCTTTGCCCACCCGTCGAACCCCAGTTGTTGCAGTTCTTCTTTAGGCATTGGAGGTTGAAGAGCCGGGTTGTCCAAGGACGGGCTTGTCTTCATCGTTATGTCATGGAACTTGAGCTGTCCCATCAAATGGTGTTGCAGAGTGCGGAAATCATTCTTTGTCTGGACTGTAAACGCAAGACAGTCGTTCCTGTTCAAAAGCGCTTCCACAGCATCGGCGTATCTAGGGTCGGTGATTGAACATGTCAATATGGGAGGTCCAATGACCGGTTTCTCAAATTTGTCTTGGTTTGACTCAACCCAACGATAAGCCTGCAAGGTTTCCGGAGAAATCGCCTGCAGCCGAGCTTCCTGTTTGCCAGTCTCCGAATCAAGGTTTGCAAGAGCAGCCTCAGCCTGCTGAATATTCTTGGATAGCTCTGCTAATTTCGCATGAACTGGGTCTCTTTCTTCCTTGAGCTCAGTAGCCTTCGTTTGAAGATCACGCTGAGCCAATCTTTTCTCCCTCTAGCGACAAGTGTCAGCGTCAACGCATTCCCAGACGCCATGTAGGGAAAGTCAACTTACCAGTTGCTCGTTGTAGTAGGAAGCATTGAAATCCACAGCTTCTTCCTCGTGCTGGCGCTTGAGCCTATTCACTTGCTGTTGAGCCTGGAGGATATCCGCTTTGTATTTCTGTGAGGTCCTCTTCTCAGTGGCAATCTTGCCATTCAATTCTTCCATCATGGTCTGTAGTTTTATGACCTCTTGTTCGCAGTTCAAAGCCACTGTAGCCAAACGCTGTACTTGCTGCTTGCGATGAGTCCTAACCTGACCAATCTGCTCGACATACGTCTGCTTCGATGTGACTGCATGCAGAGTAGGCTCCACTTCAGCTTTCAGTTGCTTCTCTTCTTCTTCGACTTGTGTTTTCTTCTGCGAAAGCTCTGCAAAATCCTTGTGATAATTCTTGTATTCCAGGAGTGGCCGGCAAAGCTCTAAGAGAGCAATTTTCTCTTGCGCTGCTGCCATTTGTCGCATATTTTCAACCTCTGCCCTTTGTGATTCTTGACGATCCTTCAGATTCGTCAGGTTTTCAATGTCACCACGATTCTCAATTTCCAACAGCTTTTGTTTCTGTCGAAGATCCTTGAGGTTTTTGTGCCAGACGGTCATTTCCGGCTCGGCCGCAGCTCTTAGGGTAGAATGAAGAAGCTCCACGGGGGAGAGCGCGGCGAATTCGGCAACTTTGTCTTGAGGGAGAAATTGACAAAGGTTATCCACTTGGATCGCAAAAGATTGTACCAAGCTCGCGACTTGCTTCGAACTTGCATGCTTCCCATTAATGGTGAACGAGCTTTTGTTACCGTCACGCTTGATTGTTCGGCAAATGATAGGATTCAAAGAGTACTTGGGTTGTCCTGAAAGCTCAATCTCAATTTTGGCTTCTGCACATCCATGCTTGACGAATTCTCCGAGGTCTTTGGCGCGTCCGAGGTGCTGCAAAAAAGAGCGGTGTTAGACAAACCAGCTGCGTTGATACCGAGGAAGTCGATAGTAGTACCTGAGGTCCCCAGCCAAGTCCTAGGCAAATCGCACAGACTAATGTACTCTTTCCCGTGCCATTTGGGCCAATGACCATATTCAGCTTCGGCCCAGGATGAAATTCAGCAGAGGTGTAGGTTACAAAGTTGGTGACTTTGATGCGCTTGATCGCTCCAGGTTTGTACCCTCCTGGGCCGATTCCACGGTGGGCTGTTGGCCGTCGCACAAGAACGTCTGTCATGTCAGACTCCGCACTTGCATCGCTATTCTCATCTTCGTTCTCGTCGTTTGAATTGTCATCTTCGTCAGAGCCATCCTCGGCGGTGCTCAAGCGGGGACGCTTGCTCTGGGATTCGGAAGCGGTGCCGTCAGAGGAATCATCATCGCTTGCATTTTCTGGTCCTTTTCGTGATCTTCGCCGAGGGACCGTACTGTGACCCATCGTTCGAGAAGGCATGTCCAGCTCTGGCGTGTGAGGTTTTGTCAAGACACCAAATATCAAGACTGCCGAAGACCTGTAGACCAGCACGAAAACGCGCGTGGCAGGTGGGGGCACGACGCGTCTTTGTCACGAACTCTTACCTATTATGGCAGGCGGTGAAATCGGAGATTCCAGAGAGACCAACCACTGGCATCAAGTCATGATATGGATTGACTGTCTCTTATTCCAGCGTTTTTTGTAGCTCAAGATGCCTTCTCCTCAGAATGTACGTCGGCTTGTCCTGACTGTCGCCGTCACATCGATTACGATCGCAAGCTCACTTTACGGCGCAGGGCTGAAGACAAACGAGGAAATTGCGGAAGTAAGCCTGTTCCCCGCACCCTAATGCAAGATGCTGTCAGGGTTGAAGTCCTCATTCAAAAGCTTGACATTGTGATATGTGGTGTCACCTTGCTTTCCGTCGCTATATTTGAGACTCACATATGACCTTCAATTGGCAGACCACACGAAAACGCCAAGAAGCCACTTTCGAGGAACAACTGGCAGCTCTCCAGAACATGCGCTCCAGCCTCACCTCCCGCAAAGGCCTTCTCGAGAAACAAATTCGAGAATTGGATGCAAAGATGGAGGAAAAGAAACAACGAGCCGTTTCGGGTAACATGAATGCGGAAGAACACAGTCGGCGCTGAAAGAGATCATATTGTTCGGATGCAAGAATTCGGATCGCTAAAGACGAATAAGCTGCCCATCTGTGGCTCGGATTTGTCTTTGCGTGCCGTTACAATAGTCCTACTCAATCAAATTCAGCGCCTGGACGCAAGACTTGAAGGAAGCTTGAATCGAAAGGGAGGTTCCCCCCCCGAACAGGGCCGGCCGCTTCCTCGGGACTGTCCAGGCAAGTTCAAACTAGGGCAATCCGGTGGTGGGACCCAGGTTTTCAGAATATATCAGACGAACTTCATGTTGAAAGTTTGTTTTGTGAACCTGGCGTTTATCTCAGCGATCGGTGTCATTCACGGAAATTTCGAGTCACGGCTCCCCAAATCATCTGTCGAGGATTCTGGCCACAACCGCTCACGAGAAGACATGTGTGCATATTTCACATCTATTCTTGTCTATAGCCGATGTATTTATATGCAGCATTGGCGTCCCAGATGATAGACGGCCAAAGGCTCAATAAGATACAAACAGAACAGATCCTGTCAGCCCGTCAATCTGTTAATCTGCACGCACTTAAATCCCAAGCACATAAAGAGGACGCAGACAACTAGATCATGCTTCCAAATTCAACCGTTCCAACAAGGCATCAAGCTTTTCCAGCAAGATTTGATAGTTCATTGCATCCTGCTCAAATTCGTCTTCAACGAGCGCTCCATCCAGTGTTCTGATCTCGCGAGTATGATTGTGAGACGCTTGAGTCTTTGCGATGGGGACGCCTGCCTCGGAACCCGTACTCGCGGCGTCGATTGCCTGCACTCCTTCTGTGATCTTGTCAACGCCTTCCGCAAGTACTTCGCCCTCGTCAGTTGCTGCAGGTGGTTGCTGTTGCTCATCCATCAACTCATCGAGGCCAGCATCATCGAACCGCTTTCTGAATCGCTCATTGAGGTAGAAGCGAATGTCATCCAAAAGCTCGATCGAGTCAGTCTCTTGGCGTGCCTGAATGCGATTGGCAGACTCTTCAATCAATTGTGCAAATTCTGGAGAATCAATGTGGGCTTCCAATCTGTAGGCGAGGAAGCGAGCAGCAAATTCCTCGAGCCGCTGCACCCGGGTCATCCACGCTGCCCTGATGATTGCATAAATGTCAATGTCGTCCTCGTCTTGGATACCTCGGGTTCGCGCCGCCTCGGCCTGTGAGACTCCACTACCCAATGTGCTGATGACCACCGCTGCCTTTGTCTTCAATTTTTCAATGAAGAGCATATCAGCTACGAAGAGAACATCGACAGCAACGTCGAGCGGAAACTCAGCCCGCTCGGTATACAAGAAGGTCAGGATAATTTCCAAGACATCCGGCGCGCAGTCCACAGATATGATGTGCAGATAGTCCGTCACTTGAGCTTCTCGGAAAGACGAAGTAAACATGGTCTGGAAAAACTCTGAACGAAGAAGCATCGCGCGATGGCATGGAAATAAGACCGACCTCGGAGATGCCTCTTGTACGCCCACCTCCTCATTCGACAGTTCATCTGCTCTTAAGAGAACGTCTGCGAAGATGGAATTTGAGCGGTTCCACTTGATTTCGTTGACCTGGGACGTCTTGACTGTGAGCTTGTTGCCAAGCACTTTTTTCCGGAACCATGATTCGAGCTGGTCGCGGCCTTTGCTCAGTTCTGTCGCTCTGCGTTGACGCGCACGTCGTCGATCTCCACTTTCCAAAAGGCTCTCCGTCAGACTCTCAAGTTCAAGCTGTTTAGCAATTTTGTCAATGCCGGTGAAGACCTCGGTCTCGGTGAAGCCTGTTCCGGGTCCACTTCGAAGTTCTCGAGGAGCTTCTCCCAGGTACAGATATCGAATTGCCGTCGCAAAAGCTTCTGGGGGGATCGTACTCGGTAGCTTCCATGTCGATATCTCCGGTGTCGCAGCAAGTTTCGATTGGAAGTAGGGCGAGCGGGCAGCCAATATGAACTTATGTAGTGCAATGTCTTGATCCACGACGGATATGGTGATGTCAGTTGTAGAAGGGTTTTCTCGCGTGAGGAGAGAGGCGACATGAGCAGCAAGTGGTTGCAGTGGGTCTGTCGATTTCGAGTAGTCGTATTCGAGTAGAAGATTTCGGATGCGGTCATTCAAAGCATTATATAGACATCTGTGCATCCCAGATGAAGTTCAATGGTTAGAATGGATCAGATTGAACCCGAAATGGATAGCATGTTGTGAGATCGAAGCTGGGACAAATTCCATTCCATCCAAGTTCAAAGAGTGCTTTCATTCGCCCATTCATACCGTTCGCCTTGAAAGGTGTCGCGCTCGCAAAGTGCGCCCGATTCAAGTAGAAGTTGTGCTACTTCGTAGTGTCCACATAAACTGGCCTGTTTGGTAATATATATTGGTCATCGTGCAATTGGAACGTTAGATGATGGACTGTTTCGCACAATGGTAGGACCAAAGCAATCTATATGCTTTCACGGAAAACATACCAGAATCAAGGGCGTATAGTCATACGAGTCGCGTGCGTTCACGTTCACGCCCTCAGTAATCTTCTCCTGGCAGACTTTGAGATCACCCCTCCGGCAAGCACTGCATAGCTCACGGAACGGTTCACTTAGATCCAATGGGTTGTCATCCTTAATTGTACCTTCCTTGATGAGCTTTTTCTCATTATGCAGGCTGATCTCAAGTTGATCTTTGCGTAATATAGTCCTTTCAGCCATTTTTTCCTGAGATTATGTACGAACAAATACTGAATTGCCACCTTGGCCAAGGAAATTAGTAGGCGAAAGGTAGACTAACTGGCTTATCGATAAATCATGTGACGTCAATCAGGATAGATGACTTAGTGTCAAGGCAACAATAGGGCCACTCAGGGCCTGGTGTGTGCATGGAATCGTTCGAGAACCGTAACCAAATTTGGATAGCTGAGTGGTAGGACAATTTAGAAAAAATACTGGTAGGATACTGGCTTCGTTAGCAGGTGACATCATGGGATGGCACTATGTTCTCGCATCACTACTAGTACGATTTACTTGATCTTCGATGCTAACAAGTCCAAAGGTGCAGTCCAGATTTAATTTTCGGCGAGAGACGGGATCAATCAAGAGCTCCGGCTGGGTGACATAATCCCCCACGTATCCTAAGGTACTCCTAGCCTCCTGGGTAGCTCGGCGGGCGGTCAGAGGCGTGGGTGTGGGGCAGACCCATGACTAAGTGAGGTCAGAGGCGGTAAAGCGGCCATGCAAGCGGATGTGACCGCCTTCTGTAAACAGACTAGCTTTTGTTGGTTCGTTGCCGTGCAACGGAGCACCCAAACACCGACTCGACGATCGCTGGACCTCGAACCTTGAGCCCGTCTTCAACTTTTCATTCCACCAATTCCTCGGTCAACTTTACTAACAACACAGACACATCACATCCAATCACCCGCTCATTGCGCTTGATGAGACCGACTCATCGGTATTTTCAGCGCCTATTCACCAATCCGTGACCCCATCTGCCAGGAGCAGCCATCTGCAGCCATGGCTATCGCTTTGGCCGAAGCCGACAAATATGAGATTCTGGAGAAGATTGGTAAATTTTGATCAGCAAAAGCACTTTGGAGATCTAATAACTAATCAGAAGCGATTGTCACAGGTTGCGGTTCGTTTGGCATTATTCGGAAAGTCAAGAGGAAGTCCGACGGCTTTGTGAGTATTGACGGCCTCGAAACTCCTCATGCGCATGGCGCTAATCTGCCACAGATCCTTTGTCGCAAGGAGATCAATTACATCAAGATGTCACAAAAGGAGCGTGAACAGCTCACAGCAGAGTTCAACATCTTGAGCTCCCTGCGGCATCCGAATATTGTCGCATACTATCACCGCGAGCACCTCAAAGCGAGCCAAGACCTGTACCTGTACATGGAGTACTGTGGTGGCGGAGATCTGAGTATGGTCATCAAAAACCTCAAGAAGGCGAATAAGCTGGCCGAAGAGGAATTCGTCTGGCGCATCTTGTCGCAACTCGTTACTGCCCTCTATCGATGCCACTATGGATCGGATGCTGCCGAAGTCGGGTCAAATATTCTCGGAGCACCGCCCAAACCATCTGGCCTGAAGGGAAAGCAGGGATCGGTGACAATCCTGCACCGAGATCTCAAACCAGAGAACATCTTTCTCGGCAGCGATAACACAGTCAAGCTTGGCGACTTCGGGCTCTCCAAGCAGATGCAATCTCATGACTTCGCATCTACCTATGTTGGCACGCCTTTCTACATGTCCCCAGAGATCTGCGCAGCAGAAAAATACACTCTGCGATCCGATATCTGGGCGGTCGGATGCATCATGTACGAGCTTTGTGCGAAAGAACCACCCTTCAATGCTCGCACCCATATCCAATTGGTGCAGAAGATTCGCGACGGCAAATTCGCTCCACTGCCGGACTACTACTCGCCTGAGCTCAAGAATGTCATCAGCAGCTGTCTGCGAGTCAATCCCGATAATCGTCCGGATACCGCCGCCCTCATCAATCTTCCTATTATCCGCCTCATGCGCAAGGAAAAAGAAGTCGTTGACCTTGGTAAAACACTGCGTCGACGGGAGGAGATGGCGGTCCAGAGAGTTCGCGAAATGGAGCAAAAACTGGCAAACGTGGAGAAAGATAAGCAACTGTTCAAAATGGACATTGAGAACACTGTCAGAAGAGAATGGGAAGTGAAGGCTCGGTTGGAGATTGATCGACAAGTTCAGAGCGAGTTGGACCGGCTTCGAAAACGCTTTGAAGCCGAGGTTCAAGATCGTGTTGCTATTGAGGTGGAGAAACACCGAAAGAATGGTGACGTACGTGAGGATCTCTTTCGTTCGAGCCTCCGTGGTTCGGACACGAGCTCTGGTGCATCATCACGAACAGGCGGCCGTGATTCCCACTCCTCCGGCGTCGTGACTGACGACTCAGACGTTCCTTCGAGCACCGACATCAGTCAGTTATCTCTCGAATCGCCAGTCAGTAATAACCGGAAACCGAGGAAAGAGGCACGCACACCACTTTGTCGCTCGAAGACTGTCGTCGAGTCCCCTCAAGATGTGCAGATGGCTGAGCCTTCCCCAATTTCAATCGCTTCACTTTCACTTTCACCTCGTCGTACGTCTGGCTCGGGTACTTCTCGCAATATTTTTGCTGAAGCCGAGCGTCAGAAAGCCAAGTGGGAGCCCACGCTTGCCTATTCTGACGATGAGGACGACACTCCTGACCTTCCGTCACCGACTCGTCCCAAGGTCAAGCCCGACCCATTCAAGGCGCCTCCTCGTCCCCTATTGCGCCAGAACACTGCTGCTCTTATGCAGAAACTAAGCTCCCAGCCACCACTTTTCCCCTCTGGTGCCTCCCGACTACCTCAGGTCGCTGGCGCATCAAATCCAGTTCAGCCTGACACTCGTCCGAATGTATCAGACGGTCGCGCCAGGTCACCACATCGCCGACTTTCCAAAATCCCCTCATCAGCTAATCTTGCCGCCGACGCATCTCCGACACGCAAGAGCTCAGTCAAGCAATCCTGTTCCAAATCGAACAACGTCGGTGGCGATGAGATGTTCAAAGCCGTCATGCAACGCAACATGGGTGGTCGGACCTTGGTCGAACTCGCTCAAGCTCGAGCCGGCGGTCGACCTGTGGACGAATTCAAGCGATGTGCAAGCGATTCCCGGGCTACTGGTCAAAGCTCTAGTATGAAGTTATCCGAGCGTGACCCCCCAGCTGTGTGGGATCCTGAGCGTGACGAAATGCCCAGTCCTTTCCTCGCACGCGGCAAGAAGATCATTCGCAACCTTAGGTGACCAGCTGGGCCTCCATGAACTCGTTCTTTCCTTCTTTTCACTTTTTCATCTAGGAGCGAACTTTTCTTTCTTCATCTTGCACTGGCGTTGAGGTTCACATATCCTGGAAAGAGATTCCCCTGTCTGCTTGCCGACACCGTCACCCGTGCATTTTCATCGGATTCTTACGCATAATGCTGTTTCATACATTTCACGGAGTTCGTATCACCCTGTTTGCTGACCTTGCCACTGAAGTTGCGAGCGTCATTGTCTCGAGCTTGTCTGTTACTCCCTCGGCAAAATCTGCCCTTGTCACTTTGACTCCCAACCTCCCCCCCTTTTTTCCTTTGTAACGCCGACATGTCCGCCCCTTTTGTCAATTTAGTATCGAGGAGGAGGAGTTTCTTGTACATTGACTGTTCTGGTTCAGATATTCATTGGTAGAGGTCTCTACACGCTAATTGAAGCTCTGGACATCGTCACCTTTGTTCATCCCATCTGTCTCCCATGTGCGTGCGTACTTGCTACAAGGCTCTTCAACAAACCTGGCTATATGGCAGGTGATGATTGATGGAATTAGACCGGGAAGTCTACTCATGTTGTCGAGTGGCCTGTAAAGGACTAGGGCCTCCGTGTCCTACTAGATACAATGTCTCCAAACCGCTTGCGTGCAGTGTGTACATAGGTCCACAGGTGGAATGCTACGAGCTCCCAGCACGTCGACTGAGGAGAGTCCTCATTTTTGCATATTGAAAAGCTTTGTGCTTTAATTGCATTACTAACTTATGCCCTTTACACGAACTAAGTTCTCTTGCAGTGGTATATAATCAAACTGTCTCTGCAGACCGCAGATATCCAAGGACCTTCTCCACGAGAATTTCTCTAGCCTGAGCTTGGTTGTCGTTGCTCAGGGCGTGCGAAGCACCAGGGATTATAGCGCTGTATTTTTGGTCCCAGATCTCATGCTTGCCGTCGTGATCTGTCACGGCCTGCCATAGCGACATCAATTCCTTCTTGTCGACCCATTCAGGAACGGCCTGATCCGCCCCAGAAAACAAGACCATCAACTGATGCTTCAGTAATCCTCGCTGGTGGATCATTCCAAATGTGGTCTTGAGATGCTCGTCACTGAGATCGGAACTGAACAGGTCATCTTCCCCAGGTGATTGGGGGCTATCGGGACTTATCAAGCTAAGCAATCTTCGACAACTGATCGGGGTGTCTGCAGGGTAGATATAAGAGGTCATTGACAAGGGGAGAAGAGTGTCTTGGCTTTCGCCCCGGGCAACTGTTTTCTTTGCCATGGACACAAGTTGCTCGTATACGGGCCGAATTTCGTCGCCCGACTTCCCTCCAATCCCTTCGCTCAGTACCCACTGCACAGCCTCGCGATCGGATATCGGTGCTTGCATGATCGCGCCATCTAGCGGTATCCGCAGTGCATGCTCGAGATATGGATCGAAGGAGGGCACACTCGTGTGGGGATTGGGACGATGTAAGTAATGCATCACGCATTGACCTCCAGTTGAGTGTCCCATGAGCACGATCTTGCCGTTTCCAAACTTCTCGGACTTGTACTCCTTGATGTATTTCAAACATTGGGCAATTTCGTCCGTGTCTCGATCCAAATGACCAAGGCCCCATGATTGATAAGAGGAAGTCAAAGTTAGGGTAAACAGCGACCACTCTGTCGGTTGAAGCGCGCGAACGAGATCGCACATATATGAGGTAGTTGCGAGGCCGTCTCCGAGGCCACCCACGAAAAGGATGCTGTGAGGTTGGCGCGGAGCAGTGGAAGCATATTCAAAGGTGACCAGGGTCTCAGTCTATGAGGAGAATGTCAGTCGCGGCCAAGGTTACCACCTAGCAGCTTTGCATTGCTGCGAGAGAAGTAAGACACTAACATAATGATGTAAAATTCCCGGAAGACCGCCTTTTGGCCAGAATTTGGAATACATAGTGTCGAATCAGGACACGACAGTAGACTCGAACCGACACGATCGTGGTAGTTTGAGGCGTCTCACAAGCAAAGATATGTGGGCGATGACCGAGTGACAGCTGGCACGCCTAACACAATCTTGTTGCGTTCCGAACCAGTCGATAGGCTTAAGGCACCTGCAGCTAAGCCACGGTCAAACTCGCTTATGTCTTGCCCGGGGAGACTGAGTTATGTCACGGAAAACTCCGGCAGGTCTTCGACCGGACGTCTCCACGCCATCACACGCAGACGCGTCGAACATCGCCAAGGCCTCATCTTGGTGGTCCCGAGTTCGCAGGCTGGGACACATTGTTCGCCGGTCAGCCGAGATGCCAAGCGCCGAATCTTTCCAAACCCAGCAACATGCTGACCCCTCCTCAGTGGGGACTCGAAACACACGGCGGATTATCAGATGGGAGAAAAATTTATCAATCAGCCCGCATGTTCTCCCGAGATACACGACTAGTGATGTGGAGGCGTACTGTAAATACACGTACAGTTATCTGTATAGTACGCGCCGTGAAATTTGGATGATACAGAAATCTGATACAGTACTCTCCATGCGTAGGACGTATTTCGTAACTTCGTACTAATATGTATGAAAACCGCGTAATATGTGTCGGACTTCTCGTCATCGTCGTCGAGTCTTACTCTCCAATTTTCAATGATGTACTTCATACATCAAATACGGGCTCGTAATATACATCCAGTTACATTATCGCCCGAACAGAGTGTCACGCCAAAATTATTACCAAGTATCTCAGATATGAACATACCTGGGCCCCTATGAACCTGCAAGCATGCGTGGGAAAGACATTTTGACTGAAAGTATGGTTTACTTCGGTTTTCTTGAGAATCGAAGCTCCTTCGCCCAGATCTACTGTGCTATGAGTAATATAAGTGCGTGTGAAATCTTGAACTCTCCGTAATCGAGAGCTCGAGGTCACGTGTCGCGTATGGTATGATCAGCCCCTTCGATGATCTGATAAGATCGTTACTTGCAGAAAACGAGATCTGATAAGATTTTTTTCCCCATGCGCATCAATACATAGTAAGACGCTTAGTAGAAAGTTGCAAACGAGAGGACGGGGAAACCCAGATTTTGGGTAAGCTCCTCGCAATTTTCATGTGACTATTCTGAGTCAAGTATGAGCCAAGTTTGGCTCAAACGGGGCTCGTGTGTAACACTGTCTCTCAGATAATTACTGTACTTCCGCTATTTGCTCAATTCGAGCTTGATGAAAACGTTGTCATGAGGTATAGCCAGGTAAATTGTAGTCTACCACTCGGGCATGCCTGACCGAGTGAAGCATCATCTTATGACCACTGATCCCTTTGCCATTCTCAATTCACCAGGAAGCGTTTGTGAGTAGGCGAGGAGCTGCGGTGGAGTCCTTTCGGTGTTTCTCATCAGCAGGATTATGGAGTGGGACCGAAGGCAGGGAGGACTGGCGGTGGGTCTTCTGGCCTCGGCACTGTCAAGTTCCATCTTACAGTAACCGATCAATAACGGCCTTCTGTATTGTTCTGTGGTTACATACCGACATAGGTCTCAGCCTTGTAAACACCGTTACAACCCGGTCACTTTGTGTGACTGCAGTAATTTTACTCTCCATCTCCTTTCTTGTTACCGAAGAATGGAAGAATGTGTTGATGCCAAAAGAATCGTATTCTTTTGCCTTGCGAGCAAAGCCCGCTTTAAGACGTGTCATCGTTAGTGAAAAAGCATGTAGTGGGGCTACTTGGCTTCTGTGTAAATTCCGGCTTCGGAACGACTGGGCTGTCTCTCTGGGCACACAAGTCCTTCATGTTTATGCGCTCTCACACATGTTTCCGTTGGCCCGTCTTCAAGAGTGGAAGCATGAACCTATCGTTTTCAGTATGAGTTACACACAAGCCGAGAGCATGCAAGCCTCACGCGCAGATCTTGATAGCATTCATCCGGAGTCTGGACAAGTTGACAGCAACTACTTCATCAGTTCACAATATGAAATCTCGGTGCTAAGCTGTGACGACGACGGCTCGCCAACAGGGCTGAGAGAAAACGTTGTATTACTCGCCTGGCTCATTTGCCTTTTGCGGACAAGTGAAGATGGAAAAGCAAGCTTTGAATGGAGATACGAAGACCAGCTTGATGGATCACCTGCTGGAGAGGTGGCAGTGTAGTTTTCAGACGAAGTCCTTCCTGTGTTGCAAAAAAGCATCGAAGGCGCATTGTTGGTGGTCACTCGGCACATATCAGAGGCTAAGGGCAAGATCTATGATCAAGCTACAAGTTCCCAGTCACTTGTTCTCAGCACAGGACCTATCAACAAAAAGGAAGATAGTCAGGATGCCGTGAGCCACCCTCATTGAAAGATTTCTTCGCAGATCATTACGACTGACCATTACGAGAACAGATCACTATCCAGATTGGAGTTTCCCGCAAAACTAAGTACCTCAATATCCGCCCTCGTGCGACATCCAAGAAAGCTCTACCTTGCACCATTGCTCGTCATGTCCATTCACTGGCAGAAACAATCAAGCTGTGCGTGAATAGCCCCGGATTACGGCTCGAGTCGTTACTTGGTCCAAAAAATCATGACTTGGACATGATCTGGAGGTGGAATCATAACATTCCTCCCACGTACGATTTTTGCATGCATGACATGATCTCCACGCGAGCCAAGGAATTCCCCAATAAAGAGGCTATCGCGTCTTGGGACGGCACTTTGACATATAGTGAGGTCGATGACTTTTCAAATGATCTGGCTATTCGACTGCACGCCGCCGGTGTAGCTTTCAACGATTTCATACCTGTGTGCTTCGAGAAGTCGAGATGGACAATCGTCGCAGTCCTTGCTGTGATGAAAGCAGGCGGTACAATGGTTTTAATGGACCCGAATCTACCTCTCGCTCGTCTTCAGAATATGGCGTGTCAGGTGAATGCCAAGCATATGATCTTGTCTGAAAATCAGAAAGACATCGCTTCATGCATTTTACCCGAAGGAGTAAGACTCACCGTCGGCGTCAACACTTTTACAAACATGCCAAAGTCACAGTCTTTGCCGGCTCTATCCGTTGTGCCCAGTTCGGCCTTGATGTATGTGATTTTCACCTCGGGGAGTACTGGCACACCAAAGGGTGTCACCATATCGCATCGGACATACACAAGCAGCGCCATTCCCCGGGCAGCAGCAGTCGGGTACAAGCCGACCTCAAGAGTCCTGGACTTTGCATCATATGCCTTTGATGTGAGCATTGACAGTATGCTCCTGACACTGGGAAATGGTGGCTGTCTTTGCATTCCGTCCGATGAAGAGCGACTGAACGACATCAACGAGGTCATCCGTACAATGAAAATCAATTACGCCAGCATCACTCCGTCAATGGCACGTATTTTGGACGCTGATGTGATTAAATCACTTGACATACTTGGGCTGGGAGGTGAGGCCGCGTCAGCAACCGATGTGGATTCTTGGGGTCAAGATACCAGGATTGTCATCGGCTATGGTCCTTGCGAATGCACTATTGGGTTTACTATCAATAGCAGCGCTGCAACTGGTAAAGACTACGTCTCCATTGGCAAGGGCAATGGAGCGGCGATCTGGATCGTTGACCCAAACGATCATGAAGTTCTGATGCCCGTTGGGGCGGTTGGCGAGCTCCTTGTTGAAGGCCCTATCGTTGGCCAGGGCTATTTGAATGACACAGAAAAGACAGCTGCAGCTTTCATCAATGATCCCTCATGGCTTTTGTGTGGTCATGAGCAATATCGCGGCAGAAATGGTCGATTATACAAAAGTGGCGATCTCGGAATGTATGATCCGGACGGTTCTGGGGCAGTTGTGTTTGTTGGTCGAAAGGATACTCAAGTCAAGCTTCGTGGCCAACGAGTCGAACTCGGAGAGATTGAAAGTCAGCTGAACAGCAAATTACCATCTGAAGCGACAGTTGTTGCCGAAGTCATCACGCCGAAAGGAGCTGGCAATCAGTCTGTTCTGGTGGCATTCATTTCATTTCGATCTGCTCAAGGGCAAGAGCACCTGGAAATTGATTCCGCCCCGCTCACTCCTGATCAAAGCACGGCGCTTTCGGTTGCAAAGTCAGAGGTGTCCAAAGTCCTTCCAAGGTATATGATACCAACCGCTTACTTATCTGTGAACTATATTCCCACATTAATTTCCGGGAAGACCGATCGCAAATGACTCCGTCAATTTGGTACCAGTGTTGACCTTCGGGCAAAGGAGCAGGATCTGGGAGAAAGCGTCTCACGGGAAATGTCTGAATTGGCATCGACCTTAAGAGAGTCATGGTCTCAAGTTTTGAAGACTGACGCACAAATAGGTCCTGACGACAACTTCTTCGCATTGGGCGGCGACTCTTTGGCTGCCATGAGTCTAGTATCCCTTTGCCGCGAAAAGAGCGTTGACTTCTCTGTGCTAAAAGTCTTTGAAAGTCCAACTCTCAGAGCAATGGCTGCCAATACAGGTATTTTTCAAGACCAAGTGGAATCTCATACGGGCCCATTCTCTTTGCTCACTCAAACGGTGGAGAGCGCGTGTGTAGCGGCAGCGAGTGCCTGTGGAGTTGTTGAGAATGAGATTGAGGACATCTATCCAGCCACACCAACGCAAGAGTCTTTGTTCATCTTTTCGTTGAAATCTGACAAAGCCTACATTGCTCAGAGAGTTGCGTGTATACCGCCATCAATCAACGTGGATGACTGGAAAAGGGCATGGGAGGCTGTTGTCACGTCAAGTCCAATCTTACGCAGCCGCTTGGTTCAGCTTCAAGGTCCAGGGCTCCAGCAAGTTGTCTTGAAAGCGAATATCGACTGGAAACACCATCGAGATCTTGTCCGGTATCTCGAAGATGATCGCTTGGAAAAGATGCATCTTGGACACAGTCTTGCTCGATACGCTGTAGTAGATGATTTGGCATGTGGTAAGCGTTATATGGTCTGGACTGTGCATCATGCTCTATATGATGGCTGGTAATAGCCTGTCATTCTTGAACAAGTCCAGAAAGCACTTCAGGGCTCGAATATTGAGAGAACAGAGGAAATGAGGCACTTTGTCAAATATGTGCAAGAGACAAACGAGTCAGAGACGGTGGATTTTTGGAGGCGGGAGCTCAATGGTGCCATCGGACCGCAATTTCCACGCCTCCCTTACAGAGACTACCTACCAAAGCCAACAGACACAGTTGAGCGGTTCATTCAATTTGCTTCTGACGCTCGGTCGAATTTCACCCTGGCCACTTTCATACGAGCTGCATGGGCACCCGTTGCGTCTCAATATACAAGAAGTGATGACGTTCTCTTCGGAGAGACGCTCACAGGTCGAGACATTCCCATACCCGGAGTTGAGAGAATCGTGGGTCCTCTCATAGCGGCTGTCCCTATTCGTATCAGGATTGCTCGAAGTAGCACTGCGGAGGAGTACTTGCAAGCGGTGCAAAAGAGCATCCTTTGTCGAGCTTCTTACCAGCACATGGGAATGCAAAACATCCGCAAGGTCAGTCGGGATGCTCAACATGCATGTGAGGCTGGAACTGGCTTGGTCATACAACCAGAGCCGGATCACAAAGGGGATGATCTTGGATTCTTTCAAATCGACGCTGTGCAGGAAGCGGTTCATTTCAATCCTTATCCTTTGATGTTGGCATGTGGAATTGGAAATGGTGGGTTCAGAGTGTGCGCAAATTTTGACGGCGAACTCGTCGGAAAGAGACAGATGGAAAGAATGCTTTCTCAGCTCGAAGTTACGTGCTTTGAACTGGCAAAGAACCTCAGCAGGAGAATTGATCAAATATCATGTCTTCACGAAGATGAACTGAACGAGATTTGGAGGCGTAATACCCTTGCTCCGCTGGCGTTTGATGTATCAGCTAGTAAGCTTCACGCAGATTCCATCAAACCGGGGTCAACTTACCCGCCTCCTGTCGTCCAGTGGATATGCAATCTGAGAAATCCTTCTCTTCTGTCCCCCATCGGCTGTCCTGGGGAGATGTGGCTTGAAGATGACTGCCTTTCAGGTAAGACTCTGGACTCGCCCGCCTGGCTCCGAGCAGGGAGCTCCAAGATCCCGGGTCGCGTGGGAAAGCTTCAAACAACGAGAGACATTGTGCAACAACAAGAAGACGGAAGAATTCTTTTCATAGGTCGCAAAGACGACGTCGTTCTTGTCAACGGTCAGCCGGTAGAGATTGCCGATCTTGAGATCCATTTCTCCAGACACCTTCCCTCATCTGCTCGTGCAGCCGTAGGTGTGAGGAGAAAGACTAGTCATTCCCCCAGTGACGATCCAGAGTCCAGCCTTACTATCATGTTCGAGGAGCGGCATGTCGGGAGTGATCAAGTCAGACTTATGCTCGAGTCTTACAATGTTGGCGACGAATCGGATTGCTCAGCTTTGAAAGTCCATGTCCGCGCCTCGGCGTCTACAGAACTTATTCTGGCAATAAGAAGTTTGGACACATTCTATAAGGACTCATTACCAACACATATGATTCCTGGGTCATACATTGTGATAGACAGCTTACCAGCCAGACAAGAGCTGTTGAAGCAAGTGGCGAGCTCGATCCCTAGCCAAATTTCAACCGCGTTTCAGCACGGCTTGCAAGAGGCCTGGAACAAGTCTCTCTCTCATTCACACTTGAGTGATCCTGAAAAGATATTGCGATCGGAATGGGCCAAAGTGCTCGGTCTTCGAGTAGGACAGATTGAAAAGGATGACAATTTCTTCCGACTTGGTGGTGATTCCGTTCTCGCCATGAAGCTTGTTACTAGCCTTCGGAATAAGGGCCATACCTTGATGAGTGCAGACGTCTTCCAGCATATGCGACTTCGCGATGCAGCAACAAGGCTGAAGCTTGGCCAGGTTGAAAGAATGCCAATTCAGTCATACAAACCTTTCACGCTCGTCGACACCGTTGAAGCAGAGCAGATTGTGTCCGAGATTCGTCAGAATCAACTGGGGCATGCTGCATGCTTTGTTCAAGACGTTTTTCCTGTCACAGACACTCAGACGATTGATATCCGTGGAACAATTCGTATGCCACGCACGTCCGTTCAGTACAATACACTGTACTTCAATCAGAAGATCGACCTTGAAAGACTGCATCGAGCTTGTAGGAGGCTAGTCGAGATGCATGACCTTCTAAGGACAGATTTCGTTCAAAATAATGGAAGATTATTCCAGGCCATTTTGAGCGAAACAGAAGTCCAAATGATGTCACACCGTACCGACACTGATCTCGTCTCGTTCGTGAGCGACTTTTGCGTGAGGGACATTGAGTGTGAGTTCTCTCTCGGTTCCGCCTTTTACAAGTTCATCCACGCTTCTGATGAGCATGGCCATGATTGCCTGATTTTTGCAATCTCCCATGCTCTATATGATGGTATTTCGCTACCAAGACTGCTTGAAGACTTGGAAGCCCTGTACTCAGATACATCAATCTCGAGCTATGCGCCCTTTTCATCATACATAGCCCGCACTCTGGATACACGTCTCCAGGTGAGGTCTCTGGGATATTGGAGCACATTGCTCGGTGGTTCATCTTTGTCAGTTTTAGATGGACTTTCGGCGGACCAAGATGATAGAGGTGTTTTCTTACAAAAAGCTATCGAATGCTGCCAGCCGCCGCAAGATTTCACGGTTGCGAACATTCTAACCGCAGCGTGGTCTCTGCTCTTGGCTCGTCGCTTGCGGAAACCGGACGTGACATTTGGATCAGTTACCTCGGGCCGGATGATTGATCTCGCGAATGTTGAAAATGTCGTTGGGCCATGTTACCAACTCGCACCGGTTCGAGTTCAGATACAGCCCAAATGGACGGCTACGGACCTTCTCTGCAGTGTTCGAAAACAAATGGCTGAATCAGCCGCACATGATTTCCTTGGCTTTGATAAAATCTCAAAACAATGCACATCTTGGCCCCACTCTGCAGGTTCATTCGACTCCATAGTTCACCATCAAGATTTTGATGACTTTGACAGCATGCCGTTTGCTGGAGGTTCATGCAGAGTGGAAATCTACAACCCGCACGGAGATGCACCCTTGCCTTTCAAAGCGGTCTCTTTTGTACGAAGTGGCCAGGTACATGTTGGAGCTGTTGGCTCTACGAGAGACTTGGACTTGGTGTCCGAGCTACTTGATGACCTGGCTTCGATCTTTGCTGAGGTCTGCAGATGTTCAAAAAGTGTCTTACTCGATGCTGCGGTATTCTGAGATGCGTGCTATGATTGAATTGACTTCTCAACATTCATCCAGTGTTGCTGACTATCATGCTCAATCGCAGATGAGCTGTGTGTACTGTTCGTGGTGGTCAATCGATGGGTATGGCATGTTTCTCAACACCTCATAGTATTCAGTTTTGGTCCATTCTTTCTGTCTTTTTCTAATATTCCTAAGGCATGCAATACACTGCCGTCACCAGTAATCTAACTACGTTCTGCAAGGGTGCACAAGAAGTCTTCAAAGTAGCTTTGATATGATTAACTGAACTCTTATCTGCATCTATGTAGCATGGAAATGGATGATGAAGTGAACGAAATGACCTGACTAGATGATATAGTACAGTAAAGTGGCCCGGCAAAAGCTCGATGACCAGGCAACCGCTTTTCTCAGGTTGCAACAGTCTGGTGCATGACATTCTCTCGGTAACTCTGGGAGCGCTCAAGTAATTGCTCATGGCCTCCATGGTCCATGCCCTGTCCGTTTTCAATCAAAAAGATCGTGTTGGCTTTGCGAATTGTCCGAAGACGATGGGCAATTGCAATGACAGTAATGCCCCTCGCAGCTTTTTCAAGGCCATCTTGCAGAAGCTGTTCTGACTGCGCGTCTAGCGCACTTGTCGACTCGTCGAGTATCAACAATCTAGGCTTCCGCACAAGTGCTCGGGCGATTGAGAGACGTTGCTTCTGTCCGCCAGAGAATTGATTGCCATTCGGCCCGCAGAGTGTCTCATAGCCATCAGGCAGACTCATGATGACATCGTGAATATTGGCAAGTTTACGCGCGTCTTGAATCTCGTCCATGGTAGCTTCATGGTCCGGACGGGCACCGAGACCAATGTTGAATTTGATACCGCCTTCAAATAGGACACTTTCTTGCGGAACCAATGAGATGTCATTACGAAACGCGACTTCCTGATGCTTGGTCACATCAACTCCGTCGATGAGGATACCGCCCGATTGCGGTTTGTAGAGCCTCTCGACGAGGGATATTATCGTAGATTTACCTGCACCACTTGGGCCAACGAGTGCACAGAATTTGCCTGGTTGAATTTCAAGATTCAGCCCGTTCAGTACTTTGACATCATCTCGAGCTGGATAGGCAAAATGAACGTCGCAGAACTGTACACCCAGAGCTCTGCTGTTGATAGTGGTCTTCGGTTCGCCGACAGGGTTGAACGCCTCAGGATCTCGATCGGCGGGCTTTGCAGGCACGGCATTGCGAACACGACCCGACATGCCAGTTGAGCCAATGTCAATGAGACTGAGAACTCTTGCCATGGCGGCACGTGCATTTGAAAGTTCAGGAGCGAGAGCAAACATCTGGCTCCACAGAAGTGCGCTTACAAGAAGCGAGAAAACGACAATCAGGAATTGTGTCTGGGTGTAAGTTCCTGCAACAATCTGCTTCGAGCCCCACCAATATGCGAGAGCATTGACACAATTTCCAAGGAAATAAGTCATGGCTTGCCAGAAACCTGCGATAACGGTGACCTTCAATGTCTCCTGGCGCGGTCCTTTGAGAGACCGCCTGTAGGTTTTCAAGGTTTCCTCTTCAAGGGATAAGGACGCAACCGTCTTGATAGATGAGATTGCCTCTGTGCCGATATCGACCGATCTAGTATATGCATTCTCGTGGCGCTCTTCAAATTTTCCAAGCACGTGAAGCTCCATCAAGCCCGCCCCAAGGAGCATTGGCACCAAGGACAGACAGATGAGAGCAATCTTCCAGGCAATAATGTGAGTGAGAACAATTGCAGCGACGAGGTTCACGGAGATGGAAAATAGTGACCCGATCATGGAGCCACTCAGTCCAGCCAAAGAATTGCCATCGCGAGTGATGTATGAGAGAAGCATTGCAGGTGTCCGTCTCTTCGATTGATGCCAATGAAGATCCATGTTTCCGCTCAGTAGACTCAGATCTGAGGGTTTGTAAACCAATCAGTTCAGCATAGGTCCCTGTTTTTGCCATCAATGATGCATGATTGCCTTGCTCGACAATGTTTCCCTTGTGCATCACGATGATGTTGTCTGCTTTAGTGACAGTAGCGAGACGATGGGCGATCGTGATCACCGTTCGGCCGCGTGAGATGTTGTTGATCGCGTTCTGGATACGCTGTTCGCTTCACGAATCAAGTGAAGCCGCGGCTTCGTCTAGTATAAGAACTGCGGGATCTTTCACTAAGGCGCGAGCCAGCGATATACGTTGTTTTTGTCCGCCGCTTATCAGACGACCGGCAGACCCCACGGATGTTCCATATCCACGGTTGAGTTTGGAAATGAATTCATGGGCGTCTGCAAGAATGACTGCATTTTTGACAAGATCCACAATTTCCACAACAGCTGGTCCACGAGCCTCTGCTGCAACTGAAAGCTCCTGCCCTTCCCTGATCTCGGCAGCAAGTTCTGCAAGAGAAGAGCTTAGCAGCGTATCTTTGAGCTCTTCATGATTGGGTTTGCTTGAATTGATGAGGCCGTGCGCAATGTTCTCCAGCAGGGAGCGATCCAGAAGCGAGGGTTCTTGCTGCACAAGACTGCAAAAACCCCGTAGGTCACGAATGTTGATATCATGGAGGGGCATGCCATCAAAGGTCACTTCTCCCTCAGTAGGGTCGTACAATCTGGTGCACAGTGCCGCAATGGTTGACTTCCCGCTTCCAGAAAGCCCGACAAGGGCGGTATGTTGCTTTGCGGGGAGAGATAGCGTGATCTTGTCCAGAACCTTAATCTCTGGCCGGGAAGGATAGATAAAAGAGACGTTTTTGAACTCAAACTCGCCCTCAGCACTGCCCAGACGAGTACCACAAGAAGCAGTCGCATCAATTAAAGGCTCGCGGTCAATGTCCTCCTTTAGCTTAGAATGTGAAGCAACGGCTTGAACAAAGAGGTGTAAAAATGGCGCAACCTGACTCAGCAACAGAGTTGCTTTCAATTCCATTAGCTCAATCTTTAGGGTACGAGGAAGCTTTGAGGAAATACCTTCAATCAGAATGAAAATAACGGTGAATGTCGAGCCCACGGTGACACCAGCGGTCTCGCCATTTACTGCATCGGCGATTCGATGCGCGCCTTGCCAAAATGCAAGACCATTCGCACCATAAGCGATAAAGTACAACACTCGAGACTGAACGCCGACTGCTGTTGCTTTCTTCAAAGCCTCGTGTTTTGCTAATTTGAGAGCACTTGAGAACTTTTTCTCCAGTCGAGCATTTGCCCCGAAAGCATGGACCACAACGATATTGGAGAGTGCCTCGGAGGCAATCGTTGTAGCGGATGCGGCGTAATCGGACATCAAACCAGCATATTTTTCGATATAGTGGCTTCCAACAAAAGACATCACAAGGTACGCAGGGATCAATGAGAGAAGAATGGCGGCAAGCTCCCAATACTTGATGAAGGCAACAATGTACGCTGTCACGAAGAAGGAAATTGCCGCAACGACAATTCCCACTTTCTCGGAAGTGCCCGAGCGGATAGTTTGGATATCACTGCTCAAACGAGAAGCCACTTCACCTGGCGTCAATTTATCGAAGTGGGAGGGCTCCTGCCGCAGGAGATTCTTCAGATAGCTTTCCCGCAGCCTTTGGGCTAGACGTGCGCCAAACATGGTCCAGCATGTCAGGTGAGCGTAGATCAGAACAAATTGCGCAATGGCAAGGTATAAAATCAGCCATATTTTGCTGTTGATGTCGTTTTGATACTTTGCATTAGATCCTGGTGAGCTTGTACTGGTTGTTTCCTCGCAAGTCACTGAGTTGAAATCGTCGAGCAATTGACCAAATAGGATTCCAATAATAGGAAAAGGTACACCAGAAGCAATGGAACAAGCTAGTCCACCGACAAGGAGACCAACATCGAGACCCGATGGACTTGCTGCAACGAGGAGTCGAGGGTATCCCGCCAGCTTCTGGAGGAAGCGCATCGTGCACTAGGACAACGAATCGCACTGAAATTAAATACAGCTCGGTCAATATCGTAACGCATCAACGTCGACTAGAGAGCAAGACACACCTCGGCCACTGAGATTCCGCCTGTGTTATCGGTCGTCAAAGAGAAGACTGCGGCAGCTCGCGCGACAAGCAGTGATCTTGAGAAACAACGTGCTGTCCAACCCAGGGCCTCAGTAGTGAGTAGACTGATTCAAGCCCGAGGAGACCGAATGAGGTGTGATAAGACTGAGAATTAGATGGATAAACAAATCAGAACACTTCGTCTAGTTGTACTTCCCTTGTAAAAGCATCAGGAAGTTTTTGTCGTGGAGTAGAGGATCCCCAAGTCTCGCCAAAACGGCTACCCTTATTTCCCGACATCGGTACCTATGAAGCGGAACTTTTTCATTCCGGATCAGATAACTCAACCTAGTGGAGCTCCTATCCTCAATGCCTCGAGTGACTCAAGTCTGGCTGCAGATCTGAGATTTGGATGAGCTACGACGAATGAAGTGGAGTGATTCAGTATTATTGCATCCTTGGCATCTCGGTGGCTCTCACGGTATGCGTCTGGACTCTGGTCTGGCCTTTTTATACGGTATCCCGAGTCTGTAATTTGTATGGTATTTGAATGTATGTAAAAGGGCTTCCGGCCACACAGTATCGTATGTAACTTACAGCTGGAAATTGGTTTTTGATGGATACTAAATACTCCAACCCATCCGGCCGCTCACCTTCCGACATGTGATCACTTTCAAACCTTCTTTTGAGAGGCTGAAGACTCGACCAGGCCGAATTCTGCGGCTAGATGCCGATCAAATCAATGTGAACTTGCTCCGACCTGAGTACTCGTGGAGTCGTGTACTCCTCACATCAATGCCCCTGTCGGATCTCATCATTTAAGCCGACCGAGAAACGATGGCAGAAGCAAGCAGACTAACCCTCATGATCCAAGGGAGAATTTGAAGAAAGATCAAATTGGGTTTTTGTGGATCCGCCCAGCCATTATCGCTTCGCAGGCTGCACTGTTGGCAATCATTTCATTCGAAGACAATCATAAAAATCAACGGAGCGCTCAGCACTCTCTAGACCTCCGAAAAGAATAGTCAAAAACCTGCATTCTATAAAATTGAGAGTCTCCGTATTACGTAGCACACTTACAACACCGATCCCTGATGCATCCTCTCGATCATTTGTTTGATAAGGCAACCTGAACGTTATCTGTGTGGCTATCCGAACTTTTTTGATCCTGGCTTGCGCCTCTCAAGATTGTCTTCAGACGACGATCACAGTTTCGCGTTCCAGGCGGCCCTGTCAGCCGACTCAAGAGGCTTTTCCCGCCCATCCCAGAATAGGGGACAAAGCTGGAACCATTTCTCTCGACTTGCAATGCTGTGGACTGAGCGCTTATGACCAAGATCGACATATTTGCCGATTGTGAGACCCTGAGCATTCTCATATGAGAGAATCGTCCCACCGGTCGCCTTGGGTTCTCCCACAAATTGACCGTCCTTGGATCGTCCAAGAAACAATAGTGAATGCAGCTTGAATACCATGAGTTGACACGATGGGCTCCCCGGAAAGACGCGTCACCAACCAGCGAATGACGGCCACGGTCATAATCTCCTGCGTCGTAATGGGCACCGTAGTGGTCTTCCTGTTACTTGCGATCAGTACTTATCTTGTGTCCATGCTGCGTAGAGCTGTTGGCAAATCGTCAATACTTACTTTTGCCCAATATAGCTCAAAATATGAGAAGCACGTATCATCGAATCGACCAAACAAGCAAAGCACATGAGGATCAAAGTGCAGCTTACGGAGATACTGTCGATGTTCATCAAGAGTTCCCGTCGCATTCCAGCCCTTCGCGACACGTGGATCGTTTTGCCACTTGTTGAATAGGCACAGATGCTCATCGTTCCTCCAGTCCACAACCTCCAAAGAAAAATGCTGGTCAACTTCTGGGACGTATCTACTGTAGACGATCGATCCTGGATTGGGCTTTGGTCGGCGAGTCGGATGACGAGTATAGACTGCCTCGTCTGGAAACTTCATGGTGGTCTGGTAATTCTCCGGCATGAGTGGAAATTGGTCCAGGGGCTTACGGAGAGGCCCATCTGTCCCATCTCCTTTGACCAGATCGGCCGAGGCCCCGTTGGAGACGCCGCATCCCAAGCACAAAAAGTTACGTAAAGTGGATGCCGGCCGAGGCGGCCTAATCTAATCAGATGGGCCAGTTCAGTTTCTTGGGTCCAAATCGATCAGTTAAACCAGCGTGTCTCACGATACCTGCGCCAAGCCCACGAGACGGAGATTGGGTAGCTGAAAAGCCCGGTCATCTGTTGCCTCAAGTTCCTGAGGACTCGGAACAAGTCGGCAACGACACATCGCTTCAGGAAAATAGACATGGCTCTAACGTAACCGGCATCCCAAGAACAAAAGCTAAGGTGGACCCGTGTGCTTGGATGGTGCATTTTCGCTTAACGGGTTCCATCTGTGCTCGTTTGCGAAAGCATTACATCCATCGTTCCTGATGCTGTAGCTGCGGGTCCAGCTTGAATCCAAAATTTCAACCCCAGTCGCTGTTATCAGATCGAAACCGCCCCGGGCAAACTTCCAAATCGGCATCAGTGGGCACTAGGCAGTTGGCAGTTGGCAGTTGGCAGTTGGCAGTTGGCAGCTGGCACTACTGGGCACTACTGGGCAGTGGGCACTAATGTACGCAGGCAGAATCCACTGATCCAGTCAGTGTTGGCGTGGATGGAAGGCCCCCACCCTTTCATTGTGCCTGGTTCTGGAATGACACATTGTTTCCACGATCAAAATGCCGAGTTTCGACTCTCGTCTAGCTAAGTCTTTCACGGACTGCGCGAGGAAATGCAAAAGGAATGGGAGGTTTCGCGAAGTCGGAGCGTTGACCCTGATTGATAGAGCCCATTCAAGGACTCCCCGATCGTCATGGAGGAGAAGTCTCCAGGCCGCTTCGATGTCGCGATGTCGTGAAGATGAAGTCTGCTATGTCAGCAACTCGCAATGGACTGTGTGAATCTCTCATCCTCTGCTGTCACCTTGTTCATGGCGTACCTAGTCATCCACTCAAACATCCTCATCCGAGTAATCTCAGCAAGCTCGTCGAATGTGTTTTGACTGAAACACCCCGGTCTCAATCGAAAGAAGTCTGCCTTACTTGAGTACCTCGTGCTCATTTTTATGCCATCGGCGCAGACATAATATCAATGGACTGATCTTACTCGTAGCTCATGACAACTTGTGTCGCTGGATAATCAAATCTGCACAGTCAGAGTCGCGTTTTTCAGAGCTGGTCTTGACATGGCGATCGAGCCGAGCACTCAGATAACACTATAAACAGACGGCGATGCGTCCAAACATTTTCAAGGCTCAGACTTCCTCTTCGTCCACTTCTTCCACATGGGCTTGCTTCCTTTGTTCTTGGTTGAACCTCCTTTCTTCCTCCTCTAGAAGCCGTAGCTCCTCCATTGCAGACTCGTCTGCTGGCGGTGCACCAGCTGTCATTCCTCCTGAGATCCCAGCCGTATATCCAGCCTTCTCGAGCTTGTCCATTTCCTCCGGTTCCAGCAACTTCCCTGTGCCCTTGATCGACTCTTGCTTCATTCGCACCGCGGCTGGGACAAACTTGCTCACCGCCTCCTTCCGTAGATCGCGTATCTCAGGCTTGGCCTCGTAGATCGTCTTCGCCTCAACCACCGGTGGCTTAGCTGGAAGCGCATGAGGCCCACGACGCTCTGTTGGTCCTTCCGTGGGTGGGGCATTCCTTCTCCTGTGGTATTCGCGAGGGATCGGAGGGGGCGTATCTCGAGGCATTGGTATCTTTCGCACTTCTTCGTCTGTTTCACTGCCCTCACTGTCCTCACGTGATCGACCCGAAGCAAATTCGCGCCTGCGCTTGCCCAGCACATGATCACCTGGCTCTCTTCGCGACCCTTGGAAGTCTCCTCTCGCGCTTTGAGGGAATTGAGGTGCTTTGTCACCCAGTGCTTCTCGGGCTTTGAGTACCGCTTTCAAATCCCGCTCGAGGGCCCCTAGGACTTCCTTGTCGCGAGGGCGTAATTGCTGTCCGGATTCCTCCATCGACTTGAAATCGTTGATTTGCCGCTGAATCCGGTCTGGGTTGCGACGTGCCAACTTTTCGTTCCGCCGCGCTAATTGCTCCGCTTTGCTTTTCTTCAAGCTCTTCATCTTCTCTTGCTTCCGCTGCGCCGCAGCAGGGTTGATGCTGCGCTCCTTGTCTTTCGCCATCACGAAGATAGGAATGTGGACGAGTCTTGGTGCTCAATGGTGTTTGCAATCGGTCGCGCGGAGAACATGCGAGGTAGAGACGATAGCCGTGTGGCAATGCGACTGTGGTGAGAAATGGAGATAACGGCGAATAGAGTCGGCGAACGATGGTCCGTGATTGGGTGGCGCAGCGAAAAGGCGTGCGCGAGAGAATCGCAGGCCCAAAATCGTTTGATAAGAACACACCGAGGATTGGCGGACTGCGTGATTTGCCAATTTGTTCAGTCTGATCAAGACTCAAATCTTGAGCACCGGCGATGGGGAAGACAGGTGTGCAGCTGTCGATCGACAAGTAAAGCGTTGCGGTCGCGATTCGTAGTGTCCGTGCTGAGTTGCCGATTACGCAGGCAACGGACACGCCGGAAGTTTCTCAAGCCTCACAAGTTGGGCAGCACTGTCCTAGATGATATTCTGAGGTCCAGACAGGCAGCTATGCGGGTTCGGGCGGATACTTCTGAGGCGTCGAGCTGTCAAGGGAGTGGAACGAGGTGGTCAGAGAAGGAAGTGGAAGAAGCTGTCGCAGCAAAGGCGGAGTGAGTGGAGGAGCTTTCCATGGATCGGAATGGATCCCGTCGATATGCAACTACTCTAAGAGGTTCAGGCCAGGCGGCTCTGATTTAAGAATGCTACAGCTGCAGAAGATTTCAGGTACCTACAAGGCACGCTCGACGAGGTACAAGTACAGGCGTGCTCTCGCCATGCTTCTACTGGCATCACCGAATAATCCTCGTCGAGGGACTCCGAGGTAGGTCCGAGGTAGGTACCTCGTTCACCTTGAATCTCTCTCGTAGTTCTTTGGATCTACTGCCCAAATGCGTCCTCCTGAATGTTCGTAGTCGAGGCAAAGCGTGTGTCTGTCGCACATGCACTGACTTGAGTCGTGATCGCCCGCTAATGACTGGCTGCGTTGAATATGTCAAGCACAGCAGAAGAAGCCCCTCCTCGAACTAAAGAACACCCCGTCGTTATACGATCCTTCTTGTTCACGCTCACCGACTGATTTGAATCCTCTTGGACTCGCTGCGTTGCTTTTTGCTCTGCCGCCTTTTTCCACTGATCACCGCTCTTTGGTGCCCTCGCGCGCGCGCGAGAGCACACGAACAAGAGGCTTGTCTTTTTGATCGCTATCACTCTCGCCCGACCTTTTATCCCGGCTTGAATCGGGCGCCGAGATTGTCCCTCGACTCCCAACTCCCAACATCCAACTTCCTCTGGATCATGACAGTTACAGACCGCTGAAGACCCGTGCACATACCTCTTGTAGTACCACTAGACTGGATCAGTGTCACATCTATCGCTATCACGGTCAGCTCATTCTCGCGCGGCTATTGTCCCGTCCAAGTTGGGGCGAGCCTGGTCTCCTATCTTGGTGGTGTAACAGACCTTGACGAGCCGCGCTTCACTTGCCGCTCACCCCCCAGAAGTGCATCGGTCTCGCACTCTGCCCCTTTCCCTTTTCTCATCGCCCTCTTCGCCGTCCCCTTTCACTGCCACGGAGCTGATTTCGGGAAATTTCTCCACCGCTGCGGACTTATAAGAGGGCCCGCGACGAATCTTGTCGCTGTTTTCCGTGCCGTCCACCTCGGATTCTCCACCGCGAGGCTCCTAACCTCCCCGCATCCAGGCCCTCCCACGTCTCCAACTCGGCCAACTTCAGGGGAGCACCGGTGCGGGAAATTCACTCGGCTCAACCAACAAACTCAGGCAGATTCGTCGCTTCCACAATGATCTTCGGTCCGTGTATGTTAAACCTGAGTTTGATTGGCGCTTCGTAGACCGGCGGTTGGAGCATGTCTCTGCCGGATCCAAATGTCCGTTTCAGCATCTTCGATTCCCGACACCTCGCTGGGCCTCACCTCATCCGAAATTCAGATCCTCCGCCAACAGCAACAGATTGCATTACAAGGCGGTCATGCTGGAAATGGAGGCTCGAGGGGCCGTGGTACGGGCCGGACCAGCAATTCCAGCTCTCGCGCAACCAGTGCTGCCAGCAGTCAGGGCCGGTTGCTCTTGGACCCGATGAGTCTGCGTGCGCTATCCCATCAGTTAGACGATCTGCAGGCGCAGATTCGTGGTCGCATTGAATATGTATGTCTGCTCCTAAAATTCTGTCAGCCGTAAGAATTCTGCTCTCGACTTTACTGGACCAACATTCTGACTTTTCTGTGAATTGCTCCGCACAAAGTTGGAGGATCAAATGCAACGCTCTATTCGGAATAGCTATGATCGCGCAGGGAACGTGATTCGCAATGCAGATGCAGAGATCGCTCGCACCCGATCGATCCTCGCCAGTATCGATGAGCTGGACAACGAATTGGCCAAAATCGCCCACATTCGTGACATCGTCAAGTCATTCCGAGCTCGGATCGAGACTCTGGATCATCGTATGGAGCAGAGCTCCCGAAGGCGGCGATAAACCGTGGACACCTGTGACCGGTCATACACTTCGACGGCTGTACTTGGAAGTCTGTCTTCTCGTCATACGGTCATTTTGATCCTCACACCCTCAATCCTGCCAATACTTCTCGCATCCCGTGTGCCAAACCCTTTCAACAACATTCCAACACCGTTTTCGCAGTATGTCTCTGTAAAAGCAACAATCATCCGATTGCCACTGATTATCATAGTACGATATAGGGGTGAATGATCAACCCGGGCGCAAAGCTCGTGACGATCTTCTGTACACGGCTGCCAAGTCATATCTACCAATTCTATTCTACTTCTTTGGTCAATAACCACATTATTTCTTGAAGTGGTGCATCTGCTTGTCTCCGTTGCTTTCATCTCATCTCTTTTGATGTTTGTTCTATGGTACATATGTTGTGAAAGACCTACACGCCTCGCGGCACTCGTATTCCTGCACTTTCACTCGTGGATGCTGATAACTGAGATGGAGCTGGCTTCCACGGGCTGTTTATACTTGGATCTTTCAGATGTCGTCTGTATATTCTGCCTCAGATCCATTGTGTTCTGGTGCGGTTCTGGTGCTCCAGCAGCAAGCTTCCAATTCCGTCGTCCCGACCTAGCGCGGGAGAATCTGGAATTTTTGAGGATATTGATGCGGAAAAAGCACATTGGGATTGTTGTGGATTGTGTGGTGCGTACCTTGAATCTTGTTTTGATCTCCCGTGTCAATCCAACAATTTCAATCTTCATACAATCTCTTTATTGTTCATTTTTGTAGGTAACGAACTTCAACGCATTAGCTCTATTGTGATCTGCCTACGCTTTACCAACGCTTACACCTCGCACACGTTGCCTAACAGCGTGCCCACTTATTATAGGACAGCCAAGAATCACTAGAGAAGTGGCCTTAGCATTGTTCGGTGGGCTAGGGGACGGAAGAATCGAAGTGTGAGTGGCCATTGCGCAAATGCGCAAACGATCGGTCACTGGAAAGGCTTATTGACCTTCGTATGACAGAGGTAGGGAGGTGGTTTTTGCGTGCGACCACTGATGGCCTATATTTGGTGCGCATGTCAAAGTGAAGGTCGTCGTCTGCGTTTGCCCACGTCTCATAGGTGAAGACTTCCTAATCAGATGTTGCCGAGGTGTAGTGTTCGCAGACGCCATAATAATTCAAGGAGGCTAGAGAGAGACCACTTTTTTCAAGAAATCTTATCTGATGGATTTTTCCTTGTCTCCCGTGCTCGGACTTTTCGAAGATCTGACAGCTTTTCGCTGCGCGTTGAATTTTGAGGGACATGTTTCTCAGTACCGCAGACAAGGCATTGCGTGACCAATACATCAGCCCATGGCTTCTTGCGTCCCCGGCTTTCATTTCGAACTTCACTCTGACACGTCAACCCTGGGGTCAGCAAAGTATCGCAGCGTTTGCAGAAGGATCTCTTCACTGGGATAGACAATCGCGTTTGTGTCTTCAATGATACGCCTCGCATCTGAGAAACATAGACTCTGGACAAGTTGAGCAAATGATCCTTGTCGCCAGGCTGGCCGATTCGAGCAGTTCTTGTCCCCGTGGCTGCGTCGATTGACAGTGACCGGCGTTCCAGGTCGGTTCTGGTGCTTGATGTCGAAGATTCACCATCTCTGGTCTGCCCTCTAGAGTTTTCTCGTTGCTGACAATCTTGGAAATAGTGTGCAGCCTGTTGCAAGAAATCGATTCGTGACTTCAGATGACTCTTGGCGTTCTTCGCTTCTTTTTGAACCCGACCTTTAGCCATCTTGTGTTCGGTTGCTTGAAGAGATGATCCACAGGAAAGAGCGACTGCAAAGCGAAAACGTCGGCCTTATGACGCTAAGCCTGTTACGATTAAATGGGTCCGTGCACGTGATGCGGTCGCGCTCTCTGCCACTTCGCTGTATCCCTCGCAGCCGCGACCACTCTTTGTCATCTCTACCTGGCCGACTCTCATTCTTCTTTTGCCATCACATCTCACGAATTGTCAACACCTCCATCTCGGTTCTCACGCTACATCGTCGATAACATCGATTTCTTCCTGGTCTGAACTACTCTTGTAATCCAAGCGCATCTCGTCTTAGAAGACGCGATACAGCAATCTTCCAACCTCTCACCTGCACCTGTCTTGACCATCGCCACCATGTCTCACGAGGAGGATCTCATCGACTACTCTGACGAGGAGCTTGGTACCACAGCGGCCCCAGCCACTGCTGCTGCTCCTGCTGCTACCAACGGCGATGCAGACAAGAAGGGCGATCTGACTGTCTCTGGCGGTCGCCCTGACAAGAAGGGCAGCTACGTCGGAATTCACTCCACCGGTTTCCGCGACTTCTTGCTGAAGAACGAACTCCTGCGCGCCATCACTGACTGCGGCTTCGAACATCCATCGGAGGGTTAGTCTAACATATTTCCCACGTACCTCCTTCAGTTACTCCAAACTCCAACGTCCGTCCATCTCCGCAAGATCTCGATGTATCACCGGGGAACATATCTGCTCCACCAGGCAAGCGACACCAGAGGCCATATCGTCCGTGAGTGATGATGTGCAGTCACCTTTGACAGGCTTGGTGACCCGGCGCACTTTGCTGTCTGTTGGCGCATACTCCTGTACTGACCTTTGGGTCATTTGGTTCTTACCTTGCGTTTTGTTTCCTGCGGACTCCTCAGTCTTCGGGGACAATCACATGGTCACGGTTCCTGGTGGTACGGGTGGGGCAAGCAGCTGTTCCCATCATGTCGCTTGACGGTGGGGGCTGTCGGTACGGACTCATCTAAACATGATTGTCTGTCTTGGACATTGGCAAGTTGCTTGCGCTGTATGCGGCGCAAATTATACGAACTCAGGAGATACTTTCGAAACGATCACATCACAAATTTCCGTTGAGGGAATTTTCCATAAGCGAGATGGGCGGACGATCGGACATTCACCTCGCGACGCGATTGTTTTTTGCTGCTTCAACTTGAGTCGAACCCAAATCTAACCACCACTTCGCCTTCATACAGTCCAGCAGCATTGCATTCCTACCGCCATCCTCAATGTCGATGTGCTCTGCCAGGCTAAGTCTGGTCTCGGAAAGACTGCGGTCTTCGTTCTTACCACTCTGCACCAGTTGGAGCCTGTCCCTGGCGAGTGCTCTATCCTTGTGATGTGCCACACCCGTGAACTTGCCTATCAGATCAAGAACGAGTACGCTCGCTTCTCCAAGTACCTGCCTGATGTGAAGACTGCCGTCTTCTACGGTGGTACCCCCATTGCCAAGGATATCGAGGTTCTCTCAAACAAGGAGACCTATCCTAACATTGTGGTTGCCACCCCCGGTCGTCTGAACGCTCTTGTCCGCGACAAGAAGCTGTCTCTGCGCAACGTCAAGTCCTTTGTTCTCGACGAGTGCGACAAGATGCTCGACCAGATTGGTATGTTCCATGTCGCTTTGGTAACCAGATTTCTCAGAAGCTGATTGTATTCTTCACTTGCACCAGACATGCGCCGTGACGTTCAGGAGATTTTCCGCGCCACCCCTGCTGACAAGCAGGTCATGATGTTCAGCGCCACCCTCTCGCAAGAGATCCGCCCCATCTGCAAGAAATTCATGCGCAACCCTCTTGAGGTCTACGTCGATGACGACACCAAGCTCACCCTGCACGGTCTCCAGCAATACTACATCAAGTTGAGCGAGAATGAGAAGAACCGTAAGCTCAATGAGCTTTTGGACAACCTGGAGTTCAACCAGGTCATCATTTTCGTCAAGAGTACGCTGCGTGCCAACGAGCTGGACAAGTTGCTGCGTGAGTGCAACTTCCCCAGTATCGCGGTTCACTCTGGCGTCAGCCAAGAGGAGCGGTAAGATCGATCCCTTCTGCGTTCACTACGAATTACTCTTTGCTAACCTGCAACAGTATCAAACGTTACAAGGAGTTCAAGGAATTTAACAAGCGCATCTGTGTTGCCACCGACGTCTTCGGTCGTGGTATCGATATCGAGCGTATCAACCTGGCTATCAACTACGATCTTCCCGCCGATGCCGACTCCTACCTTCACCGTGTTGGTCGTGCCGGTCGTTTCGGTACCAAGGGTCTGTCCATCTCCTTCGTCAGCAACGAAGATGATGAGAAGGTTCTTAAGGAGATCGAGAAGCGCTTCGAGGTTGCCCTTCCGTACGTGTTCACCCCCTCTTCGCACTTCGCCTCGAAGTCAACCCTTCACAGAGTAACCAGTCACTAACACTTTTGTATACAGTGAGTACCCTGAGGGTGGTGTTGACTCCTCCACCTACATGGCTTAAGCTGCTTTCGATCAAGTCCAGTCTCGTGCAATAGCTGCGTACGGGTCCTTGACCTCCTTTCACAAATTTTGGTTATCTTTTCTTTCTTCTGTCTCCGGTTGGAACTACGATATGGCGCAATAGCTGTGGCTATGGAATTTTTTTTTCCGCTTGGGCGCACGAAGCAGTCTCTGGCATGTACGTCAAAATAAAAATGAAAGCAAGTACAACGGAATCGTTCAGGCGTCGTAGGTCTTTGATACAACTCGACTATTCCCCGTCCTATGGAAGTCTTGGCCTCCAAGGAAGGTTGCGCATTCTACTCTTCACAATCTGTTTACTACCTCCGACATCGAATTGCTCTGCTTCCTGGCCAGAAACAGCCAATCAAGTGGACCAGAGACTCGTGACGCAGATCTGTGCAGCCTTCACTTGTTGAATGGATCGACCTGGCAGTCAATTATGGCTTGGACACACAAAGTGCTGGGGCGTCGGATGTCGTATCATACAGTCAGCAACAATGATTCATGGGAGCTACTGAACAAACACACCTTCAGCTTCTGGCGACGACAGCGCCTACACGCACTACCCAACTTGGTCCTCTCTTGCGAAGCCATTCTTCGTGGTGCTCTTGGCTGCACTGGTCGGAAGTCAAGAGCGATATTGAATGAAGGCGGATCCACAATTTCACGGCGGGCTCACTTGAGATTTGGCGGCGAGTCATCACGGTTTCGTCTTCGACGATGCATTTGCCTTTGTCTGCGCGAAATCCAGCATTCGTCCACGAGGTCCTTGGCATGCCCGTCCGAGTCATCAGAGCCAGTCCTCTTAATCTGATGATCCTCGATATCTGGTAGAACTTTATGAGTACGAACTGAAACTTTCAGGTCGAAAAGAAAGCTTTTCTGTTCCATTCTGATGTGTGGATCGAAGGACACCCGACACACCCGGCCGATATCTGGTGGCAATGGACCCTTTAACATTCAAATCCGTTGAGTAAGCTTCGGCTTTTTCCTGCACGGGCTCGAACGTCACGGTTGTTGGTTCGTTGGTGATGGCGCGTTCCTTGGCGGCATTCAGAATCGTGATTGTGGCGGTTGCTCCATACGTGTTACTCCCAAGCTCTTGACGTGCGAAAGATTGTTCGACGTTCGAACATCACCTGCGGCCTTGGTCTGAAAAATGCGTGATGATTGCTCCCGCATCAACTTCAAATCGTCAACAGTGGTGCCGAGGTAGTTGTAAGGGCCATCCAGCTGCTTGACAAAGCCGTACCCAGCAGAAGTCTTGACGATGGTTTATTTCGAGCGCGGAACGTGAAGCTGGAGGGATGTGAATAGAACTCGAATTACTTGCGAGCTGGAGAGCAGAATATGGATTCCTCCCCGCGTTTATACGTACCCCGTCGCGACTTATATCGTCCCTCCTTTCAAGATCATCAATTTCAATGACTGTTGATTGACGGGGCATATCACCCGAGAAGTTCGCGACGACTGTGACTAAGCACTGTACGCTATGAGTCTGTGATACACTGTAAGTAGGTATGATGGGCAGGCACTTGATATCTGGTGGAAACAAAGCCCATTCAGTAGTATTCCACCCGGCTGTTTCGCTCCTCGGCGAACCAGACGCTGGGATTCCGGTTCCAGTGCCGTTGGACAGAAACGCAAAGCCTTACCAGTTCCGGTGGAAAGATTGCCTTTTTTGCCTTTTTGGGAACAGGGTCCATGCGGCTGGCCATGATCTGTTCCTCGAGTTTGAGCGAACAACAGTTGGGTTAGTGAGTTGTTTGACATTTGGAGAATCTCTCGGGACGTGTTTTCTCGGGCTTATTGTGGACGGAGAGTTTTTAGTCAAAAGTTAGATCTCTTGTCGTACACCAGTAGTCTCTCGTGTGAATTGACGAGACGAAGTTGAGCATGTGATTGTGCCCGCTATAGGACCTCCGCCCTTGTCATCTGGTTGAGGACAGGATGAAATAAGGTTGGTAGCTGGTAGATTTTGGACACGGGCAAAAAGTGTGGTAAATTGTCTTTGTAGCCTCTGACCAGTAGCAACATATGGTTGATTTGTACGTTGTGCTGGTCACTACATCGGTTGTTGTATATCCTCTGACAAAGACTTCCGATGCGGTAGGGGGTCAAACCTCGTCCGATACTTTGTATCATAATAGAACGACTTCGACTAAGTTTATAATTTGATGTCAAGATCCTCCGCTAGACTACGAGCCACAGTAGGCACTGTGACACCCGCTGTAGCTATGGGTGGTATTCCACCAAGGCTGTTTGAGCAGGACCGGCTGGTTTCATCGGGGATGAAAGCAATGAGAATCTTAACGATGCCAGATCTACCGCTGCAGGACTTTTGTATCTTTGAACGTGTCAAACAGGCGAGACCAGGCTGCCTCGATCTCAGATGGGAGGTCAACATGCGAAATGAAGTCCCGTCCGCGGGGACCATAGCCCTCCTCGTCGTCTCTTAATCTCGGTATCTCCCCCATGATCAACTCAATGAAGCGATCGAATGTCCACATCCCAGGAACGATGGTCTTGTTCTGGTATTCCAATACGCCAGCCTTGGATATGTGCAACTTCGGCACCAACAACGGGCAACTTAGAAATTCAACAGAGAAAGGCGCATCTTGGTAGACTCGTTCAAAGGAGGCTTTTGTTCGTAGCATCATTGTCGGGTCTTGAGCAATGATACATGTCGACGGGGCAGAGAAGCCTGCCTGGCTGAGAACCTGGCGACTTTCAGATGCATTTTGCCCACAATTTGTGGACTTTTCTTCAATCAGGATACGGCATCCGTCTGCCTCAATGGCCGCTCGGTCGAAAAATTCATTTAGAATCTTCTCCAACACTCTAGCTTCTGGTAAGTCTTGGATCGAGTGAAAGAGTCTCGAGTAGCGTGGATGTTGTCCGACAGCGCTGTAGAGTAAGTTTGTCGAATGGCCAATGCCGCCACAAAGTACCAGACACTTGGCCAAGCCAGGCCTCGCTTGGAGGGTATCGAAGATCTTTTCAGCCCCATATAGAACTTGTGATGCGCACAGAACAATACAGTCAGCTGAAGGCACCGAGGAAAGATCCTCGAGTTCGCAGTTGCTCAGGAATGCTGCCAGTGTATTGATATCTGCAATTGTACTTGAATCGAGCGTCGTTATCCCGTCACATGCGACGTTGGGGTCTTTCAAACGACCGTCCATCTCTGTCAAGACTCCCATTTCCCGTAGCTTGCAGCTTTGGACAATATCATTGACTTCGATGTATGCAGACGGTCGAGTTTGAAAGAGGCGGCGAAGGGATGAGAGTAGGTAAGCGTTAAGGATCAGTGTAATGAGGACGGTCCTCTCATTGAGCATGTGATCTGGGGGCCCGCACTGCTGGTGTGACCCTCTCGCTCAATATTCGCAACATCGTCACCGCAATATTATCTTTGTTGGCTGTTCACCTCATCTCCCTCAGGACTACAAGATACCACGCTGATCGATGTGACAATGATCATATATCCCTTATTCCCAAGGCTTGTTCGCAGACTTTCTTGGCACTGACAGCGCACTTCCCCCACGCTTCGTTGGCATGGCGAAAGCTTCGACCACCACCGGGTTTGCCGCTTCCAGGCAGAGCCACCAGGTCCTAATGCTGACATAGGCCGTTTTTTGAAAAGTCGAGACTCGAGGCCGAGCCTTGACAAATCAAGGGAAAGAAATCTTTCGATGTATTCTTTCGCTTTATGCAGTCGCTGCGATGTACGACCTAAGCTCCCCTCACCCACACTTCGTCTTTCCTCAATTCTGAGGCGGGGATGACTATGAGGTACCTAGTACTCTAGTACTACTGCCACAGGGCCATCTAAGTGTTCCCTCTTTGGGAATGAAGTTGACACTCATACAGCGCAATGTCAAAGTCAACCACTCCGTGTGCTGGAAGCACAGTAGTAGCACAAGCTCTGCATGCAAACTGACCTTGGTGTTGGTCTACTTTTTTCTGGTCCCAACGTGAAGATCCGGTCATTCCCCGGCGCTTCCGAGCGCTGCCGGTCACCGACCATGATTGGACGGCATCTTAAAGGACGAGATTTGAAATGCTGGGTGTGAGTCCCTGATTTTCCCTCTGGAGAGGAGCTCTCATGGATCACACTGCGGTACTGTACTGTACCACTGGTTGTACCACTGGAGGACGATGCCACGGTGGAGGCGTACAGTTGAATCATCAGATTCTTCAATTCTTGCGCTTTGGGGGGATCCCGAACCATGAGATCCTGTCGAGGCATTAGCTGTGCAGTGGGCATTGGGCACTATGCACTTGCACAGTGAGTGCACCGGGGGTTCGAAGTTCACACCAGCGATTCAAGGTTGCATCGTACTCAATAGAAGTCAAGTCTCGTACAACACTTGCCACGCATTTGTTGATAGTCAGGTTGCCTTGACTCAATTTTTGTCTCTCGAGTCTCGACGACAATGTCCGTTTCTTCATTGGCAAGCCCAGGCCCGATGAACTCTCCCTGCCCCAAACAGAAACTGTGCGCGTTAATCCTCCTCTGTCAGGACTCGGATTCAGGACCGGAAATGAAGATGCGAATGCAAAACAAGGCAGTGAGATTGGGGCTCCATCATTTCGCCCGTGGGTCGGACCAGGACCGTGCGCCGCGCCCGAGGCATGGTCCCTGGTTTTTAGTCTCCGAGCGAAAGAGGTAGTCAGGTACACTACTCACCGGATGCTATGGGCGGGATTGGGATCGGATTGGATTGGAATGGATCGGATTCTTGGATATGAGAGGGTCCTCCATGTGGTACTGGGTACGGCGACTGGAGCACAAGGTTGAAGGGTGAAGGGTACAGTACAACATCGTAGAGGGGCTGACGAATGGAGCTGAGAGCATAGTGGAGCTGATTCCAATAGAGGACTCTTCTAGAACTGCCTGGGCGATTCAATCGTGTTGCAGGAAGAGAGATAGAGGTGCGAGTGGACATGAAGACAGAATTCGACAAGACCTGACGCAGATCTCTTGGGGAAACGACATGGCCGTGTCTTTCAGGAGTATCTATCGCGATAGTTACTCAGACCTTAGGCACAGGTACCACTAGTCCGAAGAGTTGCCGATCCAAACTGGTGCCAGAGTACCTGTAGGCTGAGACGCCAAATGTAGGTTGTGAACTTGTCACGACTCACTAGTCACTCAGTAGTAGTACGAACAGTAACTAGTAAAAGACTACTTATCTAGAGCCTAGGTATTCAGTCTACTGTCTAGTTCTACTGTCTAGTTCTACTGTCTAGTTCTACTGTCTAGTTCTACTGTCTAGTTCTACTGTCTAGTTCTACTGTCTAGTTCTACTGTCTAGTCGTGCCGAGCTAATACTGGCTCGGACGATTGAACCTCCTATGGACTCATGGAGTATGGATAATGAATGCTATTGATGAGTCTAATGCCAAGAGTGTTTGCGTGAGATCAGGCAGATTTGGGTAAACGATCAGTTGGACCATGGAAAGCATCCGTCAAGGCAGGCAATCTTCGATTCCGCAGCTTACCCGATGCTCTGTAGTACGTGTTGAGTGTAGTGCCCGTCTGGAACTCTGAACAGCCGGACCACGCAAAAACTTACCGGATACGGCAGACATGCCAGTCGCCTGGATTGTCCCCCCGAAATCAGCGCCCGCAAAGCCTTCGTGCCAAGCTCATGGAGAGAATCGACATCTCCCTGCATCTGCGATAGGCCCGGGACACGGAACCAGAATGGAGCAGGGCCTGTTCGCGAATGAGTTGCCCACCAAAACTAGCGAAAACAAATCAAGGCAGTGTGGGTTATCAGCCGGAACGGGTATCATTCACGCCCGCTGCCCGCACGTCACTCCCGTACGCATCCATTCGTGAGTAGTTTACACGCCTGAAGAACTGAATGTGGAAATGATGGCGACTTCAAGCAACGAGTGCATCATACGAGAAAGGTAGGGAACTGAAGGAACAGCGTCTCCGTGATTTGCAACCGAGCAAGGAGAACATGGGGCCAAGGGCGCGATCGAATGGGAACCAAATCTGAGACTCATAGCTGGAGCCGCCCGCGTAGACACTTTGGGACCCGGTGCAGGGCCCAAGCAGGTTAGACTGTTGAAGCCTCGAGACCCTTATCTCCCATCCCGCTTCCTGCCTAAGCTCGGTAGGGTTCCTGGAAAAGTCAATGGTCAAACGTGCCCAGGATTGGATCCACTGTCATCATGTTTCGTTTCTTGTGCTGTTGGATCATCAGGTAGAGAGCACAGACACCCGACCACGTCCGAAAGCCCATTGGATGATTGGACAAGTATATGTACTTGTTTGTTCGCTTGGAGCTCTCGCGGCTCCATCTTCGCGCACGACGCGACATGCACTAGTGATGTGTCTCCGCGCCCGTTGGGTACTTGCCTATCCGAGTTTAAAGTCACTTCGATGAGATGGGCTAGCTTGTGGTACCGTTCCCACCAATCAGGAGAAGAGTTGCTTGGTTTCGCAGTCAATGGTCAGCTCACGCCGTGCGGTCTATCAAGTGGAGAGGAGAGGTCGAGAGTCAGGGCGCGGAATAGTATAGGACTCTCCGTTTCGATTGACGATCGACAAGATGGTGAATCATGTTCCTCATGAACTACACCGACAAAGAAGAAGGTCGATCCTCGAGGCAGGTACCCGCCAGCCATATGGGATTGAAAGCCATGGATTGGACGGAATAGCCACCGTCCGTGAACAAGCTTCCGCTGTCACACGTTTCGTGGGAGTGCCGATGTGCTGAGACGGGGCGCGAATGGATATGCCTCGGGCAAACTGGCGGGGAGTGTCAGAGGGGCCCTATGACAGGTGCTGGAATCTGCACAGTGCACACTGCACAGAGCCATGGCGAATGAACCGTATATGAACTAACGTGCGATGAACATGCGTTCTCAGACTTGCAGAGTAGTTGGAATCCGAGGACACCTGGACGGGCAGCCTGGGACGAGCTCCAGTAGGTGCCCTCTTTACATAGATTCATACTATAGTTCCAAGCACCGTATACATACCCTCATGGGTGACCAGGGATATCGAGTAGGTACAAACAGACACATATTCAGGATGACAGAAGCACAAGCCCCATCTGACCAGATCTCGTACACTGGAACATTGTACATTCTGGTGAGTCGTGACCACGGACTCAGTGACTACAATGCGACAGTCACTTACGAAGTCAAAACTTCAAAAGCCTGCCCGTTGATACCCGGGAGCCCAAGTCTTAGTCACCTGACGTGCTGCGTTAACTAACTACTAGTAATCCGAGATCTTGCTGACAGATAAGCTATGTAGTATGTACGTACGGTACCTGACTACCTACTGGGTAGTAGGTATTCATTTTAGGCTGCCCGTGGCGGTCCTTGTGGAAAAATACTACTCACCGAATAACAACCTGACTCTATCACTTCCATCAATTGACGACTTTGCATTCCTACATGACAGAAAACAGTGGGTTCCTACCCGGTATAGCCAAAGCCACCGATCCGAGTCAGCTTCAAATCGTCAACTCACATGAAACGACCCCGGTATGAGGCTGGAGAACATCCCCCCCCCCCCCCCCCCCCCCCAAGATTCTCCCTCGACGATGATCAACAAAGTAACACGCACCTGAAGAATGTCCGGATATCACCCAGACCCCACGTCTCCACCGCGGGTTCGCCAAGATGTCTACTCTGCTGATTGGAAGGTGCAGGTGGCGCGAGGATCTCATCCCTTGAATCATTGGAAGTCTGCCGTGAACGGACGATTGTCGATCCCCGGTTCCAATGATGGAAAGGCTGTGTTGTTGATGATTCCCCGTTTTGGGGCGTGGCATGACATGGCTGGGGTATGCTGGCTTCGCGTTGCATTTTAAGGATCTTATTGACCGGGAGATTTGGATCTCTGGGGGTGAATAACTTGAGGAGGTAGTACACTGATTACTACACTGGACGGTTTATTCGAGGATGCCTTAACGGTTAATGTGTGATATGTCGGTGTTTCACCGACCCCCGGGGGGGCCCAACTTGAATCACGTCCTGAGGGAAAGTGGAGCCAGGATGAAGATCGAGTCTCAGTCTACCTACAGGATGTGGTGCTGCTGTGACTTTCTAGACTGGGGTTTTACCGAAAGTCGAGAAAAAGGAACGGACGTGTATTAGTCCTTCGGTCTTCTCTCATTCTTGAACTCTGAAAGTCGGTTGCTTTTACTCGCTCCCACAATGGCGAGCTTGGCTAGGTCGGTCTTGGTCGGGTTTCAAACTGGCGCATGGAAGTCGGGGAGTGGAGACTCTGTGGAGGGTAGAGTGTAGATAGTAAGGTAGGTAGTTTACTTAGCGGGCGCGGATTAAGGTCCTAAATGTATTGACGAGCACAATTGGAAGTACTAGTAGTCCTAGTAGTGTGAGTCCTTGACTATTGCCTGTGCTTTCTTAAAGACGCAGAAACACTGCATGTGACTACAAGGCTACTGTAGGTAGGAGCATGATCAATCGTCACCCAATATTGGAAATTGATCGAAAATCGATTGTTTCGTGTCAAGTAGCTCTATTAGTAGTGCATGACTTCAACATTATTCATCGGGATCATCACGACCGAATCGAAAGGGAATTCTGAACGGCCCTTCCCCATATCAACTCTTTGTCCACGAGCTCGAAGCGTCATACTTCCCCTCCGACGGGGCCGCCTAGAACCTATGCACGTTGTGTATTCGAGAATGATGGAAAACTCAATTTCATCGGACTGTGGTGATCAAAAAGCCTTGCATTGGATGGTCCGCGTGGTGGTGACTCGTGAGTGGTGATACGTTCGAGGAATCAGGCTCCCGCTGCCGGGCCAAGTGGATCACACGCGTTGCAGGTGTAATGGATTGAATGGATCCTGAGTGAGCCGCGTATAAGTGAGTCCGTACTCCGTACTACCGTATTCCGTATTCGTGTGTATCACCATCAGTCCATACTCCATCCATCACCACGTTGACATGGATTCTGAGTCCTGACTCCTCCAGCTGACATTCTCCGTTCTTAGGTACGAGTGTGATTGAGTGCAGAAGTGCCAGAGATCGTCAGAGGGGGTATTATGATGCCCAGAGAGTATACTGAATGGAGCCCCGACTCCGAGGAACCTCGTACGCAATACCAAACACAGCAGCCCTAGTGTAAGAGCTGTGTACCTTTATATCCATTTGTAAGGTAGCTTCAAAGTTTGTGCTTTGTCGTTTGTACAATATATGTACAATTGTACAATATATGTACGATTGTACAATGTACAATGTACAATATACAGAATACGCGGCCGAGGTACGTGTTGGGTCGTAATGATGCGCGACGCGTGGTGTGCCTTGAGCCTTCACCTCGGAGGCGTCATGTTCCGCATCACGAGGATACACACTTCATACTCCATAGAGCCCCTCCCAAAGGCAAGAACATCGTCCGTGGAAAGTCGAGCGATGTACACGTCCAGGTCAGGTGAGATGCATGGCGTTCTTTTGTCACTGGTAGAACATAGTATACCAACTTGACCAAGGTCTGCGGTTACGCTGTATGACAATGACTCTACCAGTACGGAGGCTACGGAGTCTCGGCCGTTTGATGTCCCGAGCAAGGTTTCCTCGAGTGCTGCACCGGTGCAGAGTGCAGACTGCAGACTGCAGGGTGCGTGCGCACTGCTTAGACTCCGACCAGAGAGAGTCGAGACCCGGTGCGTTCCCGCGACAAGTCCCGAAACCACCACAGACGTTGGTGGTGGATCTCCCGGTGGAGTCAGCCGCAGCACCACGGATCGTCATTGGCGTCATCCAGATTGGTCCATCAAGGCCCAGAAAGGCTCTAAGGTCCAAAGGGGCAATCAACAAGGGAAGAACCAGGAAAAGAGGCTCGACGGAAATCAAGGCCCCAGCGAACTGTCAACACAGGTCGACGGGATCGATGCTCAGAACAAGAAGAAAAAAGAAAAAAAAAAAGAGTCACTGATTCAGGAGAACAAAATCTCAAGCATGATCCTAGACAGCATTGAAAACACCATCCCTCATGAAATGTTCGAATTTCCAGTAAATCTATTAAATCCATTGAATCCGAGGGCGGAAAAAAAAAACGACTAAAAAAAAAAAAAAAAAAACAATCCAAGATCAATAATAAGCCAGTTTAATTATAGCATCAGCCACCTGTCGATGGCCCACTTTGACTGGACACCCCAATGGTTGCCCCTCCACTCTGGTTGTTTTGGTCACATTCCTGGGCCCTGCGAATAATGATGATTGTGAAGAACAATCCGTCTGCCCAACGCATCACCAGAACTTTCGAGACTGCATGAAGCGAGAGGATGCTTGGAGCTCATCCCATCATCCCATGTGGGAGGGATCACTGCCCGCTCGGACAATTCGGGCCTTGGGTGCGTCTGCATAAGTCGGAGAATCATGGATCTACTAATGCATGTAGTTACTTCAAACTTGTCGTGACTTGACGGGTGATCGCAATGCCTGGTATTACATGGCTCAATGGAGTCGACCAAGTCACTAAGCACTGTAAGACTAAGCAGACTTCAAGATGCAATGAACTAGCAGCAGCCCTGCTTCTCTCTAGAACTCTCCACAAAACAGCCAGAACACACCGTGTACTCTCGGTGCTTACACGTGACGACTTCCTCGAATGAGATGATCATGTACACAACCAGCTGCCAGGTTTCGTAATTTGTATGAGGGCGCGTCAAGTTAACCCATCTTCTCTTTGACACATACACCGGTCATCGACAGATTCGACACCAGGCGGTGCAATCGAGGGCATCGACCTACACACCCCCTTCAAAATGCCATTGCCACTGAACTCGACGCAGACGTCGGGCAATCAACCAGGGGATCTATGATCGCAGCGTGTCTGGCCTAATCCGTAGGACTGAGTAGCCAGTGAGGCTCCGAGGCAGTGCCGCATTGGCAGCTTAATTGTCGCCCCTACGGTCTCGTCCGTTTTCGGGCTGAGGCTGGACGTTGGAAGGGGTCCCGATCAAGTACCGCAACGCCTCATACGGTGACCCGGAGATGATAGATCTACATCCAGAGTACAACTTTGAACGCGGCCACCAGCGACGCTGACAAGCGCTATCTCTCTGACACCTTCTTGATCACCTTCACCTGATCGCGAAGGAACCAGAAACTCATGAAGAGAACAATACTGAGCGTATACTATCACGTAAAGGTTGATTCGCAACTTAATACCGTTCAATTGCGACGACGAGATTGTGTTGGCGCCTGCAGGAAGTCGACCTTGTTTGTAACCATCTCCCGACAGTGAGCAAGCTATGCGAGCTTAGCTTGGTGACTTGTGACGCTTCCATCCCCACGCCCACAAACATCCGTTTCTCTTTTTTTTCCCCTCCCTTCTTCAATTCTCGGTGCTTTTTCTTTCTTTCTGAAACTCATCTGCGCTCTCCCATCCCTCTTTGCAAAGAGCGCGACGAGAGTGAGATTGAATCGTTCGACAGTCAGTATATGGCGGATTCTTCTTGACAACGCTTGCAAATCGCCCGTACCCACGCACTAAACCGGCCATACCAGTTGCCAGTCATCCTCGACTCGTCCGACAAGCCTGTCGGCCCTCTTCCACGACTGTTCCTCCACCTCGCCTTCATTCCGTTTTCTCTCTCCTGTGGACGCTTCTTTCCCTTCGACCCTTTCCTTCGTGATCTCCTCCTTCTTCTTCTTCTCCTCATCGACTCGCGCCCTCTTGCTCTTGCATCTTTGTCATCTTTCTCATCTCGGACACTCCCTCTCCCTTCCCTCCACACTCCTCCCTCCTTTCCCTTTCCTTTCTCAACCTCCTGCCATTGCACCTTCCCGGACCTGTTTTATTTTTCCTTCCAACGGTACCCTCCCTTTTCGCCCCCTCCCCCCACAGGTACCACCGTCGCTTGTCGCCTGCCGCCTGCCATCTGCTGTCTGCCGTCTGCCCGCCCTATCGAGCCATCCGCTAGTTCTGCTGCCTTGGAACCTCCCCCCGAAAATCTGGCTCACCGGTGATCTGGTGCTTATCGGCGGCCGCGCGCGCGCCTCTCATCATCGCCTCAACCTGGACCTTTCGCACCCCTCCCCTCCCCGCTGAACGTTCCTGCCTCTCTTCCCACCATGGCGCCTCCTCCGCCGCCACGCCTACGCATCTTGTCTGGTGAGTCGCCCATTGCGAAAGGGCTCTCCGCCCGGCCTCCTCGACCGCGATCTTCTATCATTGTCCTCCCACTCCATTCAAATCTTTCCCTTCCCCCAAAACCCTTGCGAGCGGAGCTTCTGGCCTTCCCGGCTCTGCTCAACTCGTGACATTTCCCTTCCGAATTCATCTTTCACGTTTATCATTATGGGTGGTCCACTAACAAAAGCCTGTGTAGTGGGTGGCAATGCCATCTCCGCGTTCCTATCATGGCGATTGCAAGCAACAACATCATGCGACGTGACGTTGGTGTGGAAGTCAGGGTTTGAAGCGGTGGCTCAGTATGGTGTGTCATTCAAGTATGTTCAGGCAAAAAAAAGTCCTGGTGAGGGTTCTCGCAGTGTCGGTTTTGCTTACGCCTTGGGGACACACAGATCAAAAGCATTCGGGAACGAGCGGTTCAAACCTCGTCATGGTACGTGTCGATCGCAACCCCGTGTTTTTCTTATCTTCATTTCTAGTCGCCTCGGTTTCTCGAGATATCTCTCCGCAGTCCAGCACTTTTTCGATGGCAATTCCCTCTATTGTGTCGCTTGTTTGGGGGGGGGGGTGGCTAGTAGGCTGACGTGAGCGCTATCATACAGTGGTCCGCACACCCGAAGAGGCGTCCTCTCGAGAAAACGCCTACGACTATGTGATTCTCTGCGTCAAGGCCCTGCCTGATATTTACGATCTGGCCTCCATCATCGAGTCCGTCGTTACGCCCCAACACACGTGTATCCTCGTCAATACCACAAATACGCTCGGCATTGAGGCTCACCTGGAGCAACGGTATCCCACCAACGTCATCCTTTCTTTGGTCTCCAATGTGGAAATCTCCCAGACTGGACCCAGCGAATTCGAGCACTTGAGCTCCAGCGAGATCCATGTCGGCGCGACAAACAAGCAATCTGCCATCCCCACTACGATCCAAAACGACATGGCGGCTGCTCTGGCCATGACACTCAACACCGGACAAGTCGACTGTCACGTATCGCAGAATATTCGGCAAGAACAGTTTGAGCGGATGATTGGGTAAGCATCGAGACGTCCCTCAAAGCATAGAGATCATGCTAATTCAGGTCCCATGTAGTCCCATCGCATTCCACCCCACAAGTGTGGCCTTTGAAACGCCAAATCACACACAACTCCTTGAAAAGGTCGGCGTCCGCCAATTGGTGACCGGCATCATTGATGAACTCCTGGAGCTGGCTCGAGTTCAAGGCTGCGATTTCCCCGCTGATTTCCGTGAGAAGACGATCGAGAAAATGACCGCATCTGAGGGGCCGAGCATGATGTATCAGGATTTCCAAGCCCGCCGTCCTCTGGAGATCGAGACGTTCCTGGGGTCCCCCATCAAATTGGCCACCGAATCGAGTGTGTCTGTCCCAAGGATTGAAGTCCTTTACTCTATGCTTCACCATATCAACTCCACGAACCAATCCAGACCCCGGGCAAACGACTCTCCGCCTTCTTCAGTCGCTGGTCATCCACCACCCAGAGTGTCTTCGGCCGTGCCGCCCCAGCGACCTCCCATGAACGGTGCAATGCGATCGAGCCGGACCGCCTCCAGCATGGGGATGCCTCCCCCGGGCCAAAGACGCGGCCCGCCTCCTCCCGGCATGATGCCCCGCGGGCCTGGGGCGCCCATGCCCATGGGACCGCCCGGTCGAGGCATGCTGCGTGACACATCATTGGAAGGTCTGGAGGAGTTCAGTCATCTGGTGCTTTTCGACGGAGAGGCTGAAGGTGGGATGCCGCCGCCTCAGACGAACGGTAACGGCAACGTCCTCCCCGAGGGCACTCCGTCTCCCAACGATATTGCGCTGCGGGAACGCGAATTGGCTTTGCGCCAGCGCGAGTTGCAGCTTCGAGAGCAGGAAATGAGCATGCGAAGAGGACCCGGTCCCAGCCCCGGTCCCGGTCTTGGTCCCGGTCCCGGTCGACGTGGGCCGCCCCCCTCCCCGGACGCCCGTTGGTGCTTTCGATGAAGAGGACGAGGATTACTTCGACCCCATGGACAATATGCAGATCCCTCATCTCGACCCGGATCAAGTAGACATGATGAGTATCACCTCAAGACGCGCCCGCAAGGCGCCCAGCGCCAGTCAGATCCGCAAGAACCCTGAGCTGTTTTCGGGCCCAATGAATCAAGGTCGACCGGCATCATCTTTCGGTCGCTATTTCGGGCGAAAGCGCACGAGCGAGCGAGTGATGCAAGAAATCCCGGGTCTGCACGACTCCCTCATGGACAACCCGATGATGAGCTACTCATCCAACCGATATGGCTCTGTTGATCGGAACCAAATGGGCATCGATTCGCGGGCGAACTCCCTGACAGCAAGTCACATGGGCGACCACCCTCCGCGGCCGTATTCTCAAAGTCGACGAAACAGCCAGTCCCCTGCCGCACCATTTCCTGGCCCCTCCGGTCCCCCTGGCCCATCCCGAATGGCGCGTCCGATGACGGGCCATGAGCAACCCATGGGACCTCACGGTGGTCATCCTCGCAACGGTCATCCGTCGCCACCTGGTAACATGCGCATGCCTGTCTCCCGGCAGCCTTCTGCGCAGGGACCGGGCGCGCCGCATCAGCTTGAACAACAGTATGGGGTGAGCAACTCGTTTCCCGCCAAGGGTCCTCCCATGAACAAAAGTCTGACCGGAAGTGCGAGCGCCAGTGCTGAAAGTGGTGACAGTGGTGCGAGCGCGAATCTTGATTCCGAAGCGTCTGCACATAGCAGCCAAATCAGTCTCGGGGACCACCAGGCTGTTCCGGCAGCGCCCGTTCGTTAAATGCCCAACTTCCGCATTCAGTGGTTTGCTTTTCTTTTTTGTTGTCCTTGGCGCATTATATTCCATTATTGTACCGTCCAGATGCACACTCCCGTCTGGCAAGCTCGTTCGCCAAACCCTTTTAAGTCTGGCGGTCGGTAACTGACTCGGCGTGTTGTATTCTGGACGTTCCTCATCATCCTGGGCCACATCCTGGACGCATTCTCTGGTTTGTTCCTTTGCTTGCAACCTCTATCATGACCGGGTTTTTCGCTTTCTCCGAATTTCATTTTGCATCGTCGCCGGGGTCCAGTTCAACGGGAAAACATTGTGCTGTTTTTGACGAGGCCCTTTCCAGCCCTGCTTCGGAATTGTGGCCACTGGTTAATACTCAGTTGTTCGCTTCTTTACATATACATGAGGGACATAAGGGGGTGCTCATCGCTTTCTGGGGTCGTTTCACCTTTTTTTCCTTTCTTTTTTCCTTTCCTTGCCTCTTTCTGTTCGGTCGTCGTTACGCTTTTCTCAGGTGTTTGGATGGGTGAGGGAATTGAACGTTTGTACTTGACTAATCTCTCACTTCTCCTCCCCTCCGTCTTATCTCTGTCTACTCTATTGTTACTCGGCCAATCCTCGAGGACAGTCGATCCTCCGTCTCCGAATTTCCCTTTTTCCTCAACCTTGACGGTATCAGCCCACTCGAAAAGCGAATGGCTATCATTATCAAGTCCTGCATCAAGGCAGTGCAGCGAACCGATATAATGTGCTTGGGTGGTAATCTCTTGGCTTCGCGGAAATTACTACCACTGTCGCTCTTTACCTTATAGATGACCTCGACTCACCCACACACGCACACCTTCTCTCGCTATCTCTTTCTGCCATTATACTCATTAGCATGACTGTATTATACATTACCTCACGCAGTTCTCGTCTTTCCTCGGTCTCTTGTTCAAGAACACACCGGGGACGTCTGGTGTGTATAAATCGAGTATTCATTCTCTCTTTTCTGTGTTTGCGACTACCATGAATCCAAGTTTGATAAATACTTCCCTCGGCAGTTGCCTATGGTCGTTGGTCGACTCTACCTAGTGGTTGGCATCGATGCACCCTTGGTGCAAAGATTCCTGTCTATCGTAAGGAAATAGTGATGGGCTCCCCAATCATACTTGGTGCGGTCTAAATCCAGCCCAGCTGTGCCCTTGTGAGACGGTTTCTCCTTCCTTGGCTATCTAGATAAATCCATAGTAGCAGCCATCGAGTACTGGACGGGAATGATATAGAATGGGTAGGACTACGCATGATCGCTTGCTTATTCATGCTGTATCTGACATCAGCCTTGTCACTCACATAGACTTTGACGGTATTTGATTCGTTTACAAAATTGCATGACGCTAAATGCTTGCTCTTCTTTTGCTCTTGAATCTGGGGAGTCCTTATCAGTCTAAATGATAACCTGGAAACTGAAAGTCTCCCACACGTCACGTGTGATAAACAATCCGCGTAACTGTAAACATCGACTAAGACTGAAAGTTCCAAGATATCTCTCCCAACAGACGTTCAACCACAATCTCTGTGTCACTCAAGGGACTAGAGCTTCGATTATTCCGAGACTGCCATTTCTTCACATCTCTGAGTGCCCTCTGACTTTGACCAACGCTCATAATCTCCGCGCAACGTCTACCACCATTACCACCACCACCACAATGCCACTTAACCCCGCCCACCACCGCAACGACTCCAACTCCCACTCCCACTCCCACTCAACCTACTCCTACCCACGCGCCTCGATGGCTCCCCCAAACACATCCTCGACCTTCCAACAAAGCCACTACCAAACCCAAGCCCATCCCCACCATCAACATCAACATCAACCCATGTCGAGCTCAGCCAGCGGCTCAGTCTCCATGTCCGCTGCCAAAGCGCGGCAATACGCGCAGCTCCAGACGCAACTGGCGCAACTAAATGCCAATTTGGCGGATACGCAGAATTTGCTCCGAATGACGGCCGTTCAGGCGGGGGATATGCGCTTCTTGGGCGGATATATGGGGGCTTTGTTTATGGGGAGTGCGAAGGTTTTGGGGGAGGAAGGGGTTAAGGGGAAGAGTGGGAGTGGAGAGGGGGCAGGTGAGGCGATTGTTAAGAAGGAAGACAGTGAGGAGGATTGAGGGGGGAGGGGGGTTTGGAATGAATTTGAGCTTTTGAACAGAGAGCTCTGAGATGAGATAGTGCTTCGGATATGGCTAACTCTGGAAAAGTGGGTAAGTGTCCTGTTGACGATGCGGCGGACATGCCTTGGCTTGTGATTTGATCTAACGCTAGTTTGTGGATGAATAGAGGAAGGTCAGAAATAGTCTATCTGACGAAGTCGGAAAAAAAAGATTCCCATGTCTCACGACGTTGGCGATGCAACTCGACTTTGGCGAGCGCGGAAACATGTGACTGCCGATAAGGACGGTCTCCCCTTTCGCTGGCATTTTGATCTACTCCTCGACTACAAATTGACCTCCCAAAAGCAATGCCGGCTCTTGAATGTTCTTGTGTTCATAGCTGCGGTTTCAAGGCCTCGGTCAGCACGATACTGTACTTTTTGCCTGCCAAGTCCAAATGATCGAGATTGCAAATCTGCACATGGGAACGTTGTCGCCGAATCATGATCTCGACGAAGCACCAACTTGAAAGGGTCTTGCTCACCTCAAAGTGCCCACACCACCGGCTTCCAGAATGAGTGAAGTCTCATCTAATGGCTTGCCCACCCAACGCATGGCGAATGCACGGAGAATGTGTCCATGAGCGATCACCAGAACGTCACCTTTGTGCTTGTCGGGCTGGTCAAAGGCCGGTTGCTGGTACTTGCTTCTGATCTCGGCGATCACGGCATCAAGGCGGCGGACAATATCGTCAGGTGACCTGGTCGACTGGGTTAGATCCTCTGTGCCCTACACTGACATGATGCAACTTTGAGGCATCTTTTCTGAGTCGTGATGGTATTTTTTTTTTGCAGTTCACTCCCATGAGCACAAATGCAAGATTGTCATTTTCGAAACTTACTCTCCACCCGGGCACCCATCGGTCCAAATATTCCACGGAGGTAGCCCTTGCTCCTCCCTCATCGATTTGATCTGCGCACTGGTCAATCCCTCATAGTCGCCGTAGTCCCACTCGCGAACCGCCTCGGCCACTTCCACTGTGGCTTCTGTTCGAATTGGCTCTGCGGCATTGCGTTGCTCATTCCAGGGCAGTCTCTCACGACAACCAATCTCCATCAACTCGAGCGTTCTTTGCGCACGTTTCCGCGGGGAAACGTAGCTGTAACATATTCATGGCAACGAACATCAGACACCGGGTCCTTTGCAAAGAAGACTCTGTGGAATTGATCCTCTTACACATGGACTAGATTCTTCGGCACGATCAATCGATCATTGCCGACCAGTGCTTTGCCCGTGGCTTTGATTCGTTTCTCGCCGTTGGTCGTGAGGGGCAGATCTGACACTCCCGTGTGGCGGCCATTGAGGGACCATTCGGTTTCGCCGTGACGAACAATGAAGCAGCGAGGTGCCATGTCTGGAGATTCTCTGCTGTTGTGGTTTGTTATTTTTTTCTGAAAAGGCTTTGCTTTGTTCAGGAGAGTTGGTTCCAAGAGCAAGATTACTCGATTGATTTATATGATACGCAAGAGGAGAGCCATTCGATTACGCTAGACTACTGGGCACTGTGCAGTGGGAAGCATGCGGGGTGATGCATTGGGTCTCTTGCGGCAGGGCGCGGAAACGGGCACGGATGTCGTCATGCTTGGATAATTAGGTAGAGAGGCATACACCCGAGTCATGACAATAATCTGGCCCAGTCTACTCTACTCGACACTCGACACTCTACACTGACAGTCCCCGAATGACCAGTTAACCTGGAGCACTGTCACGCCATCATAGCATCAATTTAGCTCGCAGGATCAATATCAATCATTGCTCTTGACAAATATCCATGTATCGGAGAAGACCAACCATTTAGTATTTACACTTTTACAGTGGTGCCGGATAGGTTCACGTGACCTTCTGTGACGCTCGTTGATGCCTGGCGTAAACCAAAGGAAATCAGGCGCATTTGATCAATACTCGACCAAGACCGGACTATTTTGATCTTCCAGAATTGAAGTATAAGGTAGTCAAAACTGGCCCCTGACAAATCTGCTGACCCCCTATGATCTGAGCATTACAAAACATGTTCAAGAATCAGCCAAGATCCTCCCAGCACACACCATTCCATTCCTCCTTCACACCTCTACAGTCATGCCAAATAGAAAAAACGTGCGTGATCTGAGCAAGCTTTCTGGCATACCGCTCAAGGAGACCACCATCTCGAGCCACGCGAGTTTTCAGATCGACGGCACCAATGACTGGCTTACATCCGCGGATCTCAAGGAAGAAGGCCTGACCTTCTCGGAGGAGAATTTCTATGAAACTGCCGTTTTCCTCATGGCCAATCCGAATATCACGTCCAGTCACTTGTTCCGCGCAGACATTCTATTCGATAGCCAGGGATTGCTTCGAACGCCAGAGCAGGATGAAGAGCTTGCTGGCACTGGTATATCTGCCGAGCAAGTAGGGGAATCCGCACAGACTCAGGTCGAGGCGAAACCTGCGCCAGCAGTCGCAGGCTTTGACTTGATCAGGACCGTGGTGCGAAGATTGATCCCTCGAAACCAGGAGATTGACAAGCCTCTTGAACAAACGTGCCATTTCTACCGGTCGATTGAGTCAATAGTCGCTGCTGAGAACGAAGCTCAGTCAGATACTGCGCAGTGCCAACCACGGCAGCGGCAACGGGTGTTGACCATGTTTCTTCCGCATGTCGAATCTCCAGAGCAGGTTCCATTCTACCACCCGCTTCTGAAAGGCCTTGCCACTTTATATGATTGTGAAGATCTGCCTAATGGAGGCAATTCTAGTGGCATCATGTCTGTACATTTCCTGCCATTTACTCAGGACTTCCCTGATCGGTTGGAGCGCACATTGCACACCCTCCTCAATTTCTATGTACGCCTCACGCGAGGTGGTCAACAAAAGCCGTCTCCAGAGAGATCGAGTCAAGCAAACTCCACCAAGGACAATCTGGTGCCGCGTCACTTGACCCAGAACACCTACGCGCGCTTGAAGAGCCTTTACGCGGCGGACCTCATGCAGAGATGGGTCGAAAGTACCGAGCCCAGCAAGCACGTCTACGAGGATTTGGCCATCACTGCATTTCTCATTGAGCTGTGGCGCTTGATGTACGGCGTCGAACCGATCAACGAGGGCTCGCAGGGCTCAGGCATGCGTGCCCAGTTTCCTGGATTCGTAGATATGGCCTGCGGAAACGGCGTATTAGTCTATGTGCTTCTGATGGAGGGTTATTCGGGCTGCGGGTTCGATGCACGCGCGCGCAAGTCCTGGAGCATTTATCCACCGTGGGTGCAAGAACGACTCTCGGAAAAGATTCTGCTTCCAAAACCATTTGCAGATGTAATGGGTCATCCCGATCTTGGAATGGAAATCACGACTGGCGACTTTGCGCGTGACACCTTTATCATTTCGAACCATGCCGACGAGCTGACCGTGTGGACCCCACTCATCGCCGCCCTGGCCTGTCCAGAATCTCCTCTTCCCTTTCTGGCCATTCCGTGCTGTTCGCATGCACTGTCGGGGGCCCGATATCGCTACCCGCAACCCAAAGGCTCGAAGCCGAAAGCTTCGACGGGACCTTCGGTAAGCGCAGACACGGCGGACAACGACCAGAACCCTCAGTCTGCATCGGGGGATTTAAATGCATTGCGTGCTGCTAAACAAGCCGAGAAGACTGAACAGGGTATGTGGACCTCCATGTACGGCCTTCTCACGGCCAAGACCATGTCTGTCGCCGAAGAGGCTGGCTATGAGGTGGAAAGGACGCTGTTGCGTATCCCCAGCACCAGAAATATCGGGATTGTTGGAGGTCGACGAGCTGTGACCGCGAAGTGGAGACAGCATGATACCTCCGGCATTGTCGGAAATGCTGATGTGCCAGGGGGCCGAGCAGGATGCGCTTCGACCGTTGAACAAGCTATTGCGGAAACCATTGACCGAGAATGTTCCCGAGAGGGTGGACTTGGGGTTGCGGCGCAAACTTGGATTGAGCGCGCGCGGGGTCTCCGCAAAGACACTGGAAAATCTATCCATCACGATATCCCAACTTGATTCGTGAGACGATCGGCTCGTTGGCAAGGTAAGTTGGGACCGAGGCTGATCTTAGGTGGATTGAGCCATAGCGGCGGTAGAATCTCGGGGATTTAACCTTCTTCAGTCAACATCTGCTACCTTGGCGGGCAGACTGCTTGAACCCTCGGCCTGATTCTCGAACTTGACGATATCATCCGCGCGGGCTCTCTCCCGGACGGGAAGTAGTAGTCATTGCATTGGCTGATAAATCATCACATCGAAGCCAGAGGCGCCCATAGATTGACCCGACTCGTGGGACCCTTCACTTCCGATCATTTCAGTCGCTGGTGCCTTTGTCGAACCCCGCCGATTCAACTCTTGTGCGGGGAGAGCAAAGTGTGGAGAATCCAATGGGAACTACGCCCCAATCAGCCACCCAGCCACCCGCAGGAATGAGCCAAGGGATGAAGCCAAAGTGGTCGCGACAAAAAGAGGAAGAGTTCCGTCAAGGCCGGCCACGACGTCAGTCCCTTCTGCTCCAAAATGAACTAGTTCAGCACCACAGCCTTACATACTCCGCAACTCCAGGAACTTGCTCTGTACCTGGTGCCGATGTTATCCCGGTTTTATACCCCGCCCGCTTTTCTAGACTTTGCCTCCGGCGGGGATTCCTCGAACTATAAAATCCCGTGTTGATCAGTTATCCGGGCTTGGAACTTTTCTCTAGACAGCTGAACCCTCTCGTTTCTTATCCGGCCTTGACGTCCTGGCTTGACACTCGATTATCCACCTTCATCAATTTCCCCTTGAAGCCTCCGTCATGCGTGTGGTTCCGCTTTTCCTGGCCGTAGGGCTTGCGGCAGCATTGGACAATGGACTTGCGGTCACACCTCAGTTAGGATGGGTAAGTGTTGGACAAGTTTGGATGATTTCAGGCTATTTTGGGAGACGAGATGCTAATTGGGTATGTAATTAGAACACCTGGAATTCGTTCGCTTGTAGCATGAACGAAACAGTGATTCTGGACGCGGCCAAGCGTATTGTCGATCTAGGGTTCAAGGACTTGGGTTACAATTACGTCGTTCTGGATGATTGCTGGTCTTCCGGTCGTAACTCTTCTGGATACCTGGTACCCGACAAGAGCAAGTTTCCCAACGGTATCGCGGACGTTGCCAACAAGATCCACGATATGGGACTGAAGATCGGTATCTATTCCAGCGCAGGTACTATGACCTGTGCTCACTATGCCGGATCATTGGGCTACGAGAAGAAGGACGCCGAGGTTTGGGCAAGCTGGGGTGTGAGTAACTCACGTTTCCCAAAGAATCAAAATTCTCTCACGTCGAGATCTACTGGTCTACGATACTGACTGCATATTTGACAGGTCGACTACCTCAAGTACGATAACTGCTTCAACTTGGGTGAGGAAGGCACTCCGAAGCTGTCCTACGACCGGTACAACGCGATGGGCAAGGCTCTAAACGAGACCGGGCGTCCAATTCTTTACTCCCTGTGCAACTGGGGCGTGGACGGACCATGGAACTTTGCTCCTACCATGGCCAACTCCTGGCGTATGGGCGGTGATTTGACCAATGTCTGGGACCGAGAGGACGTCAACTGCCCTTGTGCAGAGCATGAAGGCTTGGACTGCAAGCTTCCCGGATATCACTGTTCGGTCATGAACACGCTTAACAAGGCTGTCTTCTTTGCACAGAAGGCCTACCCCGGTGCCTGGAATGATCTGGACATGCTCCGTAAGTTTCTACCTAGTAGTTCTCTGACAATTGCCAAGCATTTCCCCCAGATTGTTCTCCTTACATTTTGACTAATCCTTGACTTTACAGAGGTTGGCAATGGAGGTCTCACCGAGGACGAGGCCATCTCCCACTTCAGTCTCTGGGCCGCTCTCAAGTCGCCCTTGCTCATGACCAACGTCATGACCAAGATCGACGGCACCACGCTCTCCATCCTGCAAAACACCGCTGTTCTCGCCGTCTCCCAGGATCCCAAGGGCTCAAGCGCCGTCCGCATCTGGCGATACTACGTCGATGGCGGCGAGATCCAAATGTACAGCGGACCCCTCGGCGGCAACGACCAGGTCGTGCTCCTCCTGAACAGCGGAAGCAAGGCCCTCGACATGAACGCCACCCTGACCGACATCTTCTGGCTGAGCGGCGCCGAGGGAACCGCCCCTCAACTGAAGTACGAGTGGGACGTGTATGACCTCTGGGCTGGTCGCATGAGCAACGACACCGCCAACGCCATTATCAACCACAATGCCAACGCGACTCGCCCCATCAACATGACTGCTCAAGGCGGTGCGAGCAAGGTCTACGCTCAGGTCCCTCTGCCCACATCGTCCGCGTTGATGGGTAAGAAGGTCAGCACCGTCAAGGCCGGTGGTACCGTCAAGGCTCACGTCAAGTCCCACGGCGTTGCCATGTTCCGTCTCAGAGCAGTCATGAACAAGGATGAGCTGTGAGCGGTGGATCAAAGTGGTATCAGACGGGTGGACGGATGAAGTTATGATGACACGATGAAAAAAAATGCTTAAGCGCCGCCTTGTTTGCTATTTTTCCCCCCAAAGATGGAGGTTGATCTCGGCCGGGAATGAATGGACTATTGATTCTTGTACCAATACGATTTCGATCATGTAAAGATCGCGAGACTTCTTTCGATACGAATCAATCTTCAGATACGAACAATGACGATGTCTCTCCTTCCATCTCAGCGCCCTCCAAGTCAAAGCGAATTGAATCGTCCTTTAATCCATTTGGCCTGAGCCCACCAGACAAGTACCTCCCTTGTCGGGGCAATAAGTTTGGATCAGATATGCAAACGACTCGATATCAACCAGATACCTAGTTATCGTAATGTATCATGTACCTACATATATACTCGATAAATACAGATTCACCAAGCGCAAACACCAGCACCTCCGAGCTGAAGGGATAATTGGAAAGCGTCCTTCTTCGCCAGACTGGTGTGTCTTTTCGTGATTTCTGATTTACTATGCGCAAATTCAGTGGTATTGGACAATCTAGGACTTCCCTATTGGTATTGATCAAAAGATGTGGGCCATATACACGCTGAGAGAAGATTGACAACATATCGTACAGAAAAGGCTTGTGACCACATCCAAGGTCAAAGCCTCCAGTCTATCAGTCTTTCATCACGCAGCTTGCCAAAATCGAAACGCCATGTTATACATAACCCAAATTAGAAAAAATGGGGGCTCAACGGAATTATACAGCACAGGTCGGGCTAGTAGTACGCAGAAGTGCACTCAAAAAGGTCGAAGAAGAGGAGGGTCATCAATTAGGCGGAAACCTTGCCGTTCATGTCGGTATCAGCAGCGGAGTCAGGACTCTTGTCGCCAAGAGTTTTGTGTTGAGAGTTCTGCTTGCTTCCAAGGCCAGAAGCCTCGGATGCAGTAGAGGACGAAGAGGAAGTACCAATGTTGGAGGGTCGTGATGCGGATGCGGCAGAAGCCGCGGCGGCAACGGCAGCATTCTCTCGGAGTCGTCGGATACGTTCCGATCGAGCTTCACCTGGCAAGCTACCCCAGACAGGCTCGATCGAGTCTGCACGCCAGTTGCGATGACGATTGAGCAGACCCTGTCTTGGGGCAATTTGTGCCAATGAGTCTCCCCCAACCCCAGACTCGCCCCACATGCGGACGCGCTGCAGCTTGCGCAACTTGGCGAGCCCGTACACGCAAACAACACCGGTCAGGACGAAGCAGATGACGGAAACTCCGCCGAATCCAAAGTCAGATTCTTCAATGAAGTTTTTCAAGTTCATTCCGTAAAGGGCGGAGAAGAGTGTGCCTGTGGCGAGACCAAGTGTTCCGATACTAAATTTCAGATCAAGGAGCATGAGAGAATTTCGGTTGGCGTCGAGGATTGCTTTCACCCTACATCATTAAGTTAGACCAATAGACGCGAAAGACATGAAAGCAAAGATAAACCACTTACACTTCCTCGGTGTTTCTGATATTCGTAACAAGATTGCCACTGGACTGGACGATTTCGTCGCAGACCTTGTGGTACGATTCGAGAAGCATCTCTACCTCCTGGTGGTTGTCATCTTCTCGTTCCTTCCCGGTCGCCCGCTCGGTGAGATACATGGCGGCCAAGTCGTCATCTGCTTCAAGCAGATCATCGATGGCATCTCGCACCAGGCGAGCCTTTTGCTCAAAGGTACCCAGCTTCTTCGAGTAGATCAAGAGATGTCGAAGCTTGTCTCGGTCAATGTCCTCTTCCAACGCCCGCAGTACCCGAACGACCGGCTCTCTTACGCCATTGAACTCTTCTTCCAGCCCGGTTGTGACACTGATGAGAACAGCTTCCAGAGCGCGAAACTCATACGGTAGCGCCTGTCCTGCCGGCGCGACTTGAGACTGTTTCTGACGTAATTTTCCTTCTAGGTCATAGATAAATAATGATTGCATATATGAGTCCGTGGAGCCATATGCATCGAAGACAAGCACGCGGTCTGCCTTGATGAGTACCCTCAGATGTAAGAGATTGATCAGGATGGCGCTCGGTCGGACAAGAATATGGGGGAGTGTTGAGGAATCGATCTTTCGGAGATCGCGCGGAAGAAGGCCGTACTATTGACGTGATAAGCACACACGAAGATAAATGCGGATCTGACGGAAGAAGCGCATACCTTGGCAATCAGTTCTGACTTGCGAAATTCTCCGTTGACCAAGGTGACATTTCCACTTTTGTCGAATTCCGTGCACCGGAGTCGTAATTCATTCGAGGCTTTGGCTGCAAGCCCCCGACCAAGATTGAAGAGTTCCGTGCCTTCATCCGTCACTGCCTGGTTGTTGTTGCGGTGATTCTTGGGATCGACAACCTTGCCTCGTCTGAGGTCCAGCAGTCTTCGGAGCAACGGACGGCGGTTGGTAGAGACAGATCTGGTCCCCGCGGGAGACTGAGAGGGGTTGAGTTTTGCTGACAGTGTGGGTATAGCATGTTGCGCAATCGGAATCGGTGTCGACAAGGGTAGAGTCGCGCGGCGATTTGGACAAAGGTTCTTATGTGCCAAATTAGAAGCTCTCCGAGAAAACGACGTCAGTGCCTTTGGATTTATGGGTGATCGTATTCTCGGTCGCACGCATTGAACACCAATGTTGACAAGACCAGACTGAACGCGAAGAAACCGCAACAGGGATGCTGACGGAGCACACGGCTTCAACGGTGAGAGCATGGCTCTCCTTCGCTCACGTTTGGCTCCTTGTTGTTGATGGCTTTCCTGCTCTCTGGAAAGGCCGATGATCTCAGGCGCGGCTTTTTTCCCGTGTCTGCGGAAGATTGTTGATCCGTTACAATCGAGACTATCGTCATTGAGCCCAGATTGGCCCGGCGAAATCCCCATTTTGCTCGATAGAATGCTCTTAGTCAACCTACCTTTAGTTGACAAAAGTCGAGTAAAGTCCGAGTGAAAACTTGATTCTTTACTTGTTGCAGAATTTTGTGCCACGTTTCTAGCGCCAGTTTTGGCGGAGCTTTCGCTGCTCATAACAAGGGCACCACGAGTCACCAGAATCGATCGAGGAAATTCAAGAGCATGAGCCAATATAGAGACACGATTTATTTTAAGACCAGCACAAATATGATTGACTCTTGGAAGTCTCAAGATTTCATAATACTACGTATGCTGCAAGATCATTGACTTCGTGAAAGCTTTGGAAGTTATCTGCTACCGCGACACAGGGTCTGTTGTCATAGCAAAACAAAACACCTACAATTCAGCTATTCCAGATGCCTTGATATTACACACCACGGTGCTTCTGTACTTGATCCTGAGTACTGTGGTTATGTGACAATGTTCTTACATACCAGAATTAAGCAAAATACCGTACATTGTACATGGCTATCATTGATGTAGGTGCAGGCTTCTTCTCGCATATGTTTCTCGCTTCTCCATAGCTCCCGCAACTGACCTCGCAATTTACCTATGCGGTAAGGCTTCTTATGGCTCTCTGTCTTATGAGTATCGTCATTGCCCTGTTTCTTTCTTCCCTTGAACCTCACTCATATTACACATATCCAACGCACTCGTGGCTCATGCATTTCACGCAATTTGGTCGAGTCACAAGGCTAATGGCTACTCAGTATACAATGCTGATATATTACTAAGATTCAGTGAGAGCCCTTCTATTACCGTCGTTTTCACTGTGAACAGTAAACAATACCTATCAGAAACGCCTACGAGCTCTTCTTCGTGAACTTGAATAAGAAAAATAGCAAACACAAGAGTGATACATGGTTTGTCTCATGCGTAAGGCTCAAGACGAGGCAGGCCTATTTATCATCTCACATTCGATCAATAAGTAAGGACTCAGTTGGTGTAAATTCACGTCGACGTATCTCGCTGGCGGGAATCCATTTCGATCTTCTTCATAGCTTTCTAGCACAATTAGGTCAGGACCACAAATGAAATCAGCATGAAGTCATGAACTATGTCCAGTTTAGCGGCAAGTGGAAGCCGAGGTAGATGGATGCGGTAGCCAGATCCGTGTCGTCCACTGAAAACACCTGCAATTTGTCCTACTACTTTCAATTGATAGCTCGGTGTTCTTGGAGCCTTGACAGGGAACAGAGGGCGAAACCTGGGGATGCTTTACCTGGGACTGCGTCTGATGCTTTACGCTGCGGTAGGCGTAGCACATATGATCCAACCGACTGCCAATCAATGACACTCGTGGCAACATGCGCAGTTTGAATGGAAGACAGTCATGGGAACGCAGGGAGTTCGAGTACGGTCTCGCCCTGTGCTAGCTGAAAAGTGTATTTGAAGCTTTGTTATGAGCTCGCAAATTACGTATCCAAGGAAAACTCAGTTGGAGGTCTTCTATTACCTGCTCCCGCAGCCGCAGCCGAGCTACACGGCGCAAAGCTTTACCCTATAAGCTCACTATGCCTTGGTTGCGCAGCCAGGATCATGGAGCACTCATGTGGACCAATGGATTCCGACACGCGGTTTTTCGCTCGCCGGCTGCAAAATGCTTGTTTGAATCGAGGGACTCCAAATGACCTCACTAGTTGGCTTGAGGCTGACGGCGCTGGCGACCTGGTCTGGCCCTGCAAAGATCCCCGTGAAGTTTAGGCATAAGGGTACAGGGATGCAAACTGTCAAATACGTAGAGTTTAGGTACAAGGGTACAGGGGTGCCAACTTGCCAAGTATGCAATCGACGTTGGCAAAAGGAGGCACCGACCCAGGTAAGCTGCCAGGCACTGTTTTGTCACCGCTAGATCATCGAGCAATCGCCATTGTTGACATGGGCAGGGCTCTTGGCCTGCGCTTGGCTTTTCCGTATTCCGTCGCACCCGGTCCGACATTAAACGACCGAGTGCTCTCTCTCGCGCAGCATTGGCAGTTCGTAATAGACGGAGATTAAACCGAACCGTTGGCAAACTTAGTTTTCGGTTGTAGTTAACTAACTTAACTAACTAGTAGTAACCTAATTGAGGACTTGAGTACTAACGTTAGCTGGGGGGAAAGTCCAGAGAATCGACTCACAATTCAAGCTCCAGCCTCATAGATACGTCCGCCAATCAACAGACAAAGATTAGCCCATGTGGTGGCGGACGGGTCGGGTCTGTGCGGAGTCCGGCGGTAGCGCGGCTTGGCGTTGCTTCTCCTGGCTTAGCGTGGATGGAAGGACTCGGGTGGGTTGGAGAATCGGGACTTTGGACAGGGCAGGCCGCATTGTTGACACCACAACTGATCAGGGCAAGATACCTCATGCAGGTCTTCGACACTATCGCCGCTTAAGTTTAGCCTTGCCGAGATACGACCATTCCGATGCCAATCGCGCCAAAGTGCGTATGCACGTGGGTCCAATTGGCACACAAAAAGGGTCGCTTATCGGTGGGCAAGTGCAGGATTTCTCCGCAAAGCCGGATCGTCATGGCTGCAATGTAATCGATCGATGCTTCTGGAGCTCAGCTCGAGATAAAAAGCCCGGCTGCGTCGCGTTCATGCGACTTGCCAATCAGTCGACCTTGCAAATTTTTCTGGGTGATTCTCGATCCTCGGCATCATGAAGGCCACCACTGCTTCTGTCCTGTTGGCGTTGACCGCAGCCGTCAATGCCCGTCCTACAGTCGACACGACATACCCATACAAGGGCCCTGCTGTTCCAGTCGGTGACTGGGTGGACTCCAGCGTGAACGGCAATGGCAAGGGTTTCCCTCGTCTCGTCGAGCCTCCCGCGGTCAAGCCGGCCTGCGCCAACCCGACCAACAATATCAATGTGATCTCGCTGTCCTACCTGCCTCGCGGTGTGAACATTCACTACCAAACACCGTTTGGCCTGGGTCGCGCTCCCGAGATTAAATGGGGCAAACAGCCTCACAAGCTCGATAAGCGTGCCACAGGGACTTCGCATACGTGAGTACACGCTCATTCGAGCATGAGAGATCAGCGTTGTGCTTCGATCGCGCGAGGAATATGTGTCTAATCAATGTTCTATTCTTCTTTTTTTCTGGTGATTAGCTATGACCGCACCCCTCCTTGCTCCCAGGTCTCGGCTATCACCCAGTGCAGTCAATTCTTCCACGAGGTTTCTCTTGATCACCTCAAGGCTGGTACCACATACTACTACCAGATCACTGCAGCCAATGGCACCACCGAGTCTGAAGTGATGAGCTTCAAGACCGCCCAGAAGGCCGGTGACGACAAGTCGTTCAGTGTTGCCGTGCTGAACGATATGGGTTACACCAACGCCCAAGGTACCCACAAGTACCTTGTCCAGGCTGTCAAGGACGGCGCTGCCTTTGCCTGGCACGGCGGTGACCTCAGTTATGCTGATGACTGGTACTCTGGCATTTTGCCATGTGAGAATGACTGGCCTGTCTGCTACAATGGCACCGACACTGCTTTGCCCGGCAGTGGTCCCATTCCCGATGAGTACAAGAAGCCTCTTCCCCAGGGCGAGATCCCCAACCAAGGTGGCGCTCAGGGTGGCGACATGAGTGTTCTGTACGAGAGCAACTGGGATCTCTGGCAACAGTGGGTAGGTGATATTACCACCAAGATCCCCTACATGGTCCTGCCTGGTAACCACGAGGCTGCTTGTGCCGAGTTTGACGGTCCTGGCAATGTCCTCACTTCTTATCTCAACGAGAACGAGCCCAACACAACCACCGCCAAGAGTGCTTTGACATACTACAGCTGCCCTCCCTCTCAACGGTAAGATCTGGACATATGTCTCCTTTTCATGGTCATTCAACGGAAGTATCGCTGAACGCGTACATAGTAACTTCACTGCCTACCAGCACCGTTTCCGCATGCCTGGCCAGGAGACTGGTGGCGTCGGCAACTTCTGGTACTCCTTCGACTATGGTCTCGCTCACTTCGTCTCCATCAACAGTGAGACTGACTTCGCCAAGAGCCCCGAGAAGTCCTTTGCTGAGGAAATCAAGGGCAATGAGACACACCCCACTCAGTCGGAAACTTACATCACCGACAGTGGTCCCTTCGGCGAAGTTGAGGGCAATGTCAATGACACCAAGGCCTACGAGCAATATCAATGGTTGAAGGACGATCTCGAGAGTGTCAACCGTAAGAAGACCCCGTGGGTCATCGTCATGGGTCACCGTCCCATGTACAGCTCTGGCTCTGCGAGCTACCAGAAAAACCTGCGTGATGCGTTTGAGTCTCTGATGCTGGAGAATGGTGTTGATGCTTACATTTCTGGGTACGTTTTGAATGACGCTGATTAAACTATTCAAATTTGCCTCAGTCACTCACCATGACATGACAGCCACATTCACTGGTACGAGCGACTCTTCCCTCTCGGCACCAACGGTACCATCGATACTGCTTCGGTGGTCAACAACAACACCTTCTACACCAACGCCGGAAAGTCAATGACCCATCTGATCAATGGCGCTGCCGGTAACCTGGAGAGCCACAGTGAGCTCAGCAAGGGTCAGCACGTGCAGAACATCACCGCTGTGCTGAACACCCAGGATTATGGCTACAGCAAGCTTACCGTTGTCAACGCCACTGCCCTGACTTGGGAGTACATCATTGGCAGTGATGGCTCCGTTCGTGATTCGCTCACTTTGCTGAAGCCAACTGAGAAGAAGTGCGATTAAGATTTTGCGCACTCGAGAACCGAGTGGTCTTATGACAGGGGGGATATCTGATCACTGAAAGAAGCGATGACTTGCCCTCCCCCCCCCCCCCCCCTTTCAAAACTTACATGACTGTATGCATAGTGACAAGTTGTACATGAATCTTACTACCTATCTAATGCAGAGATCAATAATGATTGGCGAATACATCGACCGACAGGTCGTCATATCCTTCGATTCGTTCCACGATAGCTATGTAGCTAAAAGTATTCGACGCTCTCCCCGTCACAGTGATGGCATCTTAACTGGAAGGTAGGTACCTACCTAGAAGGAACGCATGGCGATGAGGGTCCAGTGCCAGCAACTCGAGGGCCCTACGTTTGTTTATCGAGAAATTTCCCTGAATTCAAACCTGATCCTCAAAAGAAGATACCCCTTTTCGGTCATTCTTTCGATGATTGCATCCAGGCCCTTCGGAGAGACGAGATTATTCCATACTACACCCGAGCATCCATGATCGATGCGAGATCAGAAGTAGAACATTCCGCCCGCCTCAAACATGGAAGTACAGGCGTCGATACTCAAGACAAACCTATAGATTGCCCCTGTGTGGATAGGTAGGTCCAGAGCCGCGAGAATATCTTGCGCTTCATTATCTTCTGCCTCCCAATTTGCCTCCGCGAACCTAAGGTAAGTCATCGAGACTTGGACCCCATCCAGAAGGTGGGTCACTTTGCGATGTACTATGAGCGTTTGGTACAACATTCTGATGGCGGGAGGCTTACGACAGCGATGCTCATCATTCAAATAAGAGCTAGAGCAGGGATTCGAAACGCTTTTGGTGAATGACAGACCTGCTACAGACATGTGTGGTAGGAGACAATCAACATATTTATGGGCAGTGGCAAGTCCAGTAATGGCATCCAGGTGGTATAGTAGTTTGGCAGTCATGGAATGGTGCATGGCCTCGGGCCCCGGCGAGCATCAGCATGCATACATTCAGTAACCCAGAAAGATAGAGACTCATGTCTAAGTATAAGCGTTTAGAAGCATTCATTCCTGACTTGATGAACGTAAACCTCAATAAGTAGGTCTAGGTACCAAATCGGAGATACCTTACTGAACCTCGTGTGGGCACTGGACGTAGCATTGTCAGTTACTCCTCGGGGGCCGTCACTGGAGCTGAGGTGCAGAAAGATGGATTAGTCATGAGTGACCTCACCGTCCACTCCAGCGGCAGCGGGTGGCCCGTGACTTGACCCTTGAATCGGACGGACCGCAGTCATATCACGTGATTGCACCTCATCCGCAAAAGGGCAGCACAAATCACGTGTCGCACTTTAGCGAGGCGCACCACAATTGGACCCAGCTAGGAAGAACACCGCGATCCCCGATTTTCGAAACATTACCCAACGCCAACCGACACCTCGTCAGCGCATCCACCGTCAAGATGCGTACCTACGACGACTCTTTCAGCGGCCAGAAGATCTACCCCGGCAAGGTGCGTTGACAATTATTCAGTTCTCGAGCGACATTTCGGAGGAAAAAAGGGGAAAAAAAACATGAGGGAACGATTTTCCACGAAGAAAGTTGGGTGCGGATCTGGAACACGACGACGCGGACGACTATGACATGATGCGATATTGCGATTGTTCGACAAAGGATTCGGTCATAACGTCTGGGCGGTTCTTCGCTTGCCGATCCGTACCTCCACTCTGTTCTTTCAACCTTTCCCTCCGATCGCGCTCGAGAACTTGATATAGCGGGGATGGGAGGCAATTGTGATTGTCGGTGGTATGGGTCTGCTAACGCTTCATGTTTTCGTGATGTTTTAGGGTAAGCTGTACGTCCGTGGCGACAGCAAGATCTTCCGCTTCCAGAACGGCAAGTCCGAGTCGCTCTTCCTCCAGCGCAAGAACCCCCGCCGCATTGCCTGGACCGTTCTCTTCCGTCGCCAGCACCGCAAGGGTATCTCTGAGGTCCGTTATCAAATCTTTATCTCTCCGTCCTACAATTCACCTCGGTCATATGATCTTGGTTGTTGGCTGGAGGGTCATGACTCGAGTGCGAATCTGCAGTTGTTACCCGTCCTCATTGGGGACAGGCACGACGGAAGATCGCACTGCATGACCCTGATTGCGCAAGAGGAGGAGAAGCCAGATCCTTCAATCTTCTTTGAACGGCAGAGGGCGCCAAGATCAACAATCTTCGGATCCCATGGAATCCCAATCACGAATTGTCGAGACGACATGTAATACTGACCAGGTCATATTCACCACTCTATAGGAGGTCGCCAAGAAGCGCACTCGTCGTGTCGTGAAGAGCCAGCGTGCCATCGTCGGTGCTTCCCTCGAGCAGATCAAGGAGCGCCGTGCTCAGCGCCCCGAGGCCCGTGAGGCTGCCCGCAAGCAGGCCATCAAGGACGCCAAGGAGAAGAAGGCCGCTGCCAGCGCCGCCAAGAAGGCCGACAAGGCCAAGAACGCCGCCAACGCTGCCAAGGGTGGTCGCACCGTCTCCAAGCAGGGTGCTAAGGGTTCTGCCCCCAAGGTCGCCGCCAAGTCCCGCTAAATTACGACTCTGACGACGAAGTAAGACGATGTTGTGTTGCGTCTGGGGGACTCACCTGAGAAGGCAATCAAGCGGTGTTTTTATTGGTTTCTACTCGTGTTGACGGTTTCGCGATATGATGGAACTTGCGGAGCTTCGGGGGTTTCTCAACCCCGGAGCTTTGAAGAGCTGTCCCCTTTTATGAGAAGTGGAAGGGGGCTAACGGGCCAAAATTCAAATTTTTTTTTCCATCACTCTCCCATGATTTTCTGGAATCTTGTCATTATGCAGAAGTATGGGAATAAAGGAATCCTAACGAAAAAAATTTCGCAAACCAAGCCCAGCTCCGCAAGAAGAAAAAAACACAGAACGCCAAACCCAAAATCAAATCGCTGACAAAAGAATGATCTCCGATATATTTCTTTCGCTTTAGGGACTGTAGTCGTCCTTTGTAGATTCTCATGTCCGCCTACCACATCCGAATCGACGTGATCACGAGGTGGCTGTCACATTGTCATTCTTGAAGCCCGACATGTCTTGCATCGCTGCCCCGGGTCCCCTGCTTTCTACGAGAACCTGGATCGAATGAAGAGCTATCTGTGCAAGGGAAATCGCCTCGTGTGACAAATTCCATTCGTATTCTTGCCTCGGGCGTTATTGTGTACGGTGATCTATCACGTTTGAACTCCAATCTATCGATCCTCGCGGGTAACTGCATTGTAGTCCAGTCGTATTCTCATCAAGCAATCAATTCTATCAGCCCCAGGATAAGCATACCCCATTCGCAGCTCGCCTCCAACGTTTTTTGTATCATTGGGATCCAGGTCAGCCAAATCAATGAGAGAACGGATGTAAGTATAGATATTTGAAGTCTGACAAGTCGAGACACGCAGAACCAAAGCAATGGGCAGAATGAGCAAAAGTAAAGTTTTTATACAGAAGCGATTGGAGCATGGAGATCGGGTCTACCATCTCCATGTAACGTGCGGGGCGAGTAGCAACACGACGACCTTTGAATGCGGGATGTAAGGGAGTACACGTATAGTCATGGATGAGGGGAAAGGCGTAAAGGCCTCGTGGCTTTGCATGAGGTGTTAAGAGATATAGGGCAAGGGAGCAATTCTTCCCACCGACCGCTCTCTCCGGCAGTTGTCGATCTTGGTCGCTCGCTCCAGGAATCAACCCCGTCGTGATCCTGTGCAAAGGTCAAGCCCTCGAATGCACATCCGACAGATCAGAGGCGTCGTTCTTCTCTGTCAATTTGTCCACAAACACCGAAAAACGCCAACGAACCCAACTCTAGAAAATCTTCACAGGTGAACGTTCCAGATAAGAACAGTGAAAGAGGAATCTCAACACTGCCCATCAGACTTTTCACAGATATGCAAGGCCTGGAATCAGTAGTAGTGAGCCATCTCGAGACCAGCCCGCTTGAAGCCGCACTTTACGTAGAAGCCTTCGTTGGCCTCGGAGCAATCGAGGATACTCTGTACAACGTCAGAATAAGTTTCTAATGCAGCATCCATCTTGACCAAAAGGAACCCGGAGGGAGGGGTGAGAGAGAAAGAAAGAAATGGCAGAAATGCGCAATGTCTTCTCCAGGGACTATGAGGTAGAGCCCTTGTCCAACGCACCTTATAACAGCCAACCTTTTCGGCCACGTAGTCCAAAGCCTGAATAATGCGCAATCCCAACTTCTTGCCCTGTTGGTTCTTCTCCACGGCGATATCCTCAATGTGACCCACCATGCCGAGCGAATGAATGAATTTGCGCTCCACAATCAGGCTGCCTGTGCCGACGATCTGATCCTGTCCGTCGCAGATGACGAGCATGTAGTACTCGTCGTTGCGAGAGGCAATCCAGTCATATCGCTGGTTCCATTGTTCCTCGCTGATGTCGCCGACGGTGGTCAGGACACGAAGGACGTCCAGATAGCCGCGCTGGTAGTCCGATCGGCGCAGAGGACGGATTGTATAGTCGGTGGGGAGGATGGAGATGATCTCGGGCGAAATGAGTGAGGAGGCGAAGAGGGGGGCATCGTCTTCCATGTCGACCGGGGTGACGGTGGAGTTGACGATGGACTTGGTTAGTTCGGGAATGGTGGTTGAGGGGGTGAAGCTGGGGGTGGTCATGATGTTGTTGTCGTCCAAGGTGTTGTTGTGAGAGCGGCCAGTGTTGATGGCAGTGTGGTCTCAGTGATTTGTTTTGGTGGTTTCGGAAAGAATGAGGCACAGAGTTTATGTGTGTGAACGATAGTCGAAGCGCCGTCGGTGGAGGAAAGAATGTGCACGTATGTGTGGCTATGACATGTATACCGAGTATAGTAGCCTTGTCGTGTTGTCGGGTGGGAGAAATAAACAACGGGCGAGAAAGCGAAGGCAAGAGTCTCGGCAACTGAAGAGGAAACTGGCAATGATCGCACAATCGCGGTCGCAACCCGACTTTGTCGACTCGGTCGGACCTGACAAAAGGACAAAAGGACAAAAGGACAAAAGGAGGGGCGTGGAGTCGTGGGCCAAAGACAAGTGGGTCGACGCAAGGGAGATCTGATCCATTTGGGGCTGTGACTGCGACCTAAAATTGGATCCATTGATCAGAGGTATCTCTCATCCTTGGTTTACTTCCGTTTCAGACCAGAGCAATTGAGGGTTGGAACATTGCTGACGACCAGTACCACCGTTTTCCAGGAGAAATGAATAGCACCAGCCGTAACCTGTATCCATGTTGGCGAGGTGATTATGTTTTGTGTTAGGCACTGGGCTGCGATACAACCCTTTCGGACCTCTTTGAATTCCTCTTTTTGATACTCGATAGTTCATACATATAGTCAGCCACTCATCTCGACGGTTCGATCCGCGGACATTAAAATAACCCAGTAAGAATTGACCCTAGAAGGGTTCAAAATATAAAGCCAACCATGAGCTTTGTCTAAGATAATACAGGGTGGATCATACAGCGCCTAGATTATCCGAATTGGGGCGAACCACTTATTTCTTCTCCTTGGGAGCCAGCATCAGCTCGGGACGAACGTGCTGGTCAAACTCCTCGGAACTGAGAGCCTTCAGCTCCATGGCACTCTCCTTGAGAGTGATGCCCTTCTTGTGGGCATTCTTGGCCACTTTGGAGGCCATGTCGTAACCGATGACGGGGTTAAGGCAGGTCACCAGCATCAGACTGTGTAAGAAGGGTGACAGATTAGTATATGAGCCAAAACAAAGGACACAGTGTAGATCGACATAAAGCAGGAGTAGAGGCAAGGGAAGCATAGGATAATGTAGACGTACCTCTCGTGGAGCAAAGAGTTGATGCGGTCCTCGTTGGCCTCAAGACCCTCAACGAGGTGCACACGGAAGCTGTCCATGCCGTCGGACAGAATGCGCACGCTGTGGAGCAGGTTGCGGATCATGACGGGCTTGAACACGTTCAGCTCGAACTGACCGTTCATGCCACCAATGGTGGCAGCAACGTGGTTACCCATCACCTGGGCGCAGACCATGGTCAGAGACTCGCACTGAGTGGGGTTGACCTTGCCGGGCATGATGGAAGAGCCGGGCTCGTTCTCGGGCAGGATCAGCTCGCCGAGACCGCAACGAGGACCAGATCCGAGGTAGCGGACATCCTGAGCGATCTTGAAGAGGGAGCCGGCCAGGGTGTTGAGAGAGCCAGAGGCCTCGACGATGGAGTCGTGCGCAGCGAGCACCTCAAACTTGTTGGGGGCGGTCTTGAACTCGGTGCCGGTCATCTTGCTGATCTCAGCAGCGACGGCTTCGTCGAAACCCTTGAAGGTATTCAGACCCGTGCCGACAGCGGTACCACCCTGAGCCAGGAAGCGCAGGTGAGGGAGCGAAGCCTGGACTCGTTCGATGTTGCGATCCAGCTGGGCAACGTAGCCGGAGAACTCCTGGCCAAGAGTGAGGGGAGTAGCATCCTGCAAGTGAGTACGGCCAATCTTGATCAGCTTATCCCACTTCTCAACCTTGACCTGCAGAGCGTCGCGGAGCTTCTGGAGAGAGGGCAGGAGAGTGTTCTCAAGCTCAAGGACAGCAGCGATGTGCATGACGGTGGGGAAGGAGTCGTTGGAGGAGGCAGACATGTTGACGTGGTCGTTGGGGTGAACGGGCTTCTTGCTGCCCATGGTACCGCCAAGGATCTCGATGGCACGGTTGGAGATGACCTCGTTGGAGTTCATGTTGGACTGGGTACCAGAGCCGGTCTGCCAGACAACCAGAGGGAAGTGATCCAGCAGCTTACCCTCGGCTACCTCGGCGGCGGCCTGCTTGATGGCCTCGCCAATCTTGGGGTCTATTCAACCACAAGAAAGACTTGTCAGCCTTGCAAAAAGCTGCAATGTGACTTGCTTGATCTCAGAGCATATGCGGACTCACCAAGGCCATACTTCATGTTCACGGTAGCAGCGGCACCCTTGAGAATACCAAAGGCCTTGACCACAGGAGGAGGCATGCGATCCTGAGGCTGGTTGATATCGAAGTTGCCAAGCGAGCTGTAGTCCAAGTCCTTGCATATCAGCCTTCTTCTGTCTCTTTCTTTCAATGGTCCCTCCCGATGTGCTTCCGCTTTCATGTCGGCTTACCGCTGGGTCTGGGCACCCCAGTACTTGTCGCCCGGGACCTGATCGTCACAGAAAGCGGCCCGTTAGCATTTTGCAATTCAGACAGCCCTGCGAGGCGTTTCAGATCAAAGTTCTCTTTTTCCCCTTAGCTTACCTGAATCTCGCCAAAGGCATCGCTTTCCGTGCGGGGAGCAGTAGACTACAGTTCACGCAGCGGTCAGTTTCCATCGAGCTCGGTCAGAATCGCAGATGTCCAGCGGGGTCTCACCATGCTGAGAGTAGTGCTGAAGGAACGCTTGTTGGTGTTGAGGAGCTGAAGGCGGGGGAATTGTCCACCGAGACGGCTGTTGGAGCTCAGAGCCCGGCTAGCAAAGACCGGAGAGCGAGTTGCAACCGACAAGACGCTGCGGGCTGCGGGGTTGGCAGCTCTGGCCGCATGTGTCAGGCTGGCCATCGAGCGCACCGCGGCTCGGGACGAAGCAGGGTTCATTGTGACCGTGGAATTGACCGGTGTGATGACAGAATTGCACAGGTAGAGGGGGTGACCAGCTGAATGAGCCCGTTTAGAGACCGGTCTGGGTCGAGTCAAGCGAGATTTGGGACTGTGAGTCTCCTTTTCGAAGAGAGGAAGGGATTGAAACAAAAAGTTGAGATGGCTGCGCGACTCCGATGACTTCAGCCGAAAGTTCCCGGTATCCGCATGACCGAACAGCCGCCGATTGTCGAGTCAACTGCCGGTAATTTCATCAGTGAGCGTGGTAAGTTTCTGTAATTCACGGTATTATTCAAAACGGCTTTCACCTATGAGCCTGTGAAGTAGAGTCGAATCAGTCGATGTTTACCTACATGCCAATAAGGTAGTCAGAGTTCCAGCAGACTAAGAATAAGATTTTCTAGATGTATTGAACAAATATTTAGTTCAGGCTCAGTCTGGCCAGATTTGGAAGAAGGTGATCAATTTGTTGCAATCGGCAAGGGTGAGCCCCGTAGCATGTGTAATTGTATATATATTTCCTATCTGGGCCGATGCCCGCCCGTGCCATCATAACGGTGGGTGCGAACTATCCAGCGTCCATCAAGATACGAATAATGTTACCAACATGGACATGCGCAGGTCATGCCCCTCACACTAGCAGCTCACGCTTCATGCATGCAATTACCCTCTCATTAAACTGGCGACCTGCTTCGAGGATTCCATCCAGGCTGGCAAAGGTGTGAGGTGCGCCCAGGTACCGGTGCTTTTCGACGCGATTGCCTGCTGCTCGCAGTTTGTCGGCGTACGCTTCACCTTCGTCCCGCAATGGATCCATCTCTGCGGTCGAGACGAGCGCTGGAGCTAGGTTGTTGAAATCGGGTGCGAGCATTGGCGAAATCTTCCAGTCCTATTGCGCAGTGAGTGGGCGTGTCAGAGGCATATTGGATGTGTCCCGGGTCAGGCGTAGGGCCTGATCTACACTCACGTCTGCTGAAGGAGCTGGTCGAGGCACGCCGAGGAAATACCGATAAAAGAACTCCATTCGTGCGACCGGTAGTAAAGGTGCGAACTCCATTTCGCGATAAGATGGGTATGGGCTGTTCTGGCGATCGAAGTGGCCATCGAAAGTGAACGAGCTGTCCAGGTCACAAATCGGCACTGTGAGCACTTGTAGTCTCAATGGGATATTCTCGTCTCGGCACAGATGGGCTAGAACTGCGCTAAGATGACCCCCGGCAGACGCCCCGCCTATAGCGAATCTGTTCACGTCGAGGTTATATACGTCCGCCTTGTGAGATCGAATCTATTTGGTACAATTTGACATGACGTGGTCAGCTGCTTCGCTGCGTCTCAAACACACAAAACAGCCCACGAGCTTCATGTATCTCACCCAAGTAAATGCAGCCCAGCAGTCATCCACAGGAACAGGATAAGGATGTTCGGGTGCAAGTCGATAGTCCACGTCAAAGGCGACCAAGTCGCCATCAAGCCCATGAACAAGCCGTTTGCAAAATTCATGGTCATAGTCCAAGCCTCCAAAAACCCAGCCACCTCCGTGGAAATTGATGTACGCGGCTCTTTTCTTTGGCTGATATTGTGCGTCCACTTGAGGCGCTGGCTCGAAGATTCGAATAGTGATTTCCCCTCCGGAGACAGGACATTTCTGTTCAGAGATGCTATAGACATCTGGACCATTTGCTCGCCCGTAGGAAATCATGTAACGAGCAGGGTTCCTTCGAAAGTCATCGATGGGCACCTCGTGTGTGTGTAGGCGTCCCGCATTATACTTATTGTAGTATTCAACAAAGATCGGATCGAATCTTAGGAGTAACTCCGGAGGGAGACTGTTGTGAAGAGGCTGGAGTATGAGAGGTGATCGCCATTTATGCAGAGCTGGATCGTCTCCAGATATTGAGCTTTCTTGGGCCATGGCTTGGAATTTAGTCGACGATTGTCGGGAGTGGAAGATTGAGCTTTTCATATTTCTCGTTCTCACATTGAGACACGACAGATTCATGGCTTTCCGACTTTGCGAGGGGCCCGCAGCTTCTGTGATACCCTGTGGCGCATCTTATTGACCGGTTGGGGTCGAGCACGCGAAGGTAGTGCAGACTGCAGACAGAGCGGACATCCCAGGCTCTGTCTGGACTGGTAGAGTGGACGTTCAGACTGTATTCACCCATGGCCACTCGTTGCCAACGCATTACCATACGGGATAATTTGTTCAATCATGGCCTCTGCGTATAGTGCATCAGTACAACATAACTACCGTATCTTGAGTCGGCCAACAGCGACTCACGTGGCCGACAACGGCCTCCACACAGGCAACAGAATCAGAAAACGGCCTTCCGCAAAGAGCTCTGACTTAGCCCGAGGTGAATTAGTGATGCAAAGACACATTCATACCCAGGTAGGCTCGTTCGACTGGTCATTCTCGTGGGTTGTTGCCTCAGGATTGAACACAGCTTATGTGACAGTCGGCTCGGGGTCAATATCCACTAACTTACCTCTATCCACTGAAGGCACCTTAACCATAACCCAGTAGGTACCTACCTAGGTAGATGCCTACATATACCCCCAGAATTTCAACGACCCAAGATAGAGATATCCATCAGACCACAGCCCACCCATCATGTTCAGGGAGTTATGGAAATCCCCAAGAGACATTCCAGTGCACCTCCAACAAGTGCCCTAGATCTCCCCATCAACACGATAAGAGCGAGTCTACAACATTCAGATACATCCATCCTGCCTGTGTTTGTGCGCATCCGGCAAGAGCACTGTGTTCAACACCACTTCGGTATACTGCATCCTGCAGAGTGCATCGTATAAGCCTGGCGCTATAGGCCCGTGTATTATCGATCGCATCTCCATGGACTGACGTATACTGTGTAATCCCTGCATCGGGTACTCTCAGACCCTCCGCGGATGTAATAAGGTCGAGTCAGCCTGCATGCGCCGAGCGCCACGAACTTTTTAACTCTTGCCCGTCAACTTGTTCGGATTGCGCGGCCGCCAAAACTCGGCTTGCGCAGACCTTCTCAGATCCCAAGCATGGCCATGAGATCCATAATGGGCGAAGCGCATGGCAGAGAAGATGCAAGGGCCGGTCGATCCAGGGCTGCGAACTTTTAGTAGAGCCAGTATCGGCCTGGTCATACCGGTGGTGACGCTCCAAGTCATTACTGAGGACGGCGCTGACAGGTTGTTCCAAGAAAGATCGAGTCTGCCCGGATTGGAATCGATGCAGAACTATCAACGGGATCATCGACCTCATTTTGCATCATCATCATCATCATCATTCACAAGGCTATTGACGGTAATTTGCACCTCGTGACAGTCGTTCGGCTGCCATCATGGAAATCTTGCTTGGATCCAGAGACGCTGAGCGATCGAGTTTCCGCTCTTAAGCGGCACTTCCCGTTCGGGCCCAGCAGAAAAGGAGAAAAACAAAAAAAAAAAAAAACTGGCGGCTAATCAAATAAAAACGCCCAAAAAGGACAGTCCGCGGACCAAACGGAGATCGGCGACATCGGCATTGAGTCAGCCCTGAGACCCATCTTTTTGTTCCCTCCCCCCCAGACTTATACATGCCCTTCCAATTCCTCTCCAGTGTGCCCGGAACGATCAATTATTTCCACCAAACAACGAACCGTTGACCCTGCGACATATCTACCCTCCTCACGTTCAACAACCCACCATGGAGAAGACCGTTCCGACTCGCCTCACCGTGGCTCCTGTGCCTCCCGATGAGATCTTCGCGCTGAACGCTGCATACTTCGCCGACAATTACCCACAAAAGGTCAGCTTGGGGGTGGGTGTCTACCGGACGGATGATGGCAAGCCTTGGCCCTTGCCTGCTGTTCAGCAGGCCGAGCAGGCGCTCGCAGAGGAGGACGATCTCATGAGACACGAATACACTGCCATCGAGGGAGACAAGCCCTTCTTGCCCATTGCGCGAGATCTGATGTTCGGCTTCACGGGCCAGCCCAGTGAGGAGTCGGCCAAGGCACGTATTGCTACTGTACAGACCGTGGCGGGTACCGGTGCCAACCACCTGGGTGCCTTGTTCCTTGCCCACCACATGAAGCCGCCATCAGTCTGGCTGTCCAACCCTTCGTGGGCCAATCACATGACGATCTGGGAACTGGCTGGCGTGCCGCGCAAGACCTACCCCTACTACCATGCTGCTACGAGATCCTTCGACTTTGACGGTATGATGTCGACCCTGGAGAATGAGGCTCAGGAAGGTGACGTGGTTCTGTTGCACGCTTGCGCTCATAACCCTACCGGTCTGGATCCGAACAAGGAGCAGTGGGTCGCCATCGCGGACCTGTGTGAGCGCAAGAAGCTGTTCCCCTTCTTCGACTCGGCCTACCAGGGCTTCGCCTCGGGATCTGTCGAGGAAGATGCCTGGGCCGTCCGCTACTTCTTCAACAACAAGCCCGACATGGAGATGTGTGTGGCCCAGAGTTTCTCCAAGAACTTTGGTCTCTACGGACAGCGTGTGGGGGCCTACCACTACGTGACCAACCGCAATGCGACTTCCATTCGCGACGTGATTGTGAACAATCTTTGCCACTTGATCCGTGGTGAATTCTCCATGGGTCCTCGCATCGGCTGCAGCATTGTCAAGAAGATTATGACAAGTGAGGCCTTGGTGGCCCAATGGCACAGTGATCTGCAGGTGATGAGCTCGCGTATCAAGTCGATGCGCCAGGCTCTCTATAGCGAGCTGATTCGCTTGAAGACCCCCGGTACTTGGGAGCATATCATTCAGCAGGTTCGTTCTCTGCCCGGACACAACTTCATTCCCACCGTGATCAAAGCGCTAACGCTGAATGATCTAGAATGGCATGTTCTCGTACACAGGTTTGACCCCGAAGCAAGTCTACGCGCTCCGGGACAAGTACCACGTCTACCTGCTCAAGTCTGGTCGTGCTTCCATCAGTGGCTGTAAGTGCTTGCCCTACCTCGCCCGCTCTACCCCAAAAAGCATGCTAATCGAGTGATTGCAGTGAGCAAGAAGAACGTTGCTTATGTTGCCCAGGCTATCGATGACGTTGTCCGCAATGTCCTGTAGATACCTGCAAAGGGCGGATAAAGTATGATTGCATAGCGCGTGATTCATCCTCAATATCTCGTGGATAGCTGGTGGTCTTTCTCCTTTTTCGCCTTTCTTTCTCTTCTCTTGAAGTCCCCGTTTTGTACATCCTGTACCTCGTGACCCCGTCGGGTGTGGCTGTATGGTATGTAATTATGACACTTGATGATAGATATCCCCATAGAATGACAAAACATTTCGGTTCACCAAAACTGGTACTTCCAATCCTTCAGCTGTATATGAAGAGGTGGTCGCTTTCAATTCACTCTCAAAAACAGGCTATCTACTATACAACTAAGGTAGGAAGGAAATAATACGATCGAGAAAGCATCGAATACCAAGTAATAAAAGCCTCCAGATCAATCAAGCAGTCGATCGACGCCCTAAACTCAGAAACAAGCACAACAAGGAACAACAGAAACATAATCATGGTCGTACGGATTTGAAAGGAATTAGCAGAGCTGGAATAGGCACCTCAGAGAGGAACTTCGTTGAAATCCTCCTCGCCTTCCTTAGCTTTGCCCTTTTCAGTTCCGTTATGGTCTGCGTTCTGAGACCCTCCCTCCGGCATATGCTGTGGAAGAGTGCCTTCTCTACTCGAGAGCTTGTCTTCGTCGCCCGAGTCTGCACCGCTCTTTTGGCCCGACTCAGCCACCCCATTCTGCTGAGAAACCTCATCCTTTGGCGGTGGCGGCGGGGGAGGCACATCTAGTTCATCGTCCTCGTCAGATCCGACCTCATCGTCCTTAGCTTGCGGTTGACCGCTCATATCACCACCAGGGAAGGGCGTGAGAGGCGGTTCGGTTGATGCAGGGCCCTCTTCTTGAATCGGAGGAGGCTGCAGGCTAGCGCGGCCCGGGTTGACGGTGGATGTTGTGGACATGGTGGATGTTGTACGCTGGTGGGAGCCATGAAGCGTGCCCAGCCTACGCGTCTTGGGATCCGCATTGAGATAGTAGTCACGAACGCCGACGATGGTCCCCTCGGACTCGCACGCGTCCACCCACTCGGGCACTACCACCGGGATATTCATCTCAACGGCCTTTTCCCACAGCGGACCCCGTCCCTCCGAGCAGACAAAGTGAGTTGTGTCAATGCGCACAGAGTCAATCATCTTGCCACCGATGCGATCCAATGCGTGACCGAGGGCCTCCTTGCGCTGGGGATCCAGGATCCCGACTGTCACGGTGATGCCGGAGAGGTCGGTCATCTTGTGCGTGCGGCATGTCAATTTCTCCGACTGATAGGTGCCGGCCGTCGTGCGCAACACAAGATGGAATGTGTATTCATGGTGGACCGCGAGACCGCTGATCTTGGTGCTTCGAGTCTCGAGGGGGCGGGGTATCGAGCCGGCCTTGGAGCCATTGCGGTATAAGGATAGCGATTTCAGGGACGCTGTGGCCAGGTCGATTGGATCCCACTCCAAGACGAGGGAGGTCTGAGTGGCATTGCGTAGTCGTAGAATGGGGGGCGAGGGGGTCTTGACGCCGTAGGTATTCAAGATGCGTTTCTGGAGAGATTGGAAGGCGGTTGCATTGGCGGTTTCGGCGGCATGATTGCGCGCGACTGTGATATCAACGATGCTGCCAGAGGCGATCCCGGCGGGGAGCAGAACGGAAGGAAACTCGATCTAGTCAATCGCAACAGTCAGATTGTGCTTGATTGAAACGGCGACAGTGTGTTTTCCAACCAGGAAGTAACGTCGTGCAGTTGGGGGATGGCGGCCATTTGAAGGCGATCATGTCCATGGTTTGGGTCCTGTCAGGCACCAGGGGTTTTCGAGCTTACCAGACGATTGTCCTCAGTCAAGAGAACAGCGACACCCGCATCGACCTTGCCGACAGTCAATGAGACCAGCATAGTGATCTGGAATGGCGATAAGCGAACGTCCCAAGAAGTGAGTCGTTGGAGGTAAGTGAGTTCTGGATGATCCAAGCTCCGTCGGCTGCCGCCAGATCGACACTTAGCGAGGCTTTGAGGCCTCGGGAGCTAAGGTTACTATGACCGCTATGCAAGTCTCTCATTGGATTGAAGCTACAACAACGACAAGATCCATCGCTCACACGTGTGAAATTGCCAACTGTTTACCACAAGTAGCTGATTGAATGAAATTAGCTTGCTCTGGGAGACCGCGCCTTTTCCGAATTGTATATCAGTAGTAATGTTTGAGGGAGTTCATCCCCAGAGTTGAATAGTGTGCACTATGCAGTACCTGGCATGATGCAGCTCCCAAGATTCCCCAGACGCCATGCGATGATCGAATCGACCTTGATAATATACAGAGATGTATGCGAAAGTTGCCGCCGCTAAATTACAGAATGATGTTGTACAGTATCGACCAAGCATCCGGCTATGGCACTAGTCACGAACACTTGCCATCGCTTTTGTTGCGGTCGCCACGCCTCTCCCGGTGCTTTAGAATGCCTTTTAGTAGGTAGTCGGTGTCTTTCTGCAAATCCTCGAAACTTTGCCGGAGACACGTAGGACGCAGCGTGATCTCCAAAGAGCCCAACAGAGGTGGCTTTTCGTTCCAGGCGCCTATCGACAAAGACCGCCCTACGTTGTCAAATCCTTGCCGTTTGAGGGACTCTTGAAACGCCATGCGCGCTCTCCGTGCGCACCAGGATCGGACGGTGCGTTTAAACTGGTTTAAATGGGATACCGATACCCGCCACCAGAGTGTTTTCGGGTCGCGATTTGCATACATGTATGCGATTTTGGGACGAATGGGATGTACCGGAGAGCCCAGGTAGCGTTGGGCAATGGGAGGAATCACATGCTCGGAGGTGTATCGGAGTAGGAGGGTACTCGAAGATGAGGAGAACTTCATGCTGGGAGGGCAGAGGTATCAGGATCGTATCTCGCCCAGAATTGGCGTAGTTGTCTTGTGTTCGGTTGCCGTATCGGGATCATAGCGAAAGAAAGAGCAGGCTTGTGAGGCACATAAGAGGCATCGAAGAATAAGGATTGGGTGGTGCTTGTAAGATGAATGCACCGAGATCGATGTGCGAAACACCTCACAACGGGTATCAAGGCGAACGAGGATATCCCGAGACAAGCCAACCGGCTCAAAACATGGAGCGCAAGGACTGAGTACACCAGCAGAAGACAAATAGCCACTTCAGGCTTCAAGCAGTTTCGCCAAACACCGCAACACTTTGTCCCTTCACCCGGTCACACCACTTTTTTTTCTGCCGAGATTGATCGAGGCGGTAGACAGTACGTGCCTTCATTTCAAGGCATGAAACTGCATCAGGTGCAGGCCTTTGTGCCTGATTAGCTAAGCAGCAGGTTTGTTCCCCCGTTATATCGGCACAGATCCTCACCCCACCACCACACTTTCCCTCAACCTTCACCTAGATTCTCTGGGGAAATCACCTTTGTTCTCTACGTCCTCATCCGACGCAGAAAGCTAGCGGACGCGAAAGTCTTCCACAGGCGAAAACCGAAGTTCCAGACTCGCCGCCATGCCCAAGAATAAGGGAAAGGTTAGTGCGCAAATTCTCAGCCCCTCCTACTAAAATGTGCCACCCCACCACCATCAGTCTCCGAATAGCCACCCGTCGGCTTTCTTGAGTGAATGGAAGTGGTGAAGTGGCTTCTTTTTATCGAAAAGCTTTGCCCCGCGAGAGCAAATACTCCCTTTGTCTTGATGAAGCAAATTCTGACTCCTTTGTCAACAGGGTGGTAAGAACCGTCGTCGTGGTAAGAACGAGAACGACAACGAGAAGCGTGAGCTCGTCTTCAAGGAGGACGGTCAGGAGTATGCGCAAGTCGTCAAGATGCTCGGCAACGGTCGCCTGGAGGCTCTTTGCTTCGATGGCGAGAAGCGCCTGGCCCACATCCGTGGCAAGCTTCGCAAGAAGGTCTGGATCAACCAGGGTGACATTATCCTTCTCTCCCTCCGTGATTACCAGGATGAGAAGGGCGATGTCATCATGAAGTACACCGCCGATGAGGCCCGTAGTCTGAAGGCCTACGGTGAACTGCCCGAGCACGCCAAGATCAACGAGACCGACAACTTCGGCAACGAAGGCTTCGAGGACAACGTCGAGTTCGACGAGGACCGCGAAAGCGAGGATGAGAAGGAAATCGATGTCGACGAGCTCTAAGCTCACCCCTACCTCTCGGAGCCCGATGCTCTCTACCCTGCAAGAGCGCTGCGCAGAACCATGCTATGCCGCTCTTCAAGTTCCGCCACTCTTCTCCTACACCGCTGTTGTCGGGTCATGCGCTTCTACCGACGCTTTGCATCCAACAATATTCCAGCCCTTTCGGATGGTTGGAGTACCACGTGATCTTGATTGAAGACCTTCATCTGCACGCCTTCAATATCAACCACGCTGCGGCTCTGTACGAAACTGAAGGATCATCTCTTCCTTCTTGGCGACGATACGACAATGAACCAGGGTACGAAAGACATCGGCGACCAAAAAAGATCCCGTGATTTTGTATGTTTTACCGATTTGGTCTGCGCAGGCGCATGCCTTACAGCCCACTATCTGTTACTTCAAATATTTTCGGGGTTATGTTGCAGAGCCTAAAAAAGTCGGTGGCGACACACATCATGAAACTGCGTGTCCGTTGCCTTGCCTTGCATTGCATTGCATGCTCTGTCCCTCTGTCCGGCCTTGTCCTTTACCTTTTTTTTTCTTTTTGTTCCTTGTTCCTTTTCTAGTGATAGATGTTGCGAACAAAAGGTCATGACAGTTGAAACTCTCCCTGTCTTTAGTCGTAACAAGTATATGACTATGAACGGTCAGTTCATTTTCGAGCTCTGTCTATCTTGACACCAGCATTGACATACGAACCATGATGAAGTTGGGTAAACGTTGAGAGCAGAAGCTGTGTGACGTTCACGCTCGATCCCAAGCCTACATCTCTCTCGACATCACGTTTGATTGCTGTTTCATCTACCAGGGGATCAAGAAGACGGTACTGCATAAACTGAAAACAGGATGGGACAAATTGCTCTTCGAGTCAGTACTCGGAAACAAATCCCAGTCTTATGACAAAATTCAGAGACCCGTCCAGTGTGCTCTTCCCGCCTGGCGACTCGTTGCGAAGGCACATACCAGACAATCATTGCGCATCTGGAGACCTACAATAAGACACTTTCTGATCTTGGTCTCTACTTCCCCACTGTAAAATGTTTTGTAGAGACCCTCGCAACGTCTCAATTGAACGTCTTCAAAACGGCCCATGGGAAGATCATCGGAAAGACTCTCAGAAGGTCCCCAGCAAAAGCTACCTATCAGGTGATATGTAGTCTTGTAGTTTTTGACTGTTCACGCAATATTCCAGTACAATCTTCGCGGTACTTCAAGTACATCTGAGAAGACTGCCAGGTCACAATAAAATCATGATCATTCAGTCTAGCAGTATGCTATGCACTTGCACAGTTGACACCGAGGTGACCTCTATTGAATATCGCTGCATATCATGGGAAATTGACGACCGACACAATTCGCGAGCGGTCTCATAGACTCATACTAATGTCATAACTAGGTCTGTACTCGTACAGTCATGATCCAGTAACTGGACCCAAGCTTCCCTTTCCACCAGTTGAACCCTTTACACAGCCTCCATCACCAAACATTGACTGTGCTGCATCTCGCCAGACAGTTTCCCGCCCTAGATAATTCTCAAGTGTGTAGAAACGTCGACACTCCGCCGCTTCGTACCTGAACTGCAGCGGAATCTGATCGTCGTCCGGATCGTATTCGTTTCGAAGGTTGACATTCCCACTCCACGCAAAGGACGTTATCCGACCTGGACTTGATTCGTTGAACTCCCGCCATTCCTCCAAAGTCAGTATTGGGGATGAGGTGTTCATCGAGTCCAAGATCAACTGGTTGGCTTGCTGGATATAGCCGTTGATATTATTGATTCCTAAAGATTGGCCGCCCTTGACACCACCGACTCCTTGCATGGGGGATTCGTTGGGCCGGCCACCAAAAGCTATGGTGCGGACACCTTGGCGTTTCATGAGTTTGACAAAGATAGCACATGTCGAGGCACAGTCTCCGTCAGTGACCTGAGATATGTGTTCAGGGTTAGCAATCTGTCTCTTGCCTTCGCTTCTGCTCTGCGTAGCGGCCTGGAACAAACTTAGATCTCTGTGGATTGGGAAACTCACTATCGTGATGTTCTTGGCCGGAAAAGGTGGTTGTCTGGGGATCAAAGGTACAGAGCCATAGCCATTGATGGGATAAGTGGCAGTGGAGGTTGCAGAGTAATTGAAATTTGCCAGCAGGTTGGACGAAGGACTTCCCAGGATAACCTCGGGCCCATAAAGATCCTGCCAGGAACTGAAGCCGCTCTTCTGACCTGGCTTCACCATTTCTCTGTAAGCAAAAGCATTGCTGGAATCTGGGGTGTCCGAGGCCGCGAATGCCTCTGTGAGGTACTTTGCCGCCGTATGTGCCCGATATCTCGTCCCCGTGTAGGGCTCAGCATCAGGGAAGAAGATACGGGCAAGATCGATCCCATAAGAAAGATAGCCTCCAGGGTTCGCCGATACGTCGATCACGATGTTCTTCTTGCCTGCAGCGGTGGCATTTTGCAAGAAATTGACAGCGATCTGAGCTGCCTCGCCCGGACTAGAGGCAAATGAAGGCAGGAACATGATTGCTGTATCTTCGAGGCCGGTCATGTTCGAGTAAAATCCGGCAATGGTATTAACCGAATTGCGCCACTGCGTATTCGGAAGTCCGGGGACGGAGGCGGCCTCCTCAGTTTCAGTTGCGATGGCATTCTTGGCCTTGGGAAGCCCCCGAGGAATACAATGGCTTTTGTACAAGCTGGTGCCATTCTTGTAGGCAAATAGCCTCTCTTTCGGAATAGCTTTCTTCTCGATTGTGCGAGTCGTCCCATTGTCAAAGGTCAAGGTCATTAGAGAGCCTTCACTCCAATCGGTTGTTCGGAACCAGATACCATTGGGATCCGTGGGCGTGTTCGCGAAGTTGCGGGCTACTGCTGGAAAGTTACGATTGTATCTGAGCCGTCAGCAAGGGCAGGATTCATCAGTGGAATAAAGAGACATACTGCGCGTCTTTGTCTTGTAGACTTTGGCCAGCTGCATATGTCGATAGAAAGTTGGCTGCCTCGGTACCATTGATCAACGTCAAAGCAGATACGTTGTCCGACCCAGTTTGAAGGATTTTAGCGTCGTCTTCCAATCTATCAGCTTTGCTTGCTCCGGTGTATCGATTCCAGCACGTACCCAAGGTGTAGATCTCTGGTAGCTTCAGTCCGTCAGACGAAATGGACACCAGTGGTAAGTCAATAGCCAAGTCGAAGATCGCCTGTGAGCATAATTGGAAGACTAGGTGTCCATCATGAGCTGACTTGATGAGATTAGAGACATCGAGATCCATTTGAAACTGGCTCGAGTATCCATTGCTTTTGGCCTTCTTTGAAATCGCACCGATGCCTTCAAGCAGGTCTGTAGATGGTAGTGGATACCCAGAAGGTGGAACTGCAATTTGGGTCAGCGGGCCTTGTCTTCCAGGATCGATTCCATCGGGTATGGGCTGTCTCACATTTGAGAATATCGACGGTTGACTGGAACTGGAGGTATTTCTTCGCTTCGTCCAGAAAGGATAATGCTAGAGCAGATTCAAATGGCATAGACATCAAACATTGGCGGGTCAAATCTTGCGGTATGCGAGCGACCGCTGCAAGTGTCAGTACAACGGATATTTCCTGTTTTGGGAGGCTCAGCACATACATTGACTTGCATTGGCATCTGCTACCAATTTGGAGATCTGCGCACATGGCTCCGAGTCAACAGCATTCTCGCTGACATCAATAGCTGCCGCCCACGCGACCGGGATGGATAAGAACGCTTGGAGGCGCATTCTTGTATGAAGATGCGTTTGGTTCGAAGATAATAACCACAGTAGTGATTGTGATTGAGCCTCGCGATGCCAAGTATCACCGTCTAAGAGTTTTGCTCCGTTTGGTTATCTCACTAACCGGACGGTCTCGGGAGATGAAGGATCTCAAGAGTGATGCTCTTTCTTTTTTTGTGGGCCCCTTGCGTGTCGCCTTTCCTGTCTGGAGCGATCTGCACCCCACGATATTGGCTCACAGGATACTATCGTCATTTGAGGCGGGTCTGCAGACGGATGATGCAGCTTTCTTTGGTGGCAGTTGAAAGGTGAGACGAGGTTCCCCCGCTACATGGCTATCATTCGTGTTTTGTGCTGTTCTGGGCGGACCGATTTACAACATAGTGTTCAGAACGCGGAAATACTCCCTCGAACATGTGTGTCTAATTCGTAGACTATTCATAGATGTATTCAGTTAAATATCGGGTTACGTGGCGTACTGAAAGCTGGGATAACTTATTCTTGGATGATCTGTTTACATCAACAAATAAGCTTTGGTTACCCGGGCTGCCACATCCTCGTTATGGACATTGAGTTGATGGTAGTACAGTAGTTCAATCATCAAAGACACTTTTTCGGAAAAAGGCGACAATCTTTCGTGCTGCCTCCTTGCCGACAAGAGGATTCAAATCCTCTACACTCATATTCGCGATCTCGTGTAGATTTTCTGATTCGAGGATAAGCCGGTCGAGAGCTTTCGGTGTCACGCCTGGCACAGCGCGAAGCATGTCTTGCGGTAATTGATTGAAGATTCGATGTTCAATCCCCGTTGCTGCCATGGCATCCTCAGACGAGCCGATAATGTCAAGATCCAGGCCAATCTGAACAGCACGGAGTGGATCGGGCTCTGCCGCGTTTTTCTTCAGCTCGGCAAAGATCTCCGCTGTCTGATAGGGGGAGGACGACCAGATGATCTTGAGACGAGGGAAAGCGAGGGTCAAAAGAACGATCAAATGTTGCGCAGACTTAGGATTTGAAGGGTTAGTGCTGGCGCTTGTGCTAGAGCTGGTGGCCTGGCCTGTGGACGAGAAGCCATAGTCAGTCAAGAAGGTGGTTCCAGTCGAGATGGTTGCAAAGGCATCAAATGTGAAGGATTTGTTCTGATCGAATTCGATCAACAACAGCGGTGTTTTGTAGTGTTGAATCATCGTCTCTGCCTGATTGTAAAGACGACCATTGCGTAGTGAAGAAATCAAGTCACGAATGGATTTCCGTTCTACGCAGATTTCCGGGGTGAGAATGTAGTCCCCCACTGTCAGTTGACAAGGAATGACGATCATGTTGTTGCCGTGCAGCAAAGAAGGCAAAGCACTTCGAAACTCGCGCACGTCAACAACAACCCGGGGAGGCGCTGCGGTTGCCGCAAGTCTCCCACCCCCAGCAATCCTAGTATTTACGGTTCGCAAGAACTGCTCTTGGGGGTCCTCGGAGCTCTTGTCATGCGTTAAGGTGACAGCCATGTTCTGGGAGAATCATTAGCAAAGGCAGATCGCTCATCTTCTGAACACGTCACTTACACTCTTCTCTTTGATCAATTTTGAAAATGAATCCTTCTCTCGCCGCACTGCACTCAGATATCGCTGTTCCTCAACAGACCCTTCATAGGAGAGGAAATAAACCTTCACGATTCGTCCCACGTGGGAGCTGCGGTAGACTTCAACACGGCGAATAAAGGCAGCGTCCGGCTCATACATCACGATGTATCGCGGACGAAGTTCCTCCAAGATATGCTCGTCCATGTCACCATCATAAGGGTGAATCATCACCAGATCATTCATCTCATAGAGTTCGTAAAAGTCTTCGGTGTCATCAAGATCGTCGACCAGAATCTCTTCTTTCTGAATCTCTTCCGCTTCAGTTGGCTGAATCTCTTCGAGGAGGCTCATTACTTGTGTAGGCAGTTCGACTTGGGTTTGCACACTGCTGTCTGGAACACGACTGGATGCCGAGTTCACGGCTCCTCCACCGCGTACACGTCGCCGTTTGTTGGGAGGAGGTTTTGCTTGTCGTTGCCCGAGTCTGCCAGTCTCTGCGGGCTTTGCGCCTTCGTCCGATTGAGACAAATTTTTGTTGACATTTGAAAGGGATCTTTTCCAGTTCAGATAATCACGGAGACGGCGACGCATCATCACCTCAGATGACGATCTTTCTTCAGCCAGTGCCTCTTTGTTCTCTCCAGTATCATCTGATCTGGAGGTGACTTTGGCTTGCATTGTGGCGATGTACTCTCGTAATTGCCGGCATGTACGCTGATCGCCACACATGATCAATATTGTACCATTGGAATCCTCAATAGGGTTCAAGGGTTTAAGGTATGAATCCTGCTCTATTTCTTCAAGCACTTCGCCAAGGACCTCCCATTTTGGCAAAGGCTCAAGGACGGGCTTGAGCTCTGCGGAGAAGTTAGTGGAAGACCAGGAACGTGACATTTCGTCTGTCATTCTGCCTTGGTAGACCCGCGACTTGGCTGTTTGGAACAAAACATGCGCAGCGTCAAGAAAGAGCCAGGGCGAGTAATTGTGCTTATTAGAGCCTGGAGGCGGCGAATGAGCAGAAACAATGGTGTCAAGGTACTTCATGAACGACACCGCATCGTAAGTGAGGAGAGCACTAGCAAGATGTGTGAGTCAGAGAGCAAGAGTATCGGCAGAGCAAGAGGAACAACATACTGAAGTATGCCACGAAGATCTGTCAGATCGCTAACTATCTGCCGAGTTCTGTAAGTGACACGGTGCCAGATTGGATCCAGCTGTCGCCGGATAGAGACGTCAAAGTTCCTGTGCAAAGCACTGTCTAAGGTCCACTCCTCCATATCGAGGCCTGTATTGGACTTTCGAAGCTCAGCAATGCTGAGCTCAACACACTCAAGAACAGCATTTTGGATCTCTCGCATCTTTGCACTCATTGGGACCTCTAGCTCAATCACTTCGGCCTTTCGATTACCTTCCAAAGCCTCTGCCACGGCCACATGAAAGCGTGGCCACAAAGATGCTTTGCGTAGGAACAAGTTGCGTAGCATGTTAGACAGGGGTGCAAATCCGGTCGTGAAAGGCTCGGGAGAGTCTGAGAATGCTTTCAAAAAGCCCCGTTTGTTGGATTGTCGGTAAATTCGAGTTATGAAAGCCTCGAGAGACGTTGCAACTACCCTATTCAAGGAGTGAGAAACTGATATATCGCTCGCGAAGGGAAGTGCATCGGCCATACTTCTCAGCATGTAGAATGATCATTCCCGTTACCTTTTCAGGATTTAGAAGCTCTAATGAAAGTCAGCAGATGTCAACTTTAGAAGCATGCTTGCACATACTAGAGAGTAAATCGACGACCAGTATTCGGGAAGTGACACTCAAAATCCCGCCTTCTGCGTAGATTCGCTCTCTGATATACAAGTCAGCATAGGCCCTTCCTGTTTTAGCCAAGAAGTTCTGTCCCACACCTACCGCATAGGAACCGTCGCTTTCTCTGTGTTGATCACCTTCAATCCTCGGGCAAGAGGAGACTTGCTTGTAGCATAATGCTCCGCCAATGCTGAAAGCCTACATTCAGCACGAGGCAATCCTCCAACGTAAACCAGTCATACCATCACGGCTGCTTACCTTCTCCTATCCACTCATTTTCACGGTCATCTGCACCTACCACCAACACGAGATTGTTTCCAGCCGCATCATAAAAATGAAGCAAGTTGGTGATCAGGTGAAGCAGACCAAGGCCACGAGCGAGGATGACCAACTCATCTTCTGAACGTAGCTCAGTAAAGATGTCTTGTTGATATTGCTAAAAGAGTTTAAAGGTCAGCCCAGACTATGAGGTCTTGCAGAGATTACGTAGTTACCAAGGGCAATGAAAGCTTCACTGGCACTGTCGTGCGTTCAGGCGGCATAATGAGCCTTTGTTGCGTACCTATAGTAATGACAAGGACCATGGTCCCTTCAACTGATGTCTTCGCGACATCACGTGATATGACGGAATCCGTCACCAGCTTGAAGTACGTCGATGGACAGTGTTACAAGGTCGTCTTTTCACTAGATATTAAGATCATCTACCTTGCAGTTTCAATTCATACTCATGTACTAGATTCCAATTAATCTATGTGTCCTTCAGTTGGGCAAAGGTGGGCGCAGAATTATTTCAACTGCCTTTGTAGTAGGCAAGGATGGATGTGCTTAAGTAGAGTAAATCCTTTCAAGTAGGGTCCCAACCACGCCGACTACGGTGATTCTTCAGTATTTGCAAGCAAGGTCTAGATCAATTCAAGAGCCTTTCAAAACGTTGATTATAAGGAGATTAACTAAAAATCAGAGTCGTATCAACATGTCCTGGGAACAATAGCGAGGGTGATTCGGCCATCACTTATTCAGCTCTTTCATGCGGGCCTCAGTCTCTTCTCTCGAAGCCTTGGGTGGCATTTCTATCATATTGAGATTAGTTTTTGGCCTTGAATTGACACCAAATCTCAGACCTCTACTGACCATCGGGAATCTGGGGTCCCTTTGAAAGGTAGTCTGCAGCAGTAGCTTTCTCACGCTGCTCGCTGGGCTTGTTCTGGCTCTCAGTGGAGCCCTTCTTAGAGGCTGACGGGAAGTCGGATGCTTCAGGAATCACAGGCATGTTGGAAATAGTCCACAGGAAAGATGAGGAAGAATTGTTGAACTTCAAGTAATTGTGGCACTAAGTGGGATCTGGGAGATTTTATGCAGAGTCTTGGGGGCTACTTATATCACAAGCGCAAATCTTGAGTACTCATCAACGTAGCCCGCTTGCTGGACAGCCTCGGGCTATAACGATGATGTCAGCGGCCATCGTCACACAAAGACTGGGCTAAGGTGGTGTCGCATGAGCAACCTGATCTGCCGTCATTTTAGTAGTACGGACTTGATAATCAGGATATGTGATCGGTGGTCTTTCTGCCTAGAGCACCTAATCCCCTACAGTGGAAACAGGTGTTCCCATGGAAGACTATTGAACTTATCCCAAAGGTGTTAAGAAGCAGATGGGGAAGTGGGTTAGTTCCACCTGTGACAGCGCTTTGCTCTGTTGTCCATTCACAAATGAAGTTTGCTGTTGGAATTCCCCACAATCTGATTGTGTCTCGTATTTCCTCCAGCATTAGCCACAAGGGCGCAATGCACTCGAGCGATCGTCCTAGTTGGAAGGGGATAGAGAAGAGACTGAAGGGTATAAGTATTTACTCGCCTGGAATGGTTCTGTTCTGATCGTCTACAATACCGATGGAAACTTGGAACGGCGACCGAAGTATGCCCAATATTTGCTGCCTCAGGCGTTTAACAGCTAAGAATTAATCTCCAACGTATTACCTGCAGTATGAACCGACCCTGAATGATAGCATCCGACAGAGCAGAAAAGAAAACACAAAATGGGGAATAACGATCGTGGAGGCCACTCGAGTAGAAAGCTTAATATTAGATTGCCAGCTCGACGGGACATCTATCGAGTCGCTACTAAGTTCCAAACTAATGACTTACCTTACTTATCATCTCCAGTCTGCGTTGGGTACATTTGGGATACCACGTGCCTTGCGGGAGCTTAGCGTCCCAATTCAAGTGTCTTCGGCGTACTGCGTCCCCCACCAAGGAAGCCAGCCTCCCTTCCTGGATCACCAAATCCTCCCCGCGGTTCTCAACCCCCTCAAGGCAACCGCCGGTCGGCTCCTTACCAATTCGTGCTTTGCCCCTGGCAATAATCTCGAGAACCCCAATTTCCGCTTCACAAGTCAGTTCCAAGCTAGATCTACCTGAAATTGTTCATCTGTTTCCCCAGCAGTCGGCGTGCAAAGTTAGGACCAGTCAGTCACTCAGCCGCAGCTCTCCGGATCAGCTGTCATGCGCCTCACACAACGTCAACGCGAACACCAATTACACATTTGAAGATCCCTCGTTGGTCAAATCCACTGCATTTGAACTCGTCATGCCGTCTATCCTCAGTGATGCCGACAAGGAAACTGTCAAGCGACAGGTGCCCAAGCCGGCCAACAAGATCCTCGCGGTAGCTGTCGCGCGACTCTACGTTGCATATCCTGATCCTCAACGATGGACTTATACTGGGATTCAGGGAGCGATAGTGCTCTGCAATGATCTTGTTGGACGAACCTTCTGGTTGAAGATCGTTGACGTCTCGGTAAGAGCTGGACTGCCCTCCCATGACGTCCCACAGCATTGGCTCAAACTGACGTTGTATGCTATAGCCTACAGGCAAGGGTGTCATATGGGACCAAGAGATCTACGATAATTTTGGTTACAATCAGGACCGCACCTTCTTCCACACATTTGAGCTCGAAGCCTGCTTGGCAGGACTGTCCTTCGCCGATGAGAAAGAGGCAAAAACGTTCATTAAGAAGGTGATGGAGCGTGAGAAGCACGCGAGCAAGGAGACCAGCAAAACTCCCTTCGCCTCCTCTCGAGGACAGGGGCCTGCGCCTGTGACTAACGGCAAAGGAATTGGGCGATCAATCTTTGGCAGTCTATTGCATCGATCGAGTCCAAGCCCAAGCGCTGCTCCATCTCCAGCTCCAGTAGCGGTTCCGGCACCCTCAATACCAGTGGGCCCACCGCCAGTGTTGACACCAAGTGCTCCGCCAACTAAGGGAGATCTACCCTTCGATATCAATGATCCAACCCAGAAGGGCCTCCTCGATGAGTTGCTGCAGATGGGTATTACCGAAGATCAGATAGCAGACAATTCCGAATTCATCAAATCTTGGATCGCTCAGAAGCAGAACGCAGCGGAGTCATCACCAGCGACGAGTGACCAGGACAAGCCGCGGGCTCCTCCTCCACCTCCACCTAGTGCTCCAGCGCCAAAAGCGGCCACCCTCACTCCGCAGGATACAGGGACAAGCCGGCGTGGACCGCCGCCGCCGCCTCCCCCTTCGAGAAAAAGCCGTTCTGATGCTATCGAAGAACCAGCTGCGCCTCCACCGAGCGAGCCCTCCCCACCCCCAGCACCAACTCGAATGTTCCGAGCGCCGCCTCCGATTGCAGATGCGGGCAAGTATGCAGAGCCCGCTGGACCTGCACCACCACGACGACCCAGGGCGATCTCGAGTGTTACGCCGGGCCCGCCGCCGCCTCCGCGACCTCCAAAGACACCAATGGAGGAGCCTTCAAACCAACCAACGAGTCGCTTCGGAGTGCCTCCGCCATTCACTGGCGATCGCAAAGTCTCTGCACCACCCGCACCACCGAGCCGCAGTCCAGTCCCGGGTGGTCCTCCACCACCTCCTCCTCGCACATCCAGCCCAGCGGCACCGCCTCAGCTCCCTCCGAAGGTCCCCCATGGTGGTGCACCCTCTGGACTTCCCCCTCCACCGCCAGCTCGAGGCGCTGTCCCACCTCCGCCTCCACCACCGCCAGGACCTCGGCCCTCGTCAGTTGCGCCCGCTGCTCCTGGTCCTCCGCCTCCGCCTCCTCGAGGACCGGCTCCTCCAGCAGGCTCCCATTCACCAGCTGCTCCCCCACCACCGCCACCACCAGGTCGTGGTGGTCTACCTGTACCACCTCCACCTCCCCCAGGAGCAGGGTCTATTCCACCACCCCCTCCGCCTCCCAATCGCAGTGGGCCAGGAGCTCCTCCGCCGCCGCCACCACCTCCAGGAGGCGCAGGAGGGCCGCCTCCACCCCCGGCTCCTGCTGGTGGAGCTCCTCCATTGCCGAAAAATGCTGGGGGAAGAGATGATCTCCTTGCAGCCATCCGAGGCACGGGTGGTGCTGGTGGAGGTGGTCTTCGAAAGGTCAAGGACTCCGAAAAGAAGGATCGCAGTGCAGCCATGGTTCCTGGAGGCGCAGCGGAGTCATCAGCAGCAGCAACCAGCTCCGGCGGGGCCGCTCAGGGTGGCCTTGCCGGCGCTTTACAAGACGCACTCAACAAGAGAAAGCAGCGTGTTAGCGGCAGTGGTAAGTTATCCATCTTTACCTTGGACAAGAACAACTCACTCATGATATACTCTAGATGACGAGAAGGACGATAATGATGACTGGTGAGCGACCACGGTGTTACATCAACTGGGAGAAATGTCTCAAAAGCAGTGTTTGTATGGTTGTGCTTTGTCAACCATGGTGCGTCGCATTTCTGCTTCTAAAAAGTAGGTGGCCCAGCTCGAGTATTAGCTCCTACCAGCGGAATCTAGCCAAAAACGGCCACTTTGTACAAATATTTTCCAACACAATGGGATATATGAGCGCAGGCCGTTGAATCACTTCACCGCCTTCAGACTACTATAGTTATCAGAGTATTCCAGCGAAGATGGGAACCTATTCCATTAGGCGTAATCTTGAACCACGAATAGGTTACCATGCGTGAAATAGATGTGATTGAGAGTCCATGAACCTCAACAGCAATCTCGAGGCCTCTGAATTTGTTCTCTCATGTTTTAATCCGGATGTATCAAAAACAGCACTACTAATACGACGTTAAGAAACGGTCCCTTGAAACAACAAATTGAGCGCCGTAACTATGAATGACTGACAAAGCGGGAAGTAGTGGGCTTTGTAAGACAGTGCGAGAGTCAACCCTGCTGAACGGGAGAAAGACGCTATATCATGCTGCTCACCCGCCTGCCACTTGACTGACCTTGCATGGCTACTGCTCCTCTCTCTGTTTGATTGTTGGTTGATTGGTTTTATGAATCGTGGTCACGTAGAGTCTATTTGCATTTAGGCCATCGCATGGGTACGGGTCCACTCCTTGGCTGTCTGAATTGCCGCTGGCTCGTCATCCTTCCAGCGCTGGGCAACGTCGTTGGCAAGCGGGTCGTCGGGGTTGGGAGCACCAAGGAGAGCCTGAATGGAGAGCAGAATCGTGCGAATCTGGAGGGCGGGCGACCAATTATCTGAGAGACAGACAACTGTTAATATTTAAAGCTCGAGATCGTTCAGGTGATAGGCCCGCCATGCTTACTCTTCAGAACGTCCAAGCAAATGCGGCCCAGCCGATCAATATTGGGGTGATAGATCTTAGTCAAGAACCGGATTTTGGGCGGAGTCATCGGGTAGTCATCGGGTAAAAATAATTCAAGTCGGAAAATCCCACCTAGAGCTGTGTTGGTATCTGGCTGAGGGATCACTCCATGCTTGGCTGAACATACCCTCGTAGGGAGATTGACTCGGGCCGTGAATGGAAACATCAAAGTATCGCAGATTATCTTCGTGAGGAACGGCATTGATCCCAGGAACTCTGTGATACATGTGTTGAGGACCAAGTCAGTAATCAGAATCAAGAAAGTGCAGATTAAAGCGTCCAGATCGTTCTTACGGTTCAGCCATGAGACGTTCCGTCTCTTTTATAATGCGCTTGGGCAAAGCCATGTTGGGGTCTGATTTCCGGACGACGGAAGATAATGTCTTGAGGCGGAAGGCAAGGATATATCTCTGCGACACAGACTCGAAATCAGTTTGTGCAGGATCGTGTATAATCGTCGACTCGAGACTCAGGCCAGCTCGGGATATGATGGATCCGAAATTCGAGTTGTCAACAGAGCCCACCTGGAAGCGGCCGAGGGGCACTGCATCGCGGGGTCCTGCGGATAGCCGTACCCTTCGCGATCGTAATCAGCACTGTACTCACGTGGACTAGCCTGCGCCACATCAGTGTTACACCAGCCACAGAAACGGTTCCGTTATCGCGCTCCGCTCTGGGCACGCGATCGAGCTGGAGATAAGGCATGATGCAGGGCGACCTCATGTAACCGCGGACCAGGTCCCAGCGTCTCAGGGCGAGCTTATCCACCGCAGCCTGAATTTGCGGTCAGCACCAAGGCCTATCTGGGCCTTGAGGGCCGATTTCAAAGGATCAAGATGTCAAGTTCGATGGAACCCCGGCCACTCACGTCGGCCTTTGAAAGCCCAACCTTCGATGAGGATAGTTCGTTTCATGTGGAGCAGCCAGTTGGCTCCATGTCCATATCCCCCTGTGGACGTGATGTAGTTCTGGCATCCAAGGAAGGTCTGCATGTTATCGATCTGGACTCGCCCTATTCACCACCGCGGTATCTTCCTCATCACACACCATGGGAAGTCGCTGATGTGCAATGGTCACCCTTCGCCTCCCGCGACTACTGGGTGGTGAGCACCTCAAATCAAAAGGCCCTGGTCTGGAATCTGGCGACGAAGACCTGGCATAACTCCATCGAGTATGTCTTACACGCTCACTCACGCGCCATTACCGACATCAATTGGTCAGCCTTCCATCCCGACGTCTTGGCTACTTGCGCAGTTGACAGCTTTGTTCATTGCTGGGATCTTCGTACACCTTCGCGGCCTGTTATCTCATTTTCAGACTGGTTTACCGGTGCTACTCAGGTTAAATGGAATCGACAGGACCCACATGTGATTGCAAGCTCTCATGATCGCTACCTTCGCATTTGGGATGACCGAATGGGCGCATATCCGATCAAATCGATCGAAGCCCACGATACCAAGATTTATGGAGTGGACTGGAATCGTGTGAGACGAGGCGCTCTGGCGACGTGCTCATTGGACAAGACCATCAAATTTTGGGACTACACCACTGATACGGACGTTCCAGAGAAATTGATTCGAACGCCGTTCCCAGTATGGCGGGCTCGCAATACACCATTTGGATGGGGAGTATTAGCTATGCCTCAAAGAGGCAATAGCGATCTCCATCTCTATAGTCGAAGGGCGGGCGAGGGGAGCAACCCGGAGGATGACTTGCCTCTGGTTCATAGTTTTCCAGGCCATAAGGGCCAGGTGAAGGAGTTTCTCTGGCGTCCGCGCGGAGGCGTTGTGGACGGCGTCGACAACCGCGAATTCCAGCTCGTCACATGGGGGACTGACCGCGAGCTGCGTCTTCACAGGGTGGATCCCGAAATCCTGTCGAGAGTCGGATATGAGAAGGGAAAGTCATTCATATCGACGCGTCATGTCACGCGTTTAGGTGCGGTTTATCGAAGCTTTAGGGACGTCAACTCGGATCTGGATGTTGAGGATGCTGATTGTGCTTCTTCAGTGAGTCCAAATCATACGAGTACCCCGTATCCGGGTAGTCCCGGTATGAATGCTATCTCAATATCACAAGCCGGGCCGTGGTCGCGGAATCAGGTAGACACTCGCATGGGGATGCAGCCGCGATCAAATTTGCGCGCCGACACTAATCCAATTGCGTGGATGCGCGGGGTGAAAATTTCCGGCTGGGACGTGGAGACATTGGGAGATGAGATCAGCCACGTGGGAGAGAAATTCACTAAAGTCGTCTTTGAGTCAGTTGATGTGCGGCAAAGAAAGATTTCCATCTCGCTCAATGGTCCCTGGGGCCTTGATAATTCATCCTTGTTTCTTAAGGTTGATATCAAGTTTCCCGTCAGCTATCCCAAGACAGCGATTCCCACTTTCAACTTTCAAAAGACGGCAGCTGTAACTGATGAGCTGGCTCAGAAACTAAAAGCGGATTTGAGGACTATAGCCGAAACGTTCATGTCCAAGAAACGGGGCTGCTTGGAAGGCGCGGTGAGATTTCTCTTAGGAGAGAGCAGTCTTGAAGATAGCATCGCATGGATCCTGGAAGAAACAGGAGAGAATGTGAAGTCTCCGGTCAGCGGTGATCTCGAGGGAGAATCTAGCGACGAAGATGAAGTGGGCATGACACAAAGTCAAGAGCTAGGGATGAGTTCAGACATGCTTCGACCCGTGAATGCAAATGTGATGGTACCGGTGGCCAAGGCATGCGGTGCATTGTGGGCGCATGACGGCCGCCTCGTGTGCTTCTTCCCTCCTAAGAAGAACAAATCGACTGAGCTCTTTGATAGCATTGGCTTCAAGGAGATGAGTCGTTTGTCCAGATCGGACAAAGTCTTTGAAGGATTTGGCAGGTTGCAGACGAGCTCTCCTGGACCACGCGCAACCGGCACCATTGCAAGTACCGACGATGGGGTTTCTGACTACTCCGATGATTCGTGCTCTGAGACTTCGAGCTCCTCGGGATCATCCGACATCATCTCGGGCCTGCCAACGCGTTTCCAAGCATCTCAAACTTGGCGCAGTGCAGGGAGCACAGGTCTTTATCGACCAAGATCGACCGATAACTCCCAGCGATCTATCGGTGCAGCCGCAGCAAGTAAAGTATCCGAAATATCTCGCAATGTGATCTCGATCCACGATCTCAATGATCTTTTGCCCGTCAAACGGGAGCTGGCTAGCACGTACCAGGTTTGCGGCCGAGGAACAGACGTTTGTGCTCATAATGCTGCGGTTGCCTTGGATGCCGGGTGCTTCGAGCTGGCCCAGATCTGGGGCCTTGTCAGACTTGTATTGCAGGCCCAACAGAAAGCATTGGCGACACGGGAGACGCGAGTTGGGGCGAACCAGTTGGCAAAAAGCGTTGAATCAAGCGGGCCTTACAAAGACGTCGCAGGTAGTATCATTCGATGGGGCAACCATCCCATGGGAAGCCATTGGCTGATACCCGCCTTGTTTGACCACTTTGAACGGATCGGAGACATTCAAATGGTGGCTATGCTTTCTTGCGTACTCCTGGGAGCAAGCCGCGAAGCTCGAGTTGAGAAACCACCAAATTCTGGGTCTGAGGAGCAAGCAGCGTTCTCTATGGAAATATCCTCGGATGCCTCCACTGTGCAAAACAACAACACCAACAATAACAAGTCTCAGGCTGCTACACCAGCCTCTTCCTTCCCTCAAGAAGCTCAAAATCTACAACATCTTGCCCCTCCAACATCGACGCGCTCTTCGAGTGAGACTTGGCGGTTGGAGCCCACTCCGCCATTTTCAACAGGCACCACCCCGCCGATGATATCGCGCCCACGGGGTATCGCAAATGATCGCAAGGCGCTCAGTCACAACGTTTCCATTGCAGCGTCACCGGAGCAGCAATCTCAGCCACGGAGTGGATCTGGCTTTGGGTCTGCACTTGCTTCATCACTGTCGCGTTCATTTACATTTGGGCCGTCTTCGGCTTCTCCGCCTCCCAACACTTCGAACAAGAAGAAATCAAGCACGAGACCGAGTTCCGGTGTAACTACTGTTCCTGTGGTATGTATAGACTCTAATGCAATTTTTGTTCTTCTTCTCTTTGTTCCCGTACAGCCTGCTTGGTCCGCTTTTGGTCTCTAATTTTGTATCAGGCTCCCTCTGACACCGAAAGTGAATGTCAACCTCCACGAAGAAAGGTTGGCGCGCGCTTCAAGGTCACCTTGAGGAACCAAAATGCGTTTGACAGCGATCACTTCGGCTCTGGTTCCTTGCTTGATCATGAAAAACATGGTTTATACCATTCCTACCGTGCTGCCTACGCTGAGTTGTTGTCAAGGTGGGGGATGTCCCTGCAACGGAGCGAAATTCTGAAGATTGGGACAATTTTCATGGCATTGGACGATAAGACCAGTCGTGATGAAAGGTCTAGGGCGTCAGATATCAATTCACCTCTACCGGAGGTGACGCCGACGGAGCAGTCGCCGGCATTGCTCGAAGGATTGGATCTTCAACGCCACTGTACCAATTGCGGGCATGCCCAACGGGCCTCAATTTTGACACCCTCCACAGTGCCCGAGACTCCCGGCAAGCGATCTCGTCGCGCAAAGAAGACGGCAGTCAAGTGCTCCAAGTGTCAGCCTCGCCAGCCGCTTCCTACACGAACGTCTTGCATCATCTGCGGCGAACTGCCTGATACGATGTTAGTGCCTTGCTTGGGCTGTGGTCATGTCAGCTGTTTTCCTTGTCATCGTCGCTGGTTCTCCGGCGCAGACAAGCTCAATGGTCCCTCGGTGCAATCACATCAAAGCTCTCTTGCTCTTTCAACCTGCCCCCGCGGCTGTGGTTGCAAATGTTCCGACTTTGTCATGGTTCAAGCACCTATGCCTGCATCAGAATCCTCTACTCAAGCCCCGGTCCACCTCGATAACGCAGACATTGATACGCCTCAGCGTCGTGTAGTGGCACGTGAGAAAGCGCATCGACGTCGTCGATCGGAGCCTTTTTCTAGTCGAGAGTCAAGTGGTCGCAATTCGCCCGTCTCCAAGGCGCCTGTCAACCAGGCGCAGGTCGACCTGGACGCATGGCAGGCATCCTCACCATTTGCTTCTCTGGCCCGAGGCATGGGCGGTGGATTGAGCCAAGGCCTGCGATCCAAGGACGAGCGGAAGAGAAATCGGTCGGTTGCAATTGCCGCGACCAGGGGTCGCGGGAAATGACTATAGTGGAAGCTTAATTCCAATGGAGTCGGCTAGGCACCTCTTCACCGCAGCCTTCTGTCGATGATATATGTGTGTGATTATTCACGATGACTTTTGTACAACTTAATGATATCCCATGGACCGGTCTTCTCTTGTTTCGGTCTTTCTATCATCATTACGGCACATTCTGTTGCTTCCACTTTACACCACACCTCGTGATGATCGACGAGGTGCTATGGCGTCTGCAATTTTGACTCCAGTAGAACCGGTCGTTCTCAGTAGAAGACACTAGCAGTTGCCTTCTTCCAAGGAGACTTCTTCCGCTAGCACTACTACCTCATCGGTTCATTGCCCTCATCGGTTCACCCAATGTTTGAATAATGTCATTGAAGGTTGTGACGTATAGACATCAATTTCCCATTCCCCCACCAGCCGAACACCGGTCAGGTACTGTACATCTCCCACCGTATTCAAGTACGCAGTCAAAGAAGTACCGTTCATTTAGGATGTCCACCATCGGAATCCGGGCAAACAGGGTCCGTCCGGGTCGGGTCGGGTCGGTTGGCGCTCAGCCGGAGAAGAAGTAGACACCCTGTAGTTCCGAGTTTGTTTTGTTGTTGTACTGCTGAGTGCTAACTCGCTGAGTCCAGACTACTAACAGTGACTAAGTACTGACCTTAGCGCGCTGCGGACTGGGCTTTGACCCCCTCATTTGAGTTTTGTTAGCACGGCCGAGGGGGTTCCAGCGAGATGATAAGCACAGGGCTATCGCCAATCAGTGGGGGCTGGGACCTTGCAGTGCGGCCCTGGCTTAGATATCCGTACTTTGACTTTGTATGATTTTCAGGATATCGTGGAAGTGACGTACATAGCGGAACGTAGTGTATAGTATATACTATATACCACAAAATCAGAGCTTGGGTTAAGGAGAGGATACTTGTTAAGGGAGTATCAGTGAAGACGAATGAGCACTAGCTGGAAAAGATCACAAGGATTTCGGTATCGTCATAGCTTCGTTATGATGTATGTAGTCTAAGGTGATCATGTGAGAAGCAGCTGATACACAAGCAGTCTCACAATGATCGAATGCGCCCCATCTAGAAAGATTCTATGCCGATGACTCTATGCATGCGCAAAAGGGTGGAAAGATCAAAAGTCGTGCGTGGTCCGCGGAGCAAGAATACGAAATCGTCCCGTGTCCGCCACGCTTACAGCTGCTTGTAGACGTGGTCGGCAGAGGTGACCTCGAGGACATTCTTGGCGGCCTCCTTGGCGGCATAGGTGACCTTGCCGTGATCGATAACGATGGCATAACGGTAGGTGCGGCCCTCGGCGTCAGCCCAGCCGATGCTCTTGGAGAACTTGGCCTCGGGGTCGGAGAGGAACAGCTGGAGAAGGGGAGAATAGGAGTCAGCAATTGTTTTGAAAGCTGGACCGTAGGGATGACCCTGTCGAGAAAATCGGGGAAAAAAAGACTGGACTGGGGGAATCACGTACAATGTCATCGCCAGTGACACCGTTGGCCTTGCCCCAGGCGCTCATGACGTAGGCATCGTTGTAAGCGAGGACGGCAACAACATCGACACCCTTGGCACGAAGCTCGGGGAGCTTCTGGATGTACTCGGGGACGTGGTTGGCAGAGCAGACGGGGGTGAAGGCGCCTGAATCGGGGAATAGTTAGCAAGATGATCGTTGTCAGGAACTCTAGAGCTCGTGCAGACAGGAGCGAAGCGAGGAGACGAGGAGATGAGGAGACAGGGAAGGCGACATACCGGGCAGAGCGAAGAGAATGACCTTCTTGTCAGCCCATTCCTTGGAGGCGTAGTAGTTGATGGGGATACCGCAGGAGGTGATCTGGCTGGACTCCTCAGACCAGGGGATGTAGCTATTTGAGGGACGAAGGGTCAGTGACTTGTGGACGCGGAAACAACTACAACGTTTTTTTTTTTGGCTGTCTTGAATCGGCACGAGTGGGGGGCGGGGAGTCGGCGATGAATATAGAGTAGAGGGGCCATGCGGTGGGAATGAGGACAGGGCCACTTACGAGAAGGTCACGTCCTGGGGGAAGCTGTCACCGGCCTTGAGAGACATGTTGAGGGAATTGGTGGAATGTGGGAAGGAGAGGTGGAAGAGTGAAGGAAGTAAGATCGACACGGGGAAAGTCTTGATAGTCCGAGGGGCAGAGGGTTGGCCTTTAATATGGAGGACGAGCGGCGAGAGAAAGCATCGGTCCCTCGGAACGGGGCCTCGATATGACGAATTACGGTGGGCACGGTGGGCCCTGACACACCGAGCAGGATGGCCCTGGACCAAATCACAACACGCAGACGCGCGGGTTCCGCTCCATCTGATGATTCGAAGCAGAAAGATACCGAACCGCGTGGATTAGCAAGATCGCCCGGCGAGAACGTTGACCGCCGCCTCGCTGACTGATGTCGACCGATCAAGACCTCGACCTCCGCGGACCACCGTAGTCAGCCTCTGAGCCTGCTACGAAGCAGAGTCATGTTTGGAACCAACTGAGGTCGACTTGTTGGCTACCTGTGGAGTGGTGATCAGCGCTCGATAGTCACTCTTGGACGTGATGGTCTTGCCTCTACTGGGTTCACAAATTGAGCATCCTCTTTTATGAGTATAGAATCATAGATCTCCTACCGTTCCATACCACGGATCATCGTTACAACAGTCCGCTCTTTGCAGCACCTCCTTGTCCGACAATTGCATGGCCACTCAACTCCACACTGAAAGTCCAGTCATTGCTACATCGATACTTAGGGGAATCGAAGGTACAGCATCAGCTCCCATGTAAAACAAAGGTTGAGTACTCGCATTTCTCTCACTCAGTAGTGGATAAGGCGTGCATTCCTCAAGCACATTATTTTTGATGCCGCTGAGATCAGGCCGCAGTACATTATTGTGGCCTGCAATCTCAGGCTCCCGTGCAGGTGCCAAGACGGGTAGGCCCGGCAATGGGATTGTTTGTCTGGACTCTCAGTCCAACAACGAAGGTAATCAGCATTCAGCGCACTTGGACGCATTCTCTCTCTCTTGATCCAGCCCTGTCCAAAGGTTCTTTCCCATGCGGTACATGTAGAGTCAAAATGAATATACTTGGAGTTCAATACATTTGTCTCAGCTTTGTCAGGTCTAGCAAGTTTTATTCCAGTGATTTCAACCCTTGTTGTCCTTCTCTTCGAGATTTCCAGGAGAAGGACAACATATACTGCAGTGGAGGCAGGCAATACTATATCCGCATCGTCGGAGATGCTTCGAGCGAGAAGCAGGTAGGTACCTGCACCATTTCTGGGTTCGAGAGTCTGACAGACCACGTGCATTTCTTTGTCCCTTTGTCATTTGTGCTCTGATATGATAGGACTGAAGAAACCTATGAACAAAGCGACCTTGTTCTGATAGCGATAGACAGGATGCATGGTGGAGGCAGTACCTCATCACCGGCTCGAGCAGTGAACCTATTCTCTAGTACAAAGGGGCTGCCCCAATTATTGTAAGATTCGTGAAAGCGCAAGGTTATATTAGACCAGGTAGTGATTCGCTAGAGAGTGGAAATCAAGAATCAATTGCTTTCCAAATATCATCTATTTGCATCAAAGTAACGACTACCTTAACGTCATCTCTCTGTTACACTTCATCGCAGAGTCTCCTTCCGAGCGCCGCGACACCTCACTTCCACCCGAGCGGGATGTGTACCCTCAAGATTGCCGATCACTCCAGCCCGTTCGGCTGCGGTCACCTCTTCATCACCGGCATCCAGTCAAGTGATCGTGCCTTGACACGACCCGACCAACGTCCCTGTGTCAGTGTCACAGAGACACGTTTTGAGCCTCATTCAAGGACGTGGGACAGGTACAAGACGTACTTTGGTCGGACCAAGGCTCCTAAAATGGCGGGGCCTTGTGAGGCCTGCATCAGAGATGGCTGGCCAAACTTCTTTTGACCCCGTTCTATGAGCCATGAACGAATCTTGCGTTGCGAAGGTACATGAAATCAGGACGCATCAAGTCCAGGTCAAGATCGCTAATCGAATCAAACAGGATAATATCCTGCCATAGCAACGACCCTTAACACTTAACGATTCAAGACTAATGATCCAACACTGAGTACGACTCTGGCATGCACAGGCGACAAGTTTACACGAGGGTATTGAACGAGATTGATGATCGATACTCGAGAACATCGCGGCCAAATAAATGAGACCTTTGCGCGACTCATCCTGAGTTGCCTGGAACAGACAAAAACAAGGAGTTAAGAAAAGAAACTATTCACGTGATTACGGCCACTTCGTGTCAAAGGTACAGCCCTCTCATTACTTCTTTAGAAAGTCTCATAATCCAGCCAATTTGGCAACCCAACTTCTCAAAGGGGCTGCTGGTGTCATGCAGCGGCGCACACCGTATCATTTCGAGGGACCGGCACGGACTCACTCCAACAGTGGACTAGTGGAGTATTGCAGGTGTCTTTGGAGATCGATGAGACGCAAGGGACAACATTCTCGATGATCGACACTTTTCTTCCTGCTTAGCACATGGCTTGTGAAGGATAGGGGGATAATCCAGAATCGAGCGAGTCCTGGAAAAGTCTTGTCTCGCACAGGAGACAGGCCTTGGTGGGCCGGGTATCTCGAGGACATTCATGATTCAACATAGTAACATGTTGTGTGAGCATCCACTACTACAGACAGGACCGAAGCAGTGAGTTGTTGGCCAAGCTTACTTGTGGCATCCTATCACGGTCGCATCTTCCACCAGCACCATTTGAAAGATCTTGCTGATGCGATATCCATTTCAATCTGAATCTCAATTGTACCGTCCAGCGATTCGATACGTGAAGGAGTGGGGATGCCGATTCGGTCCTGAGCACCGGGTGCATATTGCGTCTCGTGCCAATATGTTGAGCAGAGAAGGTGAAACTGGAATATTTCCATTGCTCGTCAATTGAAATTATGGATTAGATTTCGCGTGTGATCAGCCGTTTGTATCTGCTCCTCCGGAATATCTCCCGTGGCTGTCAGCCATCACAAGATATGTTGCTCTACGTGGGGTGTCTTTTCATGTAGGTATCAAAGTGATAGGTATCTCAAACCTCGGGGATTTGAAGGTTTCTAGTTCACTCAGAATCTAGGGACATATGAAAATTTGTATTTACTAGCCCCAATCAATATTAAACTCCATCCTCAGGCTGTAATTGATGTACATGATTTGGATGTGATCTGTTCGTTATCCAGCTTTGCAATGTGGATGGAATTGCCTTCTCGAAATGTCTTTGATGTTCAATTGACTAGTATCGGGATTGCTGAAAGCACGCAGGAACACGACACAACAAAATCAGAGAGATCAACTGCCCTGAGAGGCTCATCTAGATTGAAGTATGATGGGGATTCCAGGGAGACGGAATGTCGATGGTAATGCGGGTTGTGACCCCTTGGGAGTAACAACAGAAGGTTGTTGCTATTCTAGTCGCATGAAGTGAAATCTCCTAGATGGCGTTGGAATGTCGCCAACCAGTATTTTTTTTCTTCGCTCGTCTTCAACGTTCAGATTTACGAACAACTTGGGAGATGCGATATCCGCTTCATTATGACTGAAATATTGCGGGCCTTCAAACTCAAAGTCAAAGGACCTGAATGACCAGTCAATGCACGGGGAGCGATAAAAGGTGTGAGATGTGGACCGAGGCTGTCAATCCTAGCGGCTTTGCTGGGATTCATCATTGAGGGTCTTTTAGCACGTTGATGATCAAGTAGTCTGTTACTCTTCCTTCTCAACAAACACTCAGACCGAAAATCTTCGATCTGACATCATGGTACTCCCATAGGAGATGACTTCTCAATTTCAATAATGGAAGAGAAATTTAAGGGGGGTGGGAGAGTCCTTGTTACGAGGAGTGGCAGGAGGTACGTCCGGCACTTTTTAGACTTGACGGGTCGCACATTCCAATCTCCATCAAGATATCCAAGAATTCACTTGATATTTTACTCTTTCGAGTCCTCATTCCACAAACAACCGTGCGGCGGTATGTCGCTACTACCCTTGGGCTTTTGTCTACATCTTCTCTGGGGTTCTCTCTATTGCAAGGTCGCTGCGCGGGATTCACGACATCCTCACCATCACGTCGACTAGATTCGTTCAGAGGAGGCCCGACACGCCTCACGAACTGCCTTTCTTTTTTGGTTGACTCGGTCTGGATTCTGCTGAAATTATTGGGCTTATTCACTCCTTCCAAGCCTCTGATTTCTCTCTTGTTTTTCTCTGGTGCGTCGGAGTCATTTGTGCAAGGAAAGTTGGTGCAGTCATTCATTGTATCCTCTCCAACACCAGTAGTTTCTTTCGTTGCACCGGCGTGGGAAACTTGGGGTCTGTCTACCTTGCCACGAACCACCGGTGTAATCTAATCTGTGGGGGGACACACGACACCCATAATCACCATTTCAAACACCTTTTCACCAAAACGTCACGACACCTCCCCATCGCTCGAGGAATCCAACAAAAGTGGCTACGAAAGCCATGACCGACTACGCGGATTCTACCCGCAGGCGGCAGCCGCTCAGCGATGCATCCAGCAGGGCCAACTACAACAGAGGAGATCATCCGGATGCCTCGCGTGCTCAGATGGCAGATGGGTACCACTCCAAGGGACGTGAAAGTACGCCTGGTCCAGGAGTGTCAACACCCCGATCCAACAAGGAAGCACGGCATCAATCTAATGCTCCAGACTTTCCCTCCGAATCTGGTCGGAACTCGGTCATCTCAGCTGCCTCGATCATGTCAGGCAAAGGCAAGCGCAAAACACATGTTGGACCCTGGCAACTGGGACGGACACTCGGTAAAGGAGCAACGGGACGAGTGAGACTCGCAAAGCATGCCACAACCGGACAGACTGCCGCAATCAAAATTGTCTCGAAGAAATCGGCAGCGATGGTACAAAGCGAGAGCATCGCAGCCATGGACCGCAACGTGAACAACTTCCCGGCAACCGCAAACGCGCGACAGATCCCAAGCGGGATTGAGCGCGAAGTCGTCATCATGAAGTTGATCGAACACCCAAATGTGATCAGTCTGTATGATGTATGGGAGAATCGAGGAGAGCTGTAAGTGTCTCACCATGAATCGGTGAAGCTTCAAGCTGCTTACCATCATCAGGTACCTTGTCTTGGAACACGTAGAAGGGGGAGAGCTTTTCGACTATGTCTCCAACAACGGACCCTTACCAGAAGAAGAAGCTGTGCGGCTCTTCCGTCAAATCATCGCTGGACTGGGGTACTGCCACCGGTTCAACATCTGCCATCGAGACCTCAAGCCGGAGAACATCCTGCTTGACGCCAACCACAATGTCAAACTTGCCGATTTTGGTATGGCTGCACTGCAACCGGCCGGACACTGGCTGAATACCTCTTGCGGCAGCCCTCATTATGCAGCCCCGGAGATTATCTATGGACGAAAGTATCGAGGCGACAGAGCTGACTTGTGGAGCTGTGGTATCATTTTGTATGCCTTGCTGACAGGATATTTGCCCTTTGACGGCGGTGATCTCGCCAATACCCTGCGCCTGGTGAAGAAGGGCGACTACATGATCCCACCCGAACTCAGCGACGAGGCAGCAGATTTGATCCAGAGAATTCTGCAGAAGAGACCTGAAGATCGCATCACAATGCAGGATATCTGGCGCCATCCGCTCCTCACCAAGTACGAGCAGCTACACAACGCAATGGCGAACCATTACATTGGACCACCTCCACCTCTCTCTGTCAACGATTGTGGAAGTCCGGTGACTTGTCGTCAGGATATCGACCTGGACATTCTCCGCAACCTGCAGACTCTGTGGCACGGCGTCAAGCCTGATGATCTGGTTCAGAGACTAATGTCACCCGAGTAAGACTCTTTCGGAATCATCGTAGTTCATGATCCCCTCAAGCTAACGGCTCGATTAGACCAACTCACGAAAGAATGTTCTACAATGCTTTGGTTAAATTCCGAGACGAGCAGCTTGAGAATTACCAGGGCCAGCCATTGGAGTATTCCGCGAGCGACTACCACCATATCTCTCGTTCAGGGGAGCACGTTCGACGCGGACGAAGCATGTCAAAGAGACAGTCTCAAATGATCGCTGCCAAGGATCTTAATCGTCGATTGAGTGCGACCATGACACCTCAATCGAGCGCGAGCATCGAAAGTTACGACCCGTATCGCTCTCCTAAAGTCAGCAAGACTACAGAAGACGTGCACTGTGCCCAAATCACCATTCACCGACCCTCCGTTCCTTCGGAGCTGAGGGAAAGTAGTCAACTTGTGAAGCCTCCACCTTCGATCGTCGAGGAGAAAGAGCCAGAGGAAATGCACGAGATGACCAACTCGCCTTTCACCGTTCTTCAGAAGCGCAAGCACAAACCTAGTTCAATGCGGTCACTTCAGTCATCCAGAGTCCCTCACTCCAGCTCGCGACATCCAGGATTCTCCACCCGATCCACAAGCTATCGACGAAATGTCTCTTTCCAGCATGTACGAAACAAATCTCAGGGGTCGATAAAACCCAAGCGCCGTCGTACCAGCCAGACACGCCAGTCAGACATCAAGCGATCTCCCAGTGTGGCCAGCCTGCAGTTGCTGGCTGAGGTGGGTGACATGCCGAGCAGCCCGCCACTTCCCGCTCAGCCAACTGTTGTTCGACCTAGTGGCCTCAATCTGAAGACCCAAGTACTTGCAAAGAAAGGTCAACAGCCGGACATCTTCTGGACTGAAGATGCTCGAAAAGTGTCCAATGAGCTCAGCAAGATCTGCGAAGAAGCTTTCAATGGCAGCTCGCTCACTACCATCAGAGTCTCGAGCTCCGTAACTGGCTATGAAACCCCAGCAACTCCAATGTCGATGTCCAGCCCGGTACAGCCCTCATCGACTGCTGCCAAAAATGCCTCGCAGCAGTGGCAGAAAGCCAACGTCGACCCTGGCCAATCCTTCAGCATCCAAGAGCTGACTGAAACACGTCGAAAGCTTATTGAACATAGCAAAGACGGCGGTGACAACATTCCAGCATATTTGTCTGGAGTGATCGGACATCTGGATCGCTTGATTGAAGCCGACCAAGGTCCACGTCACAGTGGCCGTACCCTTGAGGAAAGTACATCCACTCTAGTTGACGGCTACAGCGGTGGAACAGAGGAGACATCTTTGCCAGTCATCAATGAAGAGTTTGCAAGCCCCGTTCGTGCTCCTACCGAGTACTACAGTCCCATGCCCAGGTTGCAGAAGAAGCCGAAGTCCGAAGCCCTCGGCCATGCTAACAATTGCAAGAACACCATCCGCATGGTGCCCCAGAGCTCTATGCCTTCGCTCGAAGAAGTGAAACCTCTGATGATACGAAAGAAAGTCCAAATCAATGATTCGGAGTCGATCATCAGTGATTCTGCAGAATCTGGCCGGAACTTCTCCCAAACATCTCGAACTGGTCGAAACGTGGGCGGGTTGGATACGATTCAAGAGGACCCTATCTCACCAAAACGAAGACCGACTGACGGAAAAAAATGGTCCTGGTTCAAGCATCGCCCTCAGGTGAGCGATAATGTACCATTCGTCCCTGTCAACCCCCCACGCCTGTTACTGTGGACGGAGACACAACTGTCCACCCTCCACAGAATCTCGTCAGCCCAAAGATTCCCTCGCACGCTTCGTCCACCGAGGACTACCGAGAGCCCTCACGCAAGTCATCCAATGAGCGTTTTGGCTTTTTCAAGAAGCTCATGCATAAGAAATCAAATAAAGCCTTGGCCCAGCCTGATACGGGTATGTTGAGCTGCTTCCCCATCCGGCCTGCTGCGCTGACATCCCATGCAGAGAGCGCGAAGCTCAAACCCAAGGATGCTCGCAACTCAACCATGCTCTGCCACAATCTCCCCGATCAGGAGAGCTCGCTTGAGTCGGTCAATGCTCCTCACAACAAGCGTCACTCCGTGGCCAATCAGAACTGGTTTGCTCGTGTGTTCCAGATCAAGCCCGCATCCCGAGTGATCGCTCTCAATACATCCAAAGTTAAAGGACGAAAGGAGCTCTACAGAATGCTTCGGGAATGGGAGGACTACGGTATGGAAAACGTTTCTCTGGATAAGAACAATAGTGTTGTTCGTGGTCGAGTCGGCGCGGTGAACTGTGAGTCTCCAATCGTAAATCATAGCCAATTCGCTCAGCTAACACTTTGCAGTCCTTCGTCTTCGTGAAGTTGAATTCGTTGCCGAATTCTTCACCATCCGTGAGAACGATCAGCCCGCCAATCTGAGCCTGGTTAGATTCAAGCAAGAGCGCGGCGCAGCCTCTTCCTTCAACAAGGTTGTTGATACTGTAGAAATGATGATGAAAAGCCGAGGCTTGGTAGTTGAAGATCCAGTCAAGGCGAGGAAGATGGTTCTTGTCCTGGATGGACTTCCCGACTCGTCTTAGGTGGGAATCCCGCGACTTAATCACCACCACAATTTCGGGCATCTTCCGCAGCAGACCTTTCTCATCTGGCTTACTGCTGTATTTCCTCCAGCCTTGGTGATGTTTTCTGTTCTTTGAGCCATCGACTTTCAACCTCGAAAAGAAATGGTCCCCTCTCGATTACTCACTTCTCCAATCGTTCACTTGCCGCTGAGCCTCTCATTGCTGAACCCGTGGCGGTGTTCTCCTATCACATCGTGCAGGGCCCATCCTATCTCATGTACACTTGCATCATGTCTCTCCTGCGAATACGCCGTCAATGCCCTGTTTTCTTTTCTTGTTTCTAGCCATCTGTCGGTTCTTTGTCAGACTCTCTGTTCACCTATCTGTCCCCACTCGATAATGTTCCGTCTTGATCTTCTCTGCCCCTTAGCTTAGTAACCGCCTATGAATTCACACTCCATATCAATTAACCTGATCATTCTGTGGGAACTCACTCGTCGCGATCAATATTAATGTCCACTTTCGCTTTCCTCGTGCACCCATCTACCTTGCTAACTTGGACACTCTCTTGGCAGCAGGTGATCTGCTTTACACTCCGAGTACTCGTGACTTACCGTTAGCTCGGGTGGACCCTATTTCGGTCAATGATGGATTTCGGGATTTCGGGTTATCGTCGCCGAAGGCAAACCATCTTCGACGACTGGGACCTTTTCCCTTCCCATTTGATTGGAAAACCTCCGAGACACGGCATGTCGGTTGACAGGGTTTGAAGTTCTACACCTCACACCCCGCAATTGCTCCTCGCCTCGGAAATGTGGGGATTTGGGAATCGGTCTCGTCAACCGCCCGCAATCCCGAATTCAAACAGTCCTGTGAAAACACGATAAATAAGGGACCAAAATGGCGTTGGGGAGGGTTGACTCGATAATCAGCTCGTTTCAGCATGCGGATATCGGCGTACCTTGCCACCTGGCTTACTTTAGGCGCGTGCGCCTTGGGATCAAGCCAGAGCGACCTTCCATGGCCTGCGATCCCGAAGCCTCAGCAGTCGAAGAGCGCTCCAGAGCCTGTTAATGTGTATCCTGTTGCGGTAAAATTTGGAATAAGCAGTGATGCCGCTGATAATACGAACGCTTTGTCGCTGACATTCTCCAAGATCGGAGATACTTTTACTCGTGGGTCATCTCTTGCGTAGGTATTGATATGGATACGCCGCGGTAACATGGAGACATAGTTGACTATGGCATTGCGGTGGCCGGACAGCCACTCTTCCATGTTGAAACCGCCGAAGGAAATCCTCAGATTGAGGTGAAATACAGTGAAGCGTTTCCGTGAGTGATATGATGCCTTTGCCACTGTCATCAGTATCTAGGATAGGTTGAACAGATGTCACTGATAATTGACTACCAGAGGTCTTTTGAACCCGCAATCTGACGGACCATTCGCTTTTGCAAATGCTCTTGCCGCGACTTTCCGAGTCGAGACGTATGAGATCAAAGAGGCCGGTGACCTCACTGGGTACTTTATCCAGGGATCGCAGCGATGGCAGTCAATCAAGATGATCAGTGGCAAGAAGCTCGTCATCAAACAGGCTGGTTTTGTCTCTTCTGTAGATCAGAGTCCGGTAAATAACCCTCGTCTATCCCCGATACAAAGCCTCAGGAGGGATGACTGACCTGTTTTGTCTTCCGTCAAACAGCTGGATACGTTCCCTGGCTACTTTGCTTCTAGCAACTCTACGTACACCGATATCTGGGCCCTTGGACCTCGGACTCAACAAATGAGCTGCTACACGCCGGGATCTCAGCATTCGACATGGGACATCACATCCAAGGGCGCCTACATTCGGGGTCAAAAGCCGGCTAGTTCTACTCGTGCGATCAATTTGAAGAATTACACTCTTTCGTTTGAGACCATGATCGATCGCGGCGGTACAGGCTGGCGTCTTGATACTGAGATTGATGCTATTCAAGCGACGGGCCCAATTTGTGAGCTGTGCTTTCTAGACGAACGTGGACACCTTCTTACTTGATCTCAAAGACTAATTTCGATTCTGTTTGACCAGTCATACTCACTAGCGAATATCCCGCTGGTTCCTTTGCTAACATTGACCGCACACTTGTTCCTCCAAACACCTTGGTGCTCGGTCGTGGCTGGTCTCTGCAAAATCAAACCTCTCTGCCTGGATTCGTTCTGGACAAATTCCCTCTGAAGATGAACGTGACCGAGAAAGAATGGCACACTATCCTCACCGAGTCTCCTGGTGATGGTACCTATACAGTGTACTTGAATGATCAACAAATCGCCCACTTCAACATCGGCTCGTACGGACTCGGCGATCCCAACCCCTATAAGCCCGGTGGCGTGTACAAGGGCTTTGCTTTTGGCCCTTGGCAAGATCAAGCGGCCTGGGTGCGAAATGTGAATGTGACTTTGAAGACTGGGGTCAATGTCTACAGCAATCCCATGACCTCGCCCGACGTTCTTGTCGAGTACGGTGTACATGCAAACGACCAGTATACGTGCTCTGATGCAGGCAAGCGAGATCGCTACTCGTGGCTGGGTGACCGCATCGTCTCCTCCCAAGTGGTCATGGTGGGCACGAGCCAGGGTGAATTCGTCTGGGGTCCCGCCAATGAAGCCTTTTCGAGACAAATTGCCTCGGGCGAAGTGCCGTGTAACACTCTCTTCAGCCCTCTAGATGCAGAGGGTAGTGTGATTCGAACCACGAACGTGGATCCATTGCTTGTGGACTACAACTTCGACTTCATGCAGATCATCTATGACTACTGGCTTCGATCTGGAAATGATACCTTCTTGGAGCGCGTCTGGCCTCGTATGGTCATGTCCACCAGCTGGGCCATGTCTCGAGCATTGGACGAGGAAACACAGCTGTACGGTGCACCACAGGGCAAACGGGGCATTCCAATATCTGGCGAAAAGGGCCAAGCACTCGGTCCAGCTGAGACAGTCTCCATGATTCTCGCGCTGGAAAGAATGGCTGAGATGGCAAACCATCTCGGTGACCATGCTGCGGCCGATTTCTACAAGGTGCAGGCGAAGCTTTCCCGAACAGCCATCGATACCTTGCTGTGGAACGCAACGGCCGGGTATTATGCCTCAACTATTGGCGCTACGGGCTACGACATGATTGATATTGCGCAGGTTCTCCTCGCTAATATCGGCAGTAAGCAACGCCAGGCGCAGTTCACAGACAAGCTGTCGACTTTGCGAGTCCCAGCCGGTTACATCAATGGTACACGATACATGGACACTCCCGGCATTGTCAACCCCTACTATGAAAGCTTCTTGCTCCAGGGACTTGCCGTGACGAAGCGTACACAGCTGGCTCAAGACCTCTTGGATGCAACGTGGGGACCCATGGTCGAATGTGACCGAAATTATACTGGAGGATACTGGGAGTACATTGTAAGTGGAGAGACAGACCCTCGACACCTGTTTCATTTATCCTTCTATCCAATTGGAGCTGCATATCTCTGTACCTCGTCGTCGCACATTACCCAAAGAAGCTCCATCTCGCAGAACGCTAATTCAAATTCCTTTCCCCCCACTCTAGAGCACCGATGGAAGGTACCCAGGTCTTGACCTGTTCACAGGACAAACCCATTTCTGGGGAAGTTATCCCACCGTCTTCCTCAGCGAGTACACGCTTGGTGTCAGACCTACGCGGCCAGGTTATGAGCAGTTCATCTTTGCACCTCTGCCGGGCTTCAAGACAGAATGGGTTCACGGCCGTGTGCCCACGCCTGCAGGATTGATATACGCCGCTTGGGGATATAACCGACAAGGCAAGATTGTCATGGAAATCACGGCGCCCAAGAACCTCCACGGAACCATCGTGCCCCCATTTGCCGGGCAGTACACGGTAGGCAAGGAACGAGGACGCTCGGGCAACTACACGTTCACGGGCGGTGAAAAGTTGATATTGCGGGAGGATTAGTGGTTGTCACCTCATTTCTGAAAAGAGGGCTGTATGTAGTACGTAGTACATACTACATTGTGAATTGTATATCCTGACGCTCGTTGCTGGGCAAAACCCCACAGCTTACCTCTAGGGCATATCACTAATTCCCGACGATATCAATAGCACCACAGTCAGGTAGCTCGATGGCCGAAAAACTCAAGGGAATTGCCATCCTGGGTCATCTTTTTGCAACCTTATTTTTTCCATAGATTTGCTCAAGCCGCACGAGAACATCAATTTTGCTTTTATGAGCTCCGGTGGTCGAATTAGCGCCGAGTCCGCTAGACATATACGAAAGGGAACAATGTCGCAGGTTCATCACGAACATGAGCCTGAGCGAGGTAAGGCATAACAGACAGCCGGGGGCTCTTTCCGAGTCTTGATATCACGTGAGCATGACAACTACACTGCATCGAACAGGCTACGTATTGACGCCAAACGGCAAGGTCGGTTGAAAAGTATATGAAACTGTGGAAATTGTAAACTCGAGTAATAATTGATCAGACAGCCTCCCAAAAAGACAAGAATAACTCGCAAAATCTCAAAAAGCCAACTAGGAAGTGTGTGCTGGGCAAAACGTCCGGTGTGCAAAAGATTCAAGCATAAAAGCATAGAGTGCAGAGCCGCCAACCAGAATTTTATGCCGTGAATAGATAACGTGTCCTCCCCGATAGATAATAAAAAAAACCGACAATATCCAGGGTGCCTCCCTGACCCTGAGACTAACCGAATCCGAGAGTCGTATTCGCAAGAAAAATCCATGTCAGGCGAACAAATCGTGCCAAGAACGAGCAAAAAACCCTCCCGAAATAAAAGTGAATAAGAGCAGCGACTGATACCCTACCCGCATATTAAAATCAAAGTTCGTTTGATAATCTTGCCGAGATCACGATCTGAGATGCCCTGAAGCCTCCCGGCGCCACCCCTCAACATCAGAACCGACGTCCAACGCGAAGAAAATTCGAGAAAGAAACAGACAACAAAGTGTCTGACCCCGGAAGATAGGGATAGTCGTTCATCGATATGCGAAATGCTCGATAGTATCAGAATCCTAGAGCTGGACCAGCCGTAAGATCAGGAAAAGTGGCAGGTGATCGCATGAATCGCAGTCGAGCTGGTTGTTAAGGCACACAACAAACGAGAGAGAATGGCGATTGAATTTTCCGTAAACCCAGAATAATCAAGGGCCGTCTAGGCCTGAAGTGTTGGATGGCGTTTGGGCCATGTAGGTGGATAGTAGCCGTCAATCATGTCGCATCTCCCGTCTGACCGGGCGAAGAAGGAAACGCCCTGTATACGCCAATACTAAAGTGAAAGTGGCATCCCGCATGCTTCAAAAAAGGTGCCGGTCTAAAGATGTCGGTAGGTTGCTCGAATGTCCAAGAACCCCAAATCGAGCTCTTATGCCCCAACTCCAAAGCCGGTATTCGCTGCTGGCCTGGGAGTGAGACATGGGGAGTCATCAGGTCGTTCGTGGTGGCCAGCACCTGGAGCTTGCGCAATGACCCCCAATATCTCACATCCCAAGGTCTCTTTTCCGCAACAAACCCCAGGCGATGATGAATTTGAAGAGCGTTCTCAAGATCGACTACCGAGGGCCGCGGCGGTTCAGCTGGTTCAACATGTCGCTGTCCGTGCTGGAGCGACCTTGCGAATCGTCCGCTCCGTGATTTAAAATGTCGCGCACGTTGAGTCCGCCTCGCTGCGAGCCCCCGGGAGTCGAGGTCGGAGGCGGGGTCTGTCCCGGTGGAGGAGCGGTAATCGGCGCGTAAGGCGAATGAGGCGATGTTGAGTGACGAGGCTGCTCATAGGCGTAGGTGGCCTGAGGGGATGTGCGCGGGTCGTGGGGAAGAGCGTAGTAGGGGCTAGGAGCCGTGTGTGTCTGGTAGCCGGGGGTAGAGCTGGCGGGAGTCACCGGAGCCAGATTGGCTGGCTCGGGGTAATCAAATCCAGTCCCAGATCCACGTCGTTGTCTCTGTTGTGTTCACAATGGGCGCCGGTTAGCATCAATCTAAGATCGCTGTCCCGCAGCTCAAGAATAGGCTAGTCTTACCGGATCGGCCATGGGCTGCGCAAGGGGCACCTGGGCACCCTCCGCTGGCCGGCCATAATGCGCAGCGTACATCCCTTGTGGTGGTGGCAGTGTCGTTTCGGGGGCTTGAACAGCTGTGTTGGGAGGCAATGGCTGGCCATGTGCGCCATAGAGGATGGTACCAGGGGGAGGCTGGCCGTTCACGTTGCTGCCGGGACGCATGTGAGGGTACGCAGCGTGCGCCGGGACGAAGGCCTGCGCTTGGGACGACACGGGCGTGAACATGCAGTCCTGGTTGAACCGCTGACAGTTCGTGCACCTGCCATCGGGGGAATTCTCAAACCCAGAGCAGCGAATCTGTGATCCAAGGACCATTGTCAGAAATGCCATGCCATGTGCGATGATCTCCGAGACCCTCGCGAAGATCATTGGTGACCTTATAGGTCTGGAGAAGAAACCACTGGTGGAAAGACTTACCTTTCGGCGGCGGCAGTACCGGCAGGCAATGGCTGTTCGTTGACGCGGGGCAGCAGCATGATACGGCATCGGCTGCTGTTGGGGAGGAGGCTGCTGGTACGGATCCGGCCTGTAGGCTCCCGGCGGCGGCGGCAACCGGTAGTCCGGCGGCGCATGAGGATGGATAGCAGCCATGTGTTGCTGTTGAGGCGGTGGTGGCGCTGGATACTGCCCGGGAGGAGGAGGAGGATAGTATCCTCGGTCGTGCTCTGGGGGAGCCGGGTATGGCTGCTGAGGATACTAGAGAAGCAACCGCCCTGTCAGCTCTCACTCGATGATGACCCGAGAGGGTATTTGGTGATCACGCTTGAGTCTTGTCGAACGATGGCCTACCGGATAGTGGTGCTGCTGATCGTAAGGGTAGGCGCGAGAGCGATCGTCTGGAGGTGGAGGAGGATATTGTCCCTGACGACTGAGGTCTGCCTCTGGGGGTGGAGGGTAATGGCCCCGGCGGAGGGGGTCCACGTCAGGATGGCGGGACATTTGGGTGATTATGAGATGTAGAGGAGAAGGGAAGAAAAAGAGGGGAATGCGAGATGAGGTTGAGATGAGTCAAGCAGGACAGGGATGTGACGTCGAGTGAATGGCGAGGAGGGGAAGGGAGGGGCGGGTGTGTGTGAGTGTGTGGTTGTTGGAAGAGAAATGTACGATGTGTGATGGATGTATGGGCAGAGGCTGGAAGAGGAAAGTCGAATAATCGCTAATCACATGGACGAAGCCAGCACAGCGAGCGAGATCACGCAGGGGAAATCGAGGTGAATGCAGGAGCGATTCAATTTGACCACCGCCAGAGACACACAATCAAGTAGGCGCACACCCCAATCAGGACAATAGTACGTGAGTCGAGAGGCAAGGGAAAAGGCTCTTTTTTTCGATGGAAATAAAAAAAAAAGAAGAAAAGAAAATAGAAAAAAAAAAAGAAAAAGCGTAGCCAAAAAAAAGTCAGAACGAGAGAGAATGCGAAAAGGTGTACTCAGTTACTCACAGTGGAGAAATAAATCGAGATAATAATCAAAAAAGGAAAGCGACTCCACTGTGTGCTGAGGTTCGTTCGAGTGGAGACCGAAAATGCTATCGTCGAAAAATAGAGATTGGAACCGGTAATACGGTACTGTGACCGGTAAACGGGTGGTAAACTGGAGCTCTGTGGGCCGTGTGGGAGTCTGCACTTTGCACTCTGCATTTCTGCAATGAGCACTCTGCATTACACGAGTCCTCTGATGCCCAGTCTTTTCAGCTCAGTTTGACATTTGTAAGGCTTCCAATCCGCTGAATATGCATGATAGAGCAGGGGACAGCAAGAAGGATTAACAACCCGGGAGAGACCGTTGAATACACATCCGCTAGAAGGACGGATGCGAGTCATCCCGAATGTGCCAAACTGGGAAGCCTCGGCAACCAGAACACTCCAAACGAGATCTTGGATAGCTCGGAATTCAAAGAAGCATCTGGCATAACGGATTCTAAAGCGAAGCTTGCGTAGCGGTGCATGTTCTAGACGAATAATGAGCAGCTTGCAGGAGTACGGACTAGGAGATGCCTAACCTATGCATAGTTGCATACGATGACATCAGGAGCTCGTCCCCCGAGGAAGAGCACGACCACTGGAATAAATGTTGCTCCGGCGTCGTACAATAAGGGAAAAGAGTTGTTTCAAGCATCGAAGACCCAATACACGAGACATCGGTGCCCTGATATTCGACTCGATTAATTACGATTCGCAGTGGAAGATAGCGGCTGTCAGGCACAAGGTCAAGTGATCATGATTTGCAAGCCCTCGAGGTTGTATCAACGATTCAACACAAATCGCAATCTGCGCGCAACATGCACAAGCCAAGATGGAACTATCGTACCAGGTCACACTGTCGACTGCTCAGATAATTTTTTGGAAAGAAAACGCTATGGTCAGAAAAGCCATAGATGCTCAGCTATCAGCACTGTGCAGAGGTAAGGCTCAAGGATGCCCGAAGCTACTAGATTTGCGCTTTCGCGATCTGGGGGAGACTTGACTATTTACATGGGAGACGGGAATCCCGTTCAGTCATGCCTATTGCCTAGTCATGGCTACAGATTGAGAACCCTGAAACAACAACAATTCGCACATGAGATCTCATACATGATTCTCGAAATATTTCCAGTTCCATCTGGCCAGAAGCCCAACCTCGAAAAGCTGCCCAGGGATGCAAGATCTCGAGGACTTTTTCGTCCGCATGCATAATGTGCACATCCAATCTACATCCAGTTGTTCAAGTAGGAGCTACTACGTCGGCCGAAAGGTGCATCAAGGTACATACTTTCACCACTGCAGCTCTGACTCCGGTGCAGCACACCAGGATTTTTTGGTTGGTTAGGTCATCTGACCGGATGGCAGAGGCCGACGCAGTTACGGTTTGTCTTCCCTCGATGTTTTTGTTCTCATGCCAATTCAATCGTACTACAGTAGTACTGCTTGTCCGTCCGTTTCCTCCTTGCCGTCGTTGAGTTTTCTTTTTGGCACACCAATACGGTAGGTGGATCCGCCGGGCAAGGCAGAGCCCGCGGGCTCAAGCGGCGCCGGTGACCCATCGACATGGACAGCGGACCCCGTCTCTGGAACGCTAGGACATTTAGTCGACCACCGTTCGGAGAGGCGTCAGCTGAAAAGATCAATCACGTCCAGGCGGCCGTTCTGACCAGTCGTGCCAGAAATCCGACTGGACTCTGGACAGTCGAGGCCATGGGAAAGCTTCGGCTTCCATGGGTAATCAGCAGCTGAAAGGGTATCAGATTGAAGGTTTGTCGCGCAGATGCAATTTTCAGTATTACAGTGAGTAGCTACTTAATTCAGTCTTCACACTCCACCTTTGACCCACAATTCACAGCATATTCATCACGTATGACCATTGACAATACGTACTGTGACAATACTGTCGTATTCAGATCGATCCGGATTCCATCATGATGTGGACAATGTGCAACACTTGGAACTCCATGACTCGGCAGCCAAGGGATGTTCCAGAGGTCTCTCTCTCTATCCAAGTCAGTCGTCGAGATGAGCTATCAGTGGAACAAAAGTCAGCACTATGAGCCAAGCTCGTCCTGACGGCGCGGTGCCGGGGCTCTAACCCCCTAGCGCCGGAGTCACTCCCCCTTGCACGCAGCTCGGAGGCGGCTCCGGGAAGGAACGGGAAGGCCGAGTCACTTCCCAGGCCATCGAAGGGAGTCCAGCCAGTATTTTGGTCGTATCTTCGACCGTGAGATAAGGTTGATGGATTGGGTGCTGCGCAGTGCGCACTGGCACAGTACCATCAGCTGGCGGCCCAAAACGCCGAATGATGACTAGGAGCTGCGCAGATGGTCGAACATCAAGGATGTCCGGTATATGGCTCCATAAGAGTTCAAAGTCCACATATGTGTGTGAGGTCGTCGAGTACAGAACAATTTCCTTTGATTCAAAGACAACCAGTTCTGGTCGAGTGAAGATCTTGATTGATTGAGGAACCATGGATACACTGGATAGTAGTGGCCGAAGTCAGTAACGGAGTATTGATAAGGAAGAGTATCGGGGGCCAGAACGTCTTCCGACCAAGTCCCGATCACCTGCACCTTTTTCTGCTCATGAACTGATTGAGCGATCTCTGAACTTCAGATTGACAGACTTGGTACACCGTTTTGTTCAGGCTTGGTCGTTGAGCCCAATGAGCCCATACACGAGGATGAAACATGGCACATCCTTTCTGCTGGTTTTCGTCTGTATAGCAGGTAGAGCCTCCTGGGTTCTTTGCGACTAGTCAAGGCTTGAAGGAATGTGGCTAATGTGTATTACACAGTGTCATCCTGGCAGTTGGCACATCAAGGCGCATGCTGCCGGGGAAGTGTACAGCAGCGACTGCGTCTACCTCGTCAAGATGCTCACTTGGCCCTGAAGCAGGAGGGATCAAATTTTCAACGTTTGTCTCGTCCTCAGAGCTCCGACCATTACACGAGATTGGGACATCGTAAACGGAGCAAGCAGGCTTTGACTGCCTTACAGCGTACAGCCGTACACATGCGTACGCCACGTATCGCAAGTCAATACATTACCGTATCTTGTGTCTGTATTATACGTGCAGTAGTCCGCGTACTAAGGTTAACGCCGACTGGGTCGTGGAACAGACGACTCGGACCGTCCATGTTGAAACCGCAACCGGCCCCGCGGAACCAGGATTCCCGCCCATGGCGATGGGCGCGGGACGGGGCGAAATGTCGGTTGTCTGTTGCAAGTTTGCAACCCAATCCCAATGTGATCATCCCCGCTTCTCCATCCTCCGCCAGTCATAGATAGCCATATGCGAAAAAGAGAGACTGTACTGTACGCTAATCACGGCCACCGTCACGCATTGAGAGGGCGACTAATGCGTGTGCTGGAATGCCTGAACCTGGCTTGCGATCGGTCGAGTACAGTACATACTAGACTGGCTCCATAGGTAGGAGACGTCCTTTGGTCAAATCGAGCCCAAAAATCACACGATCGGACATGGAAATCGGACATTCACACAGCGAGGACATGAACATGCGAGAGGACCTCCGTCTTGAGGTCTGAGTGGTGCAAATTGAGATGATCTTTTGTGACCAACACTGAGACGCTGGAACGATCGAGAGCAAAATCAAGAAAAATGTCCCCCTCCCGGCGAGGTACAGGTACGCTACTGCATGAGCGGAAGTCGAACCATCTCAACGATATACCCCCTGCTTATGACTTTCTATCTTCTTGCTCCTTCCCGTCTTTCCTCGCTGCCGCACCCCCTACGTCCATTCCCTTCATGTCCTAGTGCTGTCCGTAAGTACGGTCTGGCAAGTGGTCACGTCTTAGTCTTAATCTTAGTGCCCGGCAATGCGCGAGGCGGTGTGAAGTGGCGATCGGACTTCAGCTGACGAGTGGGGGAGCCCAAGAGAGCTTTCTTCCCGCAAGTCGCCACCCCTCGTGCCCCATAATGTTCACGGACGGGGGAGTCAAAAAAGAAAAAAAAAACACCAAGTCGAGAATCAAAAGACCATGGTCCACACACATTTATCTCTTTTGCGGGAGCTGAAATTCCTCAGAAACTTCCACAGCACCTGGAGCGAACGATGACACGGGCGAAACGAGAAGAGAGATGGAGTAGTGCAGGTGTCGACCACGCTGTGCGTCTGGTCAGCTGGTGACGAGAAGCGGAGTCGTCCAGGGCGGCCGACATGCTGACTGGAAGGCGGTGGAGTCGCTTAGCACCCAGGACCAGAGGCCTGGTACCGGAACGGCCATCATGAGCCATGGTAACTTGCATTAGCGTGAGATTCGACCACCGAATGAAAAGGTGCCGTGGCTGCTCTCGATGGGCTGCTAATATTAGGAAAAAGAGTGAACTCTTGTCACGCTCCATGCAATGAGCAAGTCAGACGAACGAGTTCAAGAATAACATTCGTCGAACTGAACGACTTCTTCTCGGCTTGGATCACCGTGCGTCGAATCAAGTAGATTGGAGCAC